TTCGCCATGTTGACGATGTTTCGGGGTCGTGTGATAAGGAAAGTGTCGAAGGGTGTTCACAAGGTAGGAGGTCGAGAAAAAGGGTAGCACCCGCCGATAATCGTTACGTGAAGTTGGGGCGTCGCAAACAAGGCGCAGAAAAGTCGGAGAGCAAGAATCTATTGCGCGAAACGCTTTTCGAGATGCAAAATGTCGGGGAAGGTCGTCCTACGATGGCGCTCTTGACCACGCCAGTCCCCGGCCAGCGGCCCAGGAGAAGGTTCCACTGATCCTCCCAATCGCCGCCACCTTCAGAGCGTCGATAAATCGAAAGGCGATGAAAATCGCGGTCGTAACTAGTCGTATATCGAGACGAAAATGAGTGTGCGGTCCAGGGGCGCGATTTCCGACGCGCGTGGTGATGGGCGATGCGTGGGTTGACGAAGTTGTAGATGTGAAGACCGTGGAGGCGAAAGTGAGGAGCGAGGTCAGAAACAAATCTTGCCTTGGGGCGGCTGGTGCAGCCTGAAAGAATACGCTAGCCGAATTCGGCAACCACCCTCCTTTACCTTCCTCAGGCCACGCGTGCTCCAGGTCGAGGTACCCATAATCCAATGAAACACACCAAAATCAATGCTGATCTCAAGTACCTTTCTTATGTCGTATCCTCGCATACCCGCCCAGGAGGAAGGGGGATTGCGCACGCCGCTGTCCACTCACCGCTGAACTCCTTTCGTTTCGAGGTACGGATACCAAAGGAGGAAATGTCACGGACCGCATCTCAGCTCATGAGTAGGGGGAGACTTCTCCCATGACTTATGCGACAGGGCAAAAAATACCAACAAGTAGGTAATTACCTAGGCACTGAGGCTCGTTACCTTTGACTACCTATTGCGTTGTGTGTACCAAGTAGAACTCGGAAAGGTACCAAGCAGCTTGGGAAGCTCTCGAGTCCTTTACACTACATACATCACATTCACTGTAAACTCCGTGGGCTGTCGCGCTAAATCCTTGACGGGTCCCCGCACACCACAACGCCATGTCACGCGTCTTGGGAACTCCCCCAAACCAAACCAAACGAAGCGCAATTGCGAGCTCATTGCAAAAAAACAACAAGGGTATTGGAATTTGGTCTATCGTCTTCTGCCCCCCCTACCCGACCGTCCCTTTCTCGAAGGCATTTTATCCTCTACGACTTCGCTGTCGGGTATCTCTCCGTCCACACCCGGACTTCTTCTCCGCATGGTCCCGGTCGACACAGCAATGAACTCCTCCTCGCTATCGCTCTCCCCAAGATCAAAGAGGATGGGCATGCGAAAATCCCCTGTTCCGCCAGAGTGCCCATTCACGATAGTCGAGGTAACAACATCAACATCCTCGTCCTCCGCGTCCAACCGCCTCTTCTGCAACTCCTCCTGGCCGTAGATATCGAACTCGTCCTCCATCTCCTCGTACTCCTGGTTCTCCTCGACCTGAGCAAAGTCGGGCGCAAGCCTGGACCATTTCTGTTCGGGTATGACGGACCATATGTATATCCTCCCGGTCTCGAGGCCGCACGTTGCGATGAAAGGTCGCTCAGGATGCCATTCCACAACCCCCTGCTCTTCTTTGGGGCCGTCCAGGATTCTGATGAGCCCTGTGCTGCCGATGCCTCTGTCCCAAACGTATATCTCGTGGTTGTTGTACGTTGACGCGGCAACGTACTCAGAGGCCGAGCTGAACGTAACATGGTTCCATGACAGCCTGTTGACTTGATCTGAAAACTTGTGTTCCTCCGTAAAGTGTACCGTGTCGAGGTCGAGGTCTTCGGCCGCAAGGTTCGGGAGGTGAAATGTTCGGACGATACGATCCTGCGCATTGATCAGAAGCACTCTTCCAGAGTTGTTCAGACGCAACGTTGTAATGACGCCGCTGCAAGGCTTCTCCGAGTATATCGTCTTTCTGGTCTTGACATCGATGACGTTAATCCATCCCTTATTTGTTCCCGCCAAAATATGCTCGCCCGTAGAGGTATAAATGGTGGAGGTTGTCATCTGCTTCGCGTCGTCCTTCAGCTGCTTCTCGGTGGGCTCTCCGTCTATGTCGGGTCGTTTCGGCACCGAGCTCAAGGGGTACTTGACATCGGTGACGTCTGATACATCGACGAGAATCGGCTGCTCCTCGAATATTGAGGCGACAAACTGGTGACTTGACGCGTTAGTGAGGCCTTCGTCGCTTGACGCAAAGGACATCATTGGCTCACTGGTTGAATGGGTTGAGCTCCGCGATGTACGCCGGAGCTCGAAAGCGGACTTCACGGTACCGCCTGCCGTCTTTTAAATCCCACAAAACGGCCTTCCACCCTTGACACGCCGACAATAGGTAGCGGCCGCATCTTGACCAGCTCAGAGACGTGATGCTCCTATGGTGGCCACGCATCTTCCTTGCCACGCCCATGGTTTCAATGTCCCAGATGACCACTGTGCCATCGACTCTACCAGAGGCCAGGAGGTCGCCTGATCGGTTGAAGCGCAAGCATGTTGAGTGGCCCGACCGGATCGTATTAGTGTTGTTGATGGCATTGATGGCTTCGACGGCGGCGATGGCCTCGTTCTCCTCGTTACTGAGAAGGAAGTTCATGGTCGCTGGTGTTTCCGAACCGGTGACTCGACTTTGGATAGAAGAAAACCTGGCCCGCGGATCGGGTGGGCTGGTTGGTTTTGTTTGCGCAGAACAGAACGCAAGCTCAAGGTTCGCGGAATGTCAGCCGTGCATGCGGGACAGACTTTCTTTTGGTCTGCAAGGCTGAGGTTCTACAGGGGTTGTGCCCGGAGTTTTAGGCGTTCAGGTAACAGCTTCAAGCCGCTGGGCCAACTGGGGTGGAAGGGGAGTTGGAGGTTGTTTGGAATATTACACAGTATAAATCAGGTCGAATGCACGCGCATTTCTTTTCTTACCTTCTACATAGGACGCCTGGATAAACCACGTTGACCCAGCCCAGGTGCACAGTTCCACAAACCAGAAAGCCCACAAGCAGGCTGGGTTCAGCACCGGCCACGAATGCTAACCAAGACACGGGTAGTTTTACCCCTCCCCCACCATCCCGCCTAATAGGCGAATTCTGTCTGAGAGTCACCCGCATCTGCCTCCCTGCTTTATACTGAGAAGGAAGCCAGTCTCATAGTATTTCATTATGGCCAACTCCAAGTACGATTCTGAACTTCTGTCACGAGCATCTACCATTTTCTAACTCTACTACAGATTCGAATACGTCAAAAACTTTGAACAACCTGACTTTCTACTACCAAATACTTGGATTGTTGTCCGCATAGATGGGAGAGGTTTCACAAAGTAAAGGCGCCTTCTAATTTGGATGCCAACGCGCACTTGACTGACCGTATTGTAGACTCTGCGCCAAATATGCATTCGAGAAGCCAAACGATAAGAGGGCGCTCGACCTCATGAACGCCGCTGCAAGAGTGGTCGTGACGGAGCTCCCGGACATCACCATCGCGTATGGTGTGAGCGACGAGTACAGCTTCGTGTTCCATAAGTCATGTACGCTGTTCGAGAGACGAGCGAGGTAAGACTCTCTTTTAGGTTGTGCAATCTTCCGGTTCTCGCGACTGACATGGCCCAGTAAAATCGTGAGCACGGTAGTGTCAACGTTTACGGCCAACTACATCCACCTGTGGTCATCATACTTCACCGACACCCCGCTTTCGCCGCCTCTCCCCAGCTTTGACGGCCGAGCGGTATGCTATCCCACGGTAACGAACCTAAGGGACTACATGAGCTGGCGGCAAGTTGATTGTACGTACCCGAGGCTGCGGCCTGCCCACTCGCTTTAATGCGCGGTCATTAGCTGACAAGCCAAGGTCACATTAACAACCTCTACAATACAACCTTCTGGGCTCTAATCCAGCTAGGTGGTCTTGACAACAGAGAGGCGGAGAAGCTTCTGGCCGTAAGACCATTTCGCTCTGGGACCCAGTCGGAACCTTATCTTACTTACTCTTTTGCAGGGCACTGTCTCCGGAGATAAGAATGAGATCCTCTTCTCAAAGTTCAAGATGAACTACAACAACGAGCCGGAAATGTACAAGAAAGGCAGCGTCATCTTTCGTGATGTGGGTCTCCCCTCACGTCTCCCTTCCATATCCCTCCTCTTCATCTTAGCCCTCATATCACCTCCCTTCCTTCCCCTGTGGCTCATAGCCAACCCACGAAATCCCCCCTGACCGCGCAACAGTACGAACTAGTCGAGCCGGGCACACACAACGCCGCCGAGGCCGCCGACGCCATGGCCGAGCCGGAGCAGCAGAGCAAGACCCAAGAGGAAAAGGACAAGAAGAAGAGGAGCAAGGCCAGGGTCGTCATCGAGCACCTTGATATCATCAAGGACGACTTTTGGGACCGGCGGCCGTGGCTCCTTTCCAACAAGCCTGGAAAGACGCCCAAGGAACCTTGAGCCGAAGCCGTCACGATGTGTAGTCCAGGGCCACCACATGAATGAAGACCCGGTCTGTTCGAATGTCGAAAGGCTCACCACTTAGCTTGGTATCCTGCGCAGGGCCCGAGGGGAGGCACCGCCGCATCGGGGGCCAGTTAAGATGGGGATGTTGGACTCATCCAGGTTGAATGCGTGTGAGGAGAATCAGGTTGAAACTGCCGCATGGCGTAAACGTGTCTGTTGTTATGGCTAGCAGGCCTGAAGCCGACGCCATGCCCTGAGCGTTTATCTATACCTCGGCTCTAAACCGCATGTTCCCAAGAGCCGCTAACATGGCGCCTTCGCCAATGCTTTCAAAGTCCTTCGCCAATGCTTTCAAAGTCCTTGCGCCGTAGAAAAAGTCTACTGCTGATGATGATGCTCTGTCGTCCTCGCCCGTGATTTTAAGACCCTCGAGGACCCGAATGCACGGCCGTTTTCTTAGCCGTGGGATGCTGGTGAAAGGTCGGCACGATATCGGCCCACCTCAGGTCCAAGCCGGTGGGTATCTGTAACCGGCCAATATGTCGAAAGATCAAGACGCTATCTCTCATCCAGAACCCCCCTTCTTCGCTTTCCTCGCCTCCCTCTTGGCCTTCTTCGCCTGCCTTCTCGCCCTCCTCTCCTCCTTGGACTCTTTGCGGTCCCGGTCCCCCGAAGAAGCCTTCGATGCCTTCTTTGCACCTCTAGCTTGCCTCCTCGCCTCCCTGGCCGCTTTCCTTGCCCTCTTCGCGGCCCTTCTCGCCCTTCTCTCTTCCTTCGTCTCACCCCTTTCCTTCTTCTCCTTGTTCTTCTTCGGACTTGCTTCCGCCTCGCTTTCCGAGCTTGTCGTGGTCTCCTCGCTTTCGGGTGTAGAGGCGCCGCTATGCTCCTCCAAAGCCTTTCTCTCGTGCTCTTGAATCGTCCCCTCCAGGAACCCGCCTCGTACAAAACTCGCGTACAGCATCCACTTCCCGCCGGAAACCTTTTCGATCTGGTTCAAACGGCCCTGCGTCACTGTTTGCATCACCTGGCCTTTCTTTGAGGTGTCCAAGCCCTGAAGCTGCTCGTCGAACGCATTCATCCACCACGTGTCGCTCGTGAAGTGTGCCTTGGTGCCCAGGCCTTTCGTGTTGTCCTTGCGGTTCAGTAGGAGCGGCTTCGCAAGCCCGATAGAGTCGTCCGTGGCATGAAGTGAGTGTCCTTTGCCGCGCCATCCTTGCGCCGAGAGGAGGGCGTGCGCGTCCATCTTGGGAGGGTTATTGCGTCAAGGCTCGTTTCGATCGACTTTTTGTTTCGGTGTCTTCGTGGAGAAACAGCAATTCTCGAAGTCTATGAAGCGATGGTCTGTCGGCTCTGAAATGTCATGAGCGCGTGCATAGAAGTGTCATGGCCGAAGATCGTTTTGGCTCCTCTTCTTGCTGGGTGACGGTCGGGTGGAGGGAGGATTGTTTGCGACAGGGTCCCTGAGCAAAAAGTGGTCGGTGGACTGGATTTTTCTTTTGTGCTTATCTTATCTTTACTCAGTCACTCACCCAACCCCGCCAACGCTGAAAAGTGAGGACCAGATACAATCAGATTACTCCGCGGCCAAGTGGATTGACTTGTACAGTGTCTCAATGGGAACTCGAATCACCGAAGACCTAGGTCTTGTCTGAGTCGTCTTATCACCATTGCTTAACATAAGTGCATATATCCTCGCAACCCAGCGCGAAAAGAAAACAGACCTTAACCATGCCCTGGAGACAGCAGATATGAATAACTAACGCCAAATCAAGTTTGAACGTTTCTTCGTTGATGAGGTATCTGAACTAAACACTTTTGTAGCTCTTCCCTCTATGGTTGTACAAGCAGATGCCCCGACTTTTACTTTGGTGTCCCAATACACATCCTGAAAACATTATTTACGCCTTGACCTTCTTAGCAGCGGGCTCCTCAGCGGCTTGGTCCAAGGCACGCTTCTCCGGCTCGCCAGCAAGTTCCCTCTCCGCCTTCTCAAACTTGGCCTGCTCCTCGGCAGTCATGTTCGGCAGCAGCGGCTTCTCTTCACCCTCCGTGATGTTCAAGTGGAAGGTACGAATAATCGAGTCTGCATCGTCGATGGCAATCGGCCTGACGTCTGCTAGAGCCTTGATCTTCTGAGTGACGACTTTGATCTGAGCGTCGGTCATGGTCAAGCCAAGCTGCTCAACACGGCTCTTGATAGCGTTCCATCCCGTCAACCTTGAGGCGAAGTGGACGTATCTGCTCATGCCGAAGTCGGCAGGGTTGATGATCTCTGTAAGTCACATTAGATCCCCCTCTTTGACAACACAGCGTTCAGTATTGAAGCGACGTACCATATGTGCTAGGGTTGTTAAGGATAGCCTTGGCGTGGATACCGGCCTTGTGAGTGAAGGCGCAGAAGCCAGTGATGTAGTTGTTGAAGGGGATGTTGATCTCAACAGCCTCGGCAACAAGATCTTCCAGCTCCTTGAGCTTGTGCAACTTGTACTTAGACTTGGTATACTCGGGGGCGGCGACGATCATGCGAGCCATGAGACCTCCAAGAGGGGTGATACCGTTGCGCTCACCGATGCCGATGACAGAGGTGTCGACTGGGAACACGGCCGTCAGCAACAAGGTTCGTAGATTACTCAATAAATAACTCACTGTGGGTAGCACCGGCCTCGAGAGCGCAGTAGGCGTTGGCAATGGCGCATCCAGTATCGTTGTGAAACTATGTCATGTTTTAGCAGACTTCCTCGTCGCCCGAATGTAGACGTGACTTACATGAGTCTCGATGTCGCAGCTGACGACGCCTCTCAGGGTGCGGACAAGGTCGTAGACCTGTCTGGGGCTGGCGCAGCCGACGGTGTCGGCAATACCGACTCTGTGCACGCCAACCTTGTCGACGGCGCTATAAACGGAAAGCAGATCGACGAGGTCGGAACGGAAGGAGTCTTCGGATGAAAAGCGGATCTCGAGACCCTTGGACTTGACGAACTCGATGACCTCAATGGCGGTGTTGATGATGTATGTCATGTCCTTGCCGTGGGAGTGCTCGCGGAGGTAGGAGGAGGTGCCAATAACGACATCGACGCCGTCAACACCGGTCTCGACAGCGAGGCGTGCATCATCCATCTGCCCCAGTTAGTTTTCGCCCATGCTAGCGCGTTCAAGAGGCTTCGTACGTGGCAGCGGACGTGCGTGAGAATCTTGGCCTTGAGACCAAGCTTGCAGATGGCCTCGCAGTCCTTACGGGACTGCTCAGAGGCAGCGGGCGATGTGAGCTCGATGTAGTCAACACCGAAGTCGTCGAGGGCCTTGGCGATCTTAATCTTAGTCTCGGTGTCGAAGAAAGCGTTGGCAAACTGCTCGCCCTCTCTCAGAGTAGACTCGACTGCACGTCACACGTCAGTAGGTGACTCAGAAAAGCTGAATGGCTTTACATACTGATCTTGTATCGGTCAACGTTGCTCAGGAAATCGCCAACCGGCTGGTAGGGGTTGCTGTGCTTCTGCTTGGTCTATGCCGTCGAGTGTCAGAAAAATTCGTCACCGTCGAAGCGGTTTTCGGAGGCAATTGGTTCTTACGGGAATAGCAGTGTAACCGGGGTGATCTGGACGCCAAAGAGTCAGTCTCGTCGACACCAGAATCGCACACAAGCTTGCGATACGCACCAGCCTTGTCTCCATTGGCAGCGCCATTGGCAGCGCCATTAGAGCCGTTTGCGTGGCCATTGGAGGCCGGTACGTCAGGAGTAGGGCACATTTTATATGATCATGTACGAGATGCTGTGTAGGCGAGTTCGTTCCTTGGAGAGTGCGTATTCAAACGTTGGTTGGCACCAGAAAATTATAATTGAATTTCAGAAGGCCCGTTGAGTCACAAAGTCAAAAAGGTGACTCAAAGGGTGGAAGATCGACCTAGATATACAAGGAGAGACGGGAAAGTAAAAAGGAGAAAAAAATAGCACGCCGGGCGAAGCGAGGCGAGGCGGTACGCAACAAGGTGTGGATTGGGCGGGATGGCCTGTGATGACCGAGGACGGCGTTCGCTGCTCCCAAGAGCAACCAGTCGCTGTGCGAAGAAAAGAAATTTTCCCACTCTTTAGCCCCGCTCAAGGCACATCCCTGGCCAAGCTGCCGCACCTGCGCAGCGTGTGCCATTGACTACCGGTACCTACACTATTTCCAGGGCAAGTGTCATGTCTGTAGGTACCTCTGTACCCCGCTCGATGCCACCTGAAGTGGGCCGCGTTAGACAACCATTATTGGTTAGACATGTCTCCATGTATCGCACCAGCCAATCAGCCCCCCGTTATTGGAAGATCGATCCCCCCATACATCAAATGCTAGACTATCCGTACCTATATGCGGTAATTCCACATGCTGCAGCTTGCCCAGATTCCGGACCGTGCACGCTGCCGTATCGGCCCATCTTGATTCCTGCCGCTTGCTGATGGTCTTGCAGCAATGCAGGCCCATATTGAAAGACACCGCCTTTCGCCCATCCCATGATGTCTGTTTGGTCTACCTCTGTCGACAAGGTCCTTGGAAACACAGTGTTAATCAATTAGCGAAGCGTCGCCGGCGTCCTGTAGCAACGGGCCGTGTACTTGCACTGTCATGTTATACTTGTATCCTGTTGCCTGAACCCTTACCCGACGAGAAATGTTACATTGATTTATCCCGCAGATGGAAACTTGGGAAGAGGTTCGGTAGAGTTGAGCCGGTACCCTGGCTCTGCTGGCCATCTCAGACGACCTCCGAGCAGACGGAGTAGGTAGTTGAAAGTGTGAAGGCCAACATCTCCCACACGTCAGCCCAGCTGATACTAGTGATGCGACTCACCGCGCTTCATTGGGACCCCAGCCAGCAAGAAAAAAATAAATCCGACAGGCGTACCTAGCTGCATTACCAACGCCCTTTTCAACACATTTGTATTCCGGTTGCTGGGGTAGACGTTGCTCCATCCCCAAAGGGTCCACATTTCAATGATGGATACCCAGACGACGTCATGCAAGCACGGATAACCAACGCTAACCCGCGTCTTTTTCACATCGCTAAGAGACCAAAAAGAAGACGTCGCCTTTTTTTTTTCCAACACAAAGAGACAAACCCCAATGTGTTCCAATCACTAGGCGGCTTGTAACCCTGTGTATGCTGTTTGTGGTAGAGGCTGTTACAGCATCACCGATAAAAATATCGACTTCTTCCGATGGTTCATTTCTTTTCTATATACTGGTCGGTTGACTCAACAACATGAATCCTGCGGCTATACCCTGTTGGCCTCAACGCCATCTCATGCACAGATACAAAATTGTATACCTAGATAGGATCCTGATGGCGCACGGAGCCTAAATGGACATATAGACGAGAACTTAATTATGACTGACGACTCCTTCGTGTCTCCGCCACATCCTCCTGCTCAGGTGATATCACGATGTTGCAAGCAGGTGTAAAGACCTGCGGTATGCGCACTGCAAACGCATCGGAATCCCTCTCAGCCACTGTATTTGCAATCATCCTTCGCCTCATTGTCTTCAGATTCCTTCAGCTGGGTTGTCAAGACAGAGACTACCCGGCCGAACGGCTCAAAGCCGCTGAGAGGCCCAACATTCAGCAACATAGCACCCGTCTAAACAGCAACACAGCACCCGTCTAAACGTAACCCTGTCTCTCTGCCGCATTGTGTATTCCGTGAGAATTATTATTCTCGGTACCCTTGCCGTGTTGCTGAAAAGGGCTTTTTGAGTCCACAGTGAAGACGACTCTGTGATTGCATGCGCTGGCCGGACTGAGACCTGTAATGCTTGCCCATTTCCGCGAACTGGATCGGTTCGCGCGGCTGATCACCTAGAAGCGCCATGTTGCTCATACCGGCTACCTGCGGCTGCAAATCTTCACACCCATGCTGTTGCGAATGGTAATGCTGCGGTGCCGCTAGGAAGCCAGACCACACGCCTGTGTTTGATCCGCTCTGCTCGGTAAGTCGAACCCGTTGTTGAGCAGCCTTAACCCGCAATCGAATCTCGGAAGACATAAGAATATCTCGGACGAGCAGTGAGGCCGTGTTGTGTAGGTTCATCTGCTCATACCCTGGAAACTGGAAATCATTGAAAAGCACGACTTGGGGTGGTGGACTGAACTGAGGCAAGCTGTTTCCATGTCGAACTTGCAGATGTTCTGGATGAGAACGCAAGCGATGTCTCGGTTGAGTCAAGGGTTCCCAGTAGTCGGCAGACGGAAAGTCGACCGAGGGAGACTGATATTCTTTGGAAAGCTCCGTTACCGCAGTTGGCTGATTGGAAGCGACTAGTAATTCCTCGTCGATATAGGTCGGTGGGACCAGGTGTGGGTCGATTGGCGGGTAGATAGTTAGGATCCCCTCATTCGTGAAATACATATGCGACTGGTTAAATGGGTGCATCGGCCGTGACTGGAGCGCTCTTCTGAATTCAGCTTGGTCCCAAACATCTTGCAAGGTCGCTGGAGGATCACCTACAGCCAAGCCGGACGTATCACCGTTGACCTGATTGTCCCCCCAGTGCGCTTCGTCAACGACTTGGGCGCCTGACCAACTCCCATCAGCTTCACTAATATTTGGCAAGTTGTGAATTGTGGCAGACTGATTAGTAGTGGCGAAAGGCTCCTAGTTCTTAGCCACGTGAGCAAGCACCGTCATCTGCTCCACCTCGAAATCTGCACCGCTAGGCAACTTTTGACCCTTAGGCAGAGCGGCCGCAACGGATACTTCAATGTTATTGACAGCTCCAGCCTGAAGCTGAGCCTCAAAGATTCTAGCGCCGAGGGGCAGTACCTGTCCGGGAACAGGATGAGCCTGGTGAGCGATCTGACGGTTAACCAACACGAACAGTTTCCACTGACGTCCCTCTTTCTCCAAGGACGATGGAACGACCAGAACGATCTGGACTCTCAACTGACCGGGCGGCATGTGGACCGTCACGGACTGTTGTGCCTCTTTTTCCAGAGGCAAAAGAGTTATCTCGAAACGGCGCTCGGCATTGATCATTGGGTGCGTCTGGATTTTGAGGCTGGTGATAAGTGCATCTGCAGCTCCTGCGGGCCTTGTCAGCTACATCGCGGGCTCTGCTTCATGTGGAACGTACCTTTGCCCGGGGCACGTCTTGCCTGGTCCCATAGAGGCTTCGGCTGATGCGGTATACCATTCGTCTGCGGCTGGGGCTGCGCAACCCCGATAGGCTGAAAAATCGCGCTGGATAGGCTCGTAGCTTGACCACCAGTAGGTGGCGGAAAGGCAGAAGGCGTACCAGCGTGACCGGGTGTCCCTGCCGGGGAAGGGCGGGCGGCGTCCTCTCGTTTGATGTTGTTGACCACGGAGGGACTTGGGGAAGCGACGGAGACGCTGCGGAGTCTGTCCATCCCAGCCGGAATAGCTGGAAGCCCACCCTGGCGCGTGGCACCATTGGCGATTGGTGTCTGGTCGCCGACATATGAACCAGCCGAATGGGAAGCTGGAGGTGCAGGAGACTCTCCCGAGTCGCTCTTGCCACCGACGTGAATCGTAATCTTCTTGGAGGTCGCAGGTTGCTCGGATGCCGGTTGCTGGACCTTGAGCTTGATCTTTGGCTGCGCAGGCTCTTGAACGACCGCCTTAGCCTTCTTCAACTCATCCTTGAAGAACTCCTGTACAACGATCAGCACCTGAAACAAACCGCTGTTGTCAAATCAACACATACCTCGAGCTCCTGTGCCAACTCGTAAATCTCACTTCCCTCCTCATTGTAAAAGAAGGCGTTCTTCCAGAGCAAGCTAGAAGTCTCCTCGAAAGCGGCCCAATTCTTGAATTCGCTGGTGCCCGTTGCCTCGTTGCGACCCCTGACACCCTTTACAGTCTTCTGAAGTTTCTTGAGAGAGATTGGCTCTTTCACAATCCTGTAGTAGTCTTTCAGGATACGAGGAGGAAGTTTAACAAAAGGCTCAAAGTAAGGCTCTTGACCACTAGATGCAACGTTAGTGAAGCCCATGGCGACGGAACGGTGAACACATACCCATCGTCTTTCTTGCGCAGCATCTCCTCTACGATCTTCTCCTGGGCAGCCTGGAAAGTGAGGCCCTTGTAGGGGACGTCCTCGTACTCGCAATCCTGGCGGCTGGGCGTGACATTTCGTGTATTTGCCTTGCGCGGCGTCGCGCCCTTGGACGGCCTACCCGGACCTCTGCGGCGGATGAGAATGGTCGCGGGCTTGGAGGTCTGGCTACCTTCGTCATCATCTTCTTCGCCCTCGGCGTCATCTTCCTCTCCATCCTCTTCCTCGTCCTCATCTGCATCCTCATCTCCATCAGGGTCGTCCTGTTCGGATGACTTGATGGCAATTTGAGACTTGCGCCGGCTACTTGCAGGCTGGGGAGCGTGATTCTCATCGTCATCTGTGTCATTGGCAGCGCCCTCTACAGGCAGGGGGGTTGGGACGGCCGTATATCCACCTCTCGCGTATGCAGGGTTGTATTTGGTCATGAAGTTACTCAAAGCTTTCCGGACTCTCTCTGCATCTTCGAAGAGCTGACTCCCGCGAGGGTAGAACTCCTTAGCATTTGAAACCATGCGCTTGCAGTAGCTTTCCAGTTCTGTAAGGGTGGGGAAATCGCCGCTGTCGAGTTTCTTCTCGATCATAGTTAGGGAGATGGGCATTTTCGTCTTCTTGTAATAGTCGGGATTACTATCCCTATCCGGCAGCGTCTCGAAATAGCCGGATACTTTGCGTCCACTAGAGCGAATTGAAGTTTAGCAATCTGCTTTGAACCCATTGGGAGGATGACCGTAAGAGGATGCTCACTTCTTGTCCGCAGTCCGGCGGATCTGATCGAGGAAGAAATGGCCATACTCGGTGGTGGACTCGACAGTCTCGTGCTCCTTAAGATTGTACTTCTGTGAGGGGGTCGATTCGTCAGCTTGGCTCCGTGGAAGCAACGCAGGCTACACTCTGCGTAGGCATGAGGACAAGAAGGATGAGGACTGAGAGGGAGAAGGTGCTATCTAAACAATCTTCCACTTGGCAAAAGGAAAGTTGGGGTGTGATGATGGGAGGGGGAGCTCCATGGCTTGCAAAGGTCATGCAGAATTGCGAGCCAGGACGCGTAGTACGAATGAATCAAGACTTCCGTCGACAGGGCAAGAAGTGCGTGGTTGGGGGCAAATCGACGAAGACTTACTGCAGCGAGCTTCTGCTTCTTTGCATTTGGCTCTTGAGCATCCGTCGCGCCATTCATGGCCGACGACCTGCGCTTGTTATCCATGGAAAACTTGGGGAGAATTGTTGCATGCGCATGCGCAGTTGATCAAGTGAGTAGCAAAGAACTACTGGAAATGATTGCGCGTGCAATGGCTGTTGGCAGTATGCGACTCTGGGTGGAATTGCGATGGCGATGCTGCAATTGCGACGGGTTTGCGAAGACGCGTCGGTTTGGAGATGGGGTCGGGAGGATTGGGTGGCGCGGCGCAAGGTTGTTTGCAACAGGGCTGCAAGCTGAAGCGGATAGCGCGCAAGGAGCTAAGGTAGGGCCCCGGGGAGTATTGCAGCTCTCCCCACGTTGAACCGGGATGGGGGTAGCTTTGGAATCTACAAAAAGCTCAGGCGTTGGTTGTGGGAAAAATTGGGTGCGCGGGTTATTGTTGCGCGATGGTGGTGTCCTTTTTTTTTAATCCTACCAAGAGGGGATTTTTTTCAACGGGGATGGGCGAAAGATGCGCTGGATTTGGGGGGGGATGGTTATGGGTTAGGCTGGCTGTTGCACCGACTGACGTCGGAGTGGAAAGGTCCGGGTTGGTTGATACTTAGGAAGAAAGGGACGAAGGAGGGTGCGTACATACCAAGGTATGTGAGTGCCTCAGGTCCATACTCTTTTGGTGAGGCAGCAACCACCTTCTAATGCCAGCTGTCGGACAGTTCTTCAAGCAGGTACCAGATGGCGTATGTGATGGTGCTTGGTCAGGTCTTCCGCCTTCAAGGCAACAAGGGTGGGTAAATTGAGATGGCAGGGGTGTAGGGGGGGGGATAGTAAAATTTTGGCAGAAAAGTTCCACCGCTCTCGGTGTGTTTTTCGTGTGGTGGGTTAATGCACTGAGGGGCTGCCTCTGAATTGCAGTGCAATGCAGCGTATGTACGGATACTAGTGTACGAACAGTGAAAGCGGAAGTTGCCGGCAAAAACGCCTCGGATTCTGGGGGCCAGAATATGATGGCAGCGCTGGGGCGTGATCGAATTACTGACTGAGATCCTACTTTGTTTACTACCGCTCCATACCTACCTACCTATATTTTTCCACCCTTTGAATAACAACCCCTCGCTCTTGCACGCCAGCTTCCCTTGGACATCCTATTTCCTGGCATCAAAGCTCCTTCGCGACTTTATTCCCCCACCGAATCAGGGTGCAGCTGAGCCTGTTGTTTCAGCGCCAATTCCTGCCTACCCCGCCTGCCTCGTTGTTTACCTCTTTTCTTTCTTATTCTTTGCCTCTTTCGACTGAGTGTGGTCGCCTGACCTCCCAGAGAACTGGACCCTTCGCGCCTTCAGACTCATTCCGCATCAGAGAATACATCGCCAGCTCCCGACAGTCACGTCCATCGCTCGACCTCTCCGCCCTAATTGAGCCACCTGCCGGTTGCCTTTGCGGTAAGGAACCGAGACTCGACGCCGCCATCTATCCCACAGGCCCCAAGGCAGATAAGACAAACTCAGAGATCGGCTTCCGCCATGGATATCGACATGAGCCGTCGCAACAAGGTTCCGCGGCCTTTGTCCGACTCGGAACGGGCCCGGTTGGACGAGTTCATTGACTCCATTCACTACTCGGCGCGGTATGCCTGTTCACTGCTCCCGCATCAATGCAGCCCAATGGGGGAGCAAACAATGGACTAACTTGTTTGCCTCGTCCAGATACTCTGACAGCGAGTACGAGTACCGTCACGTACAACTGCCCAAGGCCATGCTTAAAGCCATTCCAAAAGACTACCACGATTCTTCCCACGGAACCTTGAAGCTGCTATGGGAAGAGGAATGGCGAGCACTCGGCATCACTCAGGTACGGTATTGCTGCGGCCCCTAGGCCATCGGAGGCGCTAACGTTGCACCCAGAGTTTGGGTTGGGAACACTACGAAGTGCATGAGCCGGAGCCGCACATCCTACTGTTCAAGTCAGTCTACCCCCTGCAACAAATTCACGGTCGCCCATCGCTAATAGCAAACCGCAATAGGCGCCCTCTCAACTACCAGCCTCCCCAGTGATCCGCACTGCGAAGAGAAAAGCCTCGTTATCCTGCAAACGCAGTACACATCCCCGCTCACCGCTCACCGCTCAGCAGGCTGCTGCCTGGACGATACTCTCGACGACACGAATGACGGCCAATGATGATGGATATTTTTCTCTTTAGAAAAGCAGGAGAAGAGGCCGAGAGAGGATAATACCTCGCCTCTGCAGACCACGGCAAATGGAATAAAGACGGCGCATACCACCAAGGTTGTTGCATTTATTTGGGCGGTTTGAGTCGTCGGAGATCTGCTAGTGTTGGACTGTTTGCTGTCTGTTATATATCTCGAAAGTTGAGAGGTCTTGGCGGGGTCTATTATACAGCGCCGACGGCCGTCTTCTATGCCACGCCGCCGCCGCCGCCGTTGCTGATGAGCCTCGACAACTACGAGGCCGGAACAGGCTATCGATGAGCGCACGCTACCTCTGGGGCGGGGGAAAAAGAAGGGACAGCGTGTTGGTTGTGCGGATAGTCGCTGTTGGCTAGTACCTGCATAGCTCGACGGACGACAGTGTAATGGTCAGAGGTTAGGAATCAGGGGATAGAAACATGAAGCTAATGTCGTGCTACAAGAGTCACAAATACTCGCAAGGTGACCTCTAGGAAAGGTCAGTACTCGTCTCTACAGGCATGTCATGTAGTGTGTTCCTCGACTTGACTTGACGCGAGACACAACAATACGAATGCTCAGGCACGCGAAAATGCTCGGGCAGAAGTCACATCAATCTCGGGTATCGACGCATTAAAAATTATGGCACGTGGAAGGTATTGTCACCTCTTCATTGCAGCTGTTGGCCCGAGCACTAACAAATCGCATGGCGGCGGCAACGCGACACGTCACTTTGCTAACAAAGTCGCGGTCCGATGAACGGACACGATTTTAGTTTCTTTTCTGTCTGTGGTTTGGCGTCCGGTGTAGGGACATGTGCAAAGTGACAGGGAATACAGGGAACAGGCGTAGATTAGGCGTATGACAGAGGCCCCGAGGTCTGCAATGGGCAAGTCGGCGGAATGCACCAAGCCGGAACGAGCTGGACAGCGGCGGCGGCATCCCAGAGGCGATCTGGAACGGCCAGATCTTATTTGGGCGTCAGTGTGGTTCCAATTGGCTCGTGCATCTGCTGATTTTCCACCAAAAGAAGGACACCTTTCATCAAAACGCCCTCGCCCTGTGTGTCCCTTTATTAGCCGTTCGCCCCTCACGTATGTAAGGCAGCACTACTGAATGGGGGTCAGCTCATGTGGGAGACGAATGTACACTCTCGCTGGGCCTGGTCGTGCCAGGGTACATCTGATGTGTTGATCAGCCAATTCTCGCCAGATAAAGTAGCATGATATTCGGAAGGTCAGTCCCTCAGCTGCATGTTAATCAGCCAGCCCGGGGGGTTCCGTTAATGCTTCCATATTTATCTATTCCGCTTACTATGTAGTACTGAACACGGGGTGTTAAGGACAGATTCGCATGCCACTTTGGGAGCTTCCGTGGAGCAAGGAAACGTCCAAAGGGGCGGGCCATCGATCCCCCTCTTTAAACAAGCTGTCACTCTCTCCTCTGTTCCGTCATTTCTCTGCTCTGCTTACCTCACCAATACCGCTCTTTCCCTACCTACCTTCCCAGTTTTACGGATACCAGACCTTGGGATATATATCTGTGACGGGTGGTCCTAGAGAGACTGACGCCACCCACTTTCATCAACTGGCACCTTGAGTGTAAGACCCGAGACGAGGGGACTGCGCCTTCAAATTAACCTACAACGCCTCCCCCGGCCGTTTCTCCGAAACGAACATCGCCGAACCTTACCACACCCTGCGTGAACATTCGACGCAGCAATTAATTACACGCACTTTTGATAAGAAAGGCTCGGATCCGCGTTGCAGAGCCCGGACACTCGGGGCGTTTCAGCCGAGCATTTCAGAAACTTGTCAACTTCACCTGTCCTCCTCCGCGTCAGAGCTGGCAAGCCCATCTTTGCGACAATCTGTTCTTCCGATTCTGCCGCATATTAAAATCAACGGTCGGCCCACACCCCGCCAAGAAGCCTTTCCTCGACTATCATGAAGTCTGCAAGCAGACTATTTTTCCTCTCAGTATTTGCGCTCTGGGGCTCTCCAGTCCAATGCGAGAGCGCCCAAGATGATTGTGCGGTATGCCGCCGTTTCCGTTCTCTTTCTCTCCTCTCCTTCAGGAACCTGCGCTGCGGTATCCGAATGCCGGACCTCCTTATCTAACTCGCCATACCAGATCTCCCCCAAGGCTATCGTGTCCGACGCATGCGCCTCTTACTGGACCCTCGACAAGCTGAACACAAAGGTCAAGCCCCTCGTCGATGACCTCACTAGATCGACAGACTTCTTCTCACACTACCGACTAAATCTTTTCCACACGAAATGCCCCTTCTGGAACGACGAAAATGGCATGTGCGGCAACATTGCCTGCGCTGTCGAGACACTCGACAATGAGGAAGACATTCCCAAGGTATGGAGAGCAAGCGAGTTGGGAAAGCTGGAGGGTCCGCTGGCGAAACATCCCCCAAGGATGGTGCAACACGAACGTCCCGAGCGCCCCCTGCAGGGAAAGCTGGGCGAGGGGGTCGGCGAGAGCTGCGTAGTGGAATATGACGACGAATGCGACGAGCGAGACTATTGCGTGCCCGAAGACGAGAGCGCGAGCTCTAAGGGAGACTACGTGAGCCTTCTCCGTAATCCCGAGCGTTTCACCGGGTACGGTGGCTTCGGCGCCGCCCAGGTCTGGGACGCCATTTACCGCGAGAACTGCTTCCAGAAGAGCTCTTTCCCACACTCAGCATCCCTGGGGCAGTCACAGGCCACTCACAAGGGCCCCGCTGCTCAAGACTTGCGTCAGGTTCTCGAGTCGGTCGGGCGACAGCAGGCACTCGAGCAGATGCGCGAGACACAGCCCAACGCCCCGTTCGTGGCTCAGACCGGTCTCGAGGTTGAGGACGAGTGCCTCGAGAAGCGCGTCTTCTATCGCGTCATCTCGGGCATGCATGCAAGTATCAGCACCCACCTCTGCTGGGACTTCCTTAACCAGACCACCGGCCAGTGGCAGCCCAACGTGGCCTGCTACCGGGCCCGGCTGCACACCCATCCGGAGCGCATCAGCAACCTGTACTTCAATTACGCCCTCGTCACCCGCGCTGTCGCCAAGCTGGGGCCCTACCTCCAGGGCCGTGACTACACCTTCTGTTCGGGCGACATGGACCAGGACGCCGCGACGCGGGCCAAAGTCCTCGAGGTGACGGAGGCTGCAGCCAGCGTGCCCCAGATCTTCGACGAGAGTCTCATGTTCAAGAATGGGGAGGGCCCATCGCTCAAGGAAGACTTTCGAAACCGCTTCCGTAACGTCAGCCGTGTCATGGACTGCGTTGGCTGTGACAAGTGCCGCCTCTGGGGAAAGCTGCAGACCGCCGGCTACGGCACTGCGCTCAAGGTCCTCTTCGAGTTCGACAACGCTAGCGAGGACATCCCCGTGCTAAAGCGCACCGAGCTCGTTGCCCTCTTCAACACCTACGCCCGTATCAGCAGCTCCATCAATGCTATCAACAAGTTTCGCGCCATGGTCGACTCTGAGGAGGCCCTCGCCGCTGCGTCTGCCGCTGCTCCCGAATTTCCCGAATTTATCCCTGAAGGCATCCCCGATCGGGCGAAGAAGCCGCACCACGTGGTAACGTCGCCCGAGACAGAGCCCGAGAAGAAGCAGGAGAACCCGCAAGACGAGCACAGCGAAAAAGCGCCGAGACACGAAGAAACCTTCATGGAAGAGCTTGAACTAGAAGTTGGGCGCGTAATCAAGGCCTTCAAGTTCGTCATCAGCCGCTGGCTCGCATTCCCCAAAACCTTGTAAGTTTCGTCATTCAGCTAGTTCTTGTCGTGCAGCTTGTAGGGTTAACACGCCATGACAGCGTCAACGTAGTGGCTATCGAGCTTGTCCGATTTTACCAGTTCTTCGTGGGCCTGCCCTTGATTGAGCGGAACTGGAGCTTCGAACGACCCAACCTGGATGAACTCTGAATTAGTTCAACAGCCCATCGTTGCTTGGCTTTGGCTATCACATAGTAGCATTGCATGACATTATATTACTTTGCATGGCGGCTGGGAGGGGCGATGCAGACGGCGTTTCTTGGTTTTTGCTGTTGTTTGTATCATATGCAAGTCGGCATCGTGACTATGCTGTACGGATACATATTCAATAATATCAGTGCCCAGATGATGGCCCGAGCGTCCTCTCATTATGATTACAACCGTTTCCTTTGCCTGATGCTGCATACCTAGATCAGCAGTCCGTGGGGATTCTATTGACGTAGTACTATGGCAAGCCCTCAGTCGTATAACCCATCCTCAGTGGTGCTCTTCTTCCCACCCTTTGACGGGGTTTTCAAGGGCACGTTTGTGACAACGTTCCCAATCTTGACTTTGACTCCCGCCACCTCGATTCTCCACTGCCGAATGAGTCGGAACTCTGGTTGCTTCAGCAGGGCATACGTCTGCAGGCACGCGTCCTCCGGCGGCAGCCCGAACGTCCAGCCGATGCTCACGTGGAACGCGTCGTCGACAAGCTCGGTCGCGTGGACCTGGTACAGGGCCGGATGATTGAAGCGCAGGGCGACGGCGTTGCACCTCGTCAACAACGTCCGGAGATGCGGGTTCTTGCCGCTGGTGCTGGCGCTGTCTCGCGACGCGGCGGGGTCCGCGACGCGGAGTATGAGGAAGGCCCGATCGGAATCGGGCGACTTGAAGAAGCCGACGCCCCGTGGAGAGAGAGCGAAGTCTCCCGTGGCGGAGGAGAGTGAGGATGTTAGGGACGAGAGGAAGGGACCCTTCTGGGCCGTGGTCAGGGACAGTGGGCGTGAGAGGGAGATGTGGAGGGGCAGAGGGGCGTTCAGGTCGGAGGTGAGTAGCGGGTACATCTTCTGCGAGCCGAGAAGCGGCTTGATCTGGTCTAGAAGGCTAGTGAGAAGGGAGTGCTGATCCGCGTCCGGGTGCCCTGCAGTAAGTCAGACGATATGCATCAAACGGCATGATGCCTCGGGAACCCACACTCAATATAGACGTGAGACGGCCAATTGCCAGCAATGTGAGGAATGGTCCTCTTGCGGCCTTGATGCAGATTGGGGTCATCAGCGGTGCTGGTTCGGACAGTGGAGGCGTACAGATCATGGAACTGGTCCGGAAGAGGAGGCAAGCCCGAGATGCTGTTGGTTTCGCCCGTGGCGTTGGTCCGGCCGGACTCGGTCTTGCTGGTTTGGCCTTTGCCGGCACCGGCGCCGGCAGTGTCGCCGTCTTGCACAGGCCCGTGTGTCTTGCTACTCGATCCTTTGCGACGCTTGGTCGGGGGTGAGCCGGCCTCAGAAGCCGAGTCGGAGGAGTGGTAGTCCACTAGAGCCATTGCTAGGTGCCAGGGGTGTTGGTTAAGATACCTAGGAAGGTATGTTTGTAGCCTCGGCAGGGGAAGATCCGCTGCGACCTTTGTGTCTGCACGGCGAGTATCTGACCAGTAGGCTTCGGGCAACCCGGTTGCTCAAACCACATGCTCAATCGTACGGATTTTGAAAGCCCGTACGACGCCTGATCGCCTAGAAGCGCTCAACAGCTGTCAATGGGCGAGACGTCCAAAATGATGTAGGGCAGTTGATGCAAGATGAAAGTCGACGGGACGTGTATCAGCCGCACAGATGCTTGGGGGAGGCGCCTTTGCGCGAAGCTTCCCAGCAGGATCTCGATCGAGGTCCATCGAGGCACGCAGCCTGCCTGCCCGCTGGCCACTTGCGCGCCGTCTCACAACAAGAGAAGAGCTGCGCCCCTCTGTCTCAGTAGAATGAAAAGAACACCAGACGTTCCGGCATCTCGGTGACTACTGACCGACTGACCCAGCGTCACTCAATGTACCGAACTTTCGTATCAGTTGGTGTAAATGAGAGAAGTATTGCTCATCTCCTCTCATCCACCGCAAGGAAACACTGGCAGGAGTGATTATTCTAAGCTCATGACTCTGACTCGTACTGACCGGCGGTGAGTGGCCGTGTGTACAGTGTGTACCTGGTCGGGCGACTTGTTTTCGGCCAGGTGCCGGGGACAGGCATTGCGCTGAGGAGAGGGGTGATGGGACGTGGGGCGATCCCTTTCCCGTAGTCCCCGTGAATGCGGCACCAGAGGCCCCGGGTCCATGCTGCCAAAGTTTGTGAAAAAAACAGAGACAAAAAAGAGAACAAAAAGCGGAGCTGGCGCATACGTGGACGAGTCACAGCTCGCTAAAAGCCTGTTGTACCCAAGTGCCGGCACGCTTGCGTACCTTATCTAGTATGTATTTATTGCTTATTGCTGCTGCATCACTTCTATATTGTCTTGCGACTGGTCAAGGTGGTGTTCTGGTTCGAGGGCTATCAGTTCTCCCCTGGCTACACACATGGTTTCTTTCTCTCTCTTTCTTTTCCTCCAATCTAGGTATGGACCGTATGACGTTGAGACCCATGAGCCAACACGAAGACAGACAAGACCGGTTGGGCGCTGAATGGCTGGTCCAAAATGCCCGCGTGTCTGGTTTTCAGCCGTTCGTGGCTGGTTTAAGTCAATACAGCGGGCAATTGTTTCGTTTCTTGTCCGCTCTTGTGGTCCGTCATCGGGGTTGCTGTACATACGTACATAGCAGGTACCGGTAGTGTACGCAGTGGTAGGACCCTGCAGGAATCGCGTCCGTCTCGGCGGGGCCGCTGACGGGGAGGGCATCCATCGCACGTGAGGGTTCACCCAAGAAGTTGAAAGACGAGTGTCGAGAGGTTGGTCTCGTGTTGGACATGGAAAAGAAAATATCGTCAAGACGCTCGCTCAGGTAGGGACAGCGGGAGTACTATCTATCACCGAAGGTTTGGAAAATAGAGCAGGAGTCCCTTGGGAACAGATAAACCGTTACGTCACATGAGGTCAGGTAGCCAACAGGATGAGGATGGCAGCACATATACTCGGGGATCGGACGAGGGGCAGCTTGCAGCCCCATCTCCCTGCGTGCTTTCTTTCCGGGTGATGGCATACCTAGGTACGGATAGACACAGCAAATGCCCTCCATGGAAGGTATCTTATACCTACCTAGGTGGTATGACACACTACTAGGTACGTAGCTGTGGTTAGGGTAGGTAAGGTAGGGTTCCTGCCGTTGTCGACCACGGTCCTCCTTCACACCACCTAGGTCATGCGTCCCTATCCAGTCCAGTCCGGTCCTTTCTTCCTTCTCCCGTCTAGTCCGGCCCTTTCTTCCTTCCTCCTACCCTTCCACTCCACTTGCGTCCCCTGCTCTCCCCTCCCTCGGGTCCATTCCAAACCCCTCTTCCCCAACTCGAGGTCCTTGTCTTTGCGCCATGGAATACGGAGTACTGAGAGAAAGAAAAGAAACCAAAGAGGGAAAATGAGTACCTACACAGTACACCACACCACACCACCAGACAGACAGACACATCACCAATGGAAAGCTTGGCCGCCCCTGTCACCGCGGGTCCCGTGATGGTCCCTTCCTATCCTGGCATGTTCCCAGAAGCCTATGCGTTGCGTGCAGTAATCTCTTCCCTTTTCGCATTGCACCCATCCCCCATCACAGCATGCGCTTGGTTTGCTTGACAAGGACGGGGTCTGAAGAGTCTAGGAAGGGCCTGGACTAGGTAGCTGTGCCTGTCGTCGGGCACCTCACTCATCCCACCATACAGAGCAATGGACGAAGCTACAGATTTGAAAGCCATCAAAAGGGCCCTGCCACCTGCTTTTCTGTTGTTCCGCATTTCTCGTCTCTTCTTCCCAACTCTCGTCTTCCTCCTGCATTGCCTCTGTTTCCACACATCATTCCGCTTGTCGTTGGTGTGTCGCGTTTCCTATCACCTGACTACCTTGCGTCCGTCTACATTACGCTGCGCTTTGCTTAATTCTCTGACCGGGAACCAACTCCATCGAAAAGGCTTACAACCTCGCATCGATTACTACCTACATAGTAACCAAGGGTACTGGAATTCACGAGACACAGCCTCCGACAACCAATCCAGTCAGCTGCCAAAGACGTATCCAGTTTAACAACGTTCCCCTCCCCGCCGACAAACCATCTTGCACCACCTATTCTCCATCTAGTGGTGCTGCCGCATCGACGTCAACAGCCATGGATGGGTCCGACAAACAGTGGGTAAGTCTTTGGGCCGGTTTCCATGCCACCTTATCTCATCCCGTCTCTCTCGGCGCGGGCAGCAAATGCCCGGTTGCTGTTATTATTATGCTCAGTCATCTCCGTCATCGCCCACGTTGTTCTGTTACTTCACCTTCTCCATATATCCGGTTCCGTAACCGTCACACCTGCCACCTTATCGCGACCCGTTGAGCCTGTCTCCGACCTTCCATATTCCGTCACTGCCGGGCCCCTAAGCGAGTCGAGGCCCAACAGGCCGCCTAGTCTGGGCGTTTTCAAGCACGGTCGAAGCCGATCGTCCCGTCTCGTCCATTCTTCTCAGCTATTGGGTTGCACTAGGTCTCTAGAGCATCCAACGGCCCCAGCCCGACCGGCCTCGTAATTCGATCCAAGCCAATCCATGCTACCCCTGCCAGCTCGAGTGAGCTGCCTGGTAAGGTACAGATCGCTCCCCCTGCACTGCACGGTTCAAGCCACCAAGCCGCGGAAGCGGCTCAAAGTCCCTTCTTGCGTCATTGCCATCCAGCTGGTTGGATTTCCAAGAACAGTTCCAAGCTCTGCCTTTCCATTCGTACTGCAGCTAAGCCATTGACGACGTAAACAATACGGGCCTCTCCACATCATAAGCATGCGCGTCCTCTCGTCGCTCATAGAATAATCCATCCCCTCATTACTCGGCCCTCACCCAGATTCGAACTGCGCTCGCATTGAATCCATCAATTAACACAATCAATCTAGGCCAAAGCATATCTGCTCGACCCTCTCACAGCGCCCGAACCCAGCCAGGAAACAGGTCCTGGAAGTTCCTTCATAAACCCCGATCCACTACTCCGGACTTTCTCCCAGAAAAAGAAGCAGCAGAAGGGCAAAGAACCAGTCAAGAGCAGCAACAGAAGCCATACCAGCCACAGCCGAACCTCATCATATCCCACCCCGCCTGCCTCGGCAAGCCCAACTCGTTCCAGCTTTCACTCATCCAACCCGTTTTCACCCACTTACAGACACGCTTCCCTGCCGCCGTCCAGAGAGCCTGCATCACCGGCATCGCCCTCTTCCCAACATCGACCCCTGGGCCGTGGTAGCAGCGTCCGCAGTAACGGACTTCCAAGCCCCTCATCTCCAAGAAACCGCTTCCCACCAAGCACAAGTGTCACGCGGAGTTTCAGTGCTCGCGCTCGCTCCCTTGCCGAGGATACCGGATTTCACCCAGACTCCTCTATCCAACGCAGCAAAAGCGTAAACACCCAACCCGCCCCCAGTGGTCTTCGTCGCTCGGGTTCGTTGAATCAAAGATTTCCCGGCGACATGTCTCATCGACCACTCGACATCATCAAGCGTGAGCAGCGTGCTGCAGACCGCGCACCCCACCTGCGGACGCGAAAAAACGGGCCAATGACGGACACCATTGATTCTCTCGACAACATCGGCGGCGTTTACCATCATGGCGGTCCCTACGATGCTACACTGGCATCCCGTAACCGCAACAGGATGTACGCCCCCGTTGAGGCCGTGAGAGAGTCCAACATGGAGGCCCTGAAAGCCACACCTCGCGAGTACATTGAGGATTCTCTGACTAAGCATGTGCCTTTGCAAGGAACCGGGCTCATTCCTTCAGGTGGTACTGATATGAGTGGTAATGTTATGAACTACGAAGAAGGTGCTGATCTGATGCGCGAGCCTGATGCAAAGGGAGGTGCCTACAAAAGATGGGATGGAATTGTGAGTTAATCCAACTCAACAACAGCCAAAGCTCCATGCTAATCCTCAACAGCCGTACCACCCTGATGATCTCAAGGGAAAGGGAGAGCCTTCCTATACTTACGAGAGAGACCTCAAGGAGAAGAAGCGGTTGCGCAAGGCGTCTCTGGGCAACAGCCCCGCAGAGTTTGAGATGCGTTCCGGCATCAATGCCCAGTCGCGTAAGGAGAACGGGTTGATGATTCGCCAACGTAGTCTCAGCAATGCCGCCGACGGCAGACCCGGGCCTTCCGAGTTCCGTAATGGACAATCGAATAGCGCCGATGTCCGTCGCCAGAACAGCACCGGAAAGCGTCTGAGCGAAGGCCTGAAGCGCCGATTTGGCAGCATCCGGCGGAAGAACCATGGCGCGGCCTGAGTGATAGTTGCCATCGCGAAGCTGCGCGATACCTTCATGAAACGTAAGGGAGCCCATGGCATGATGTTTCAACGGCGCCTGCACGACATGCGTAACAATCGGTGCAATAGTTGAATTACATTATCTTCTGGCAAGAGTACTAGTAGTAAAGAGAGCAGTCAAACGAAAAGACATGTATTGCTCAAACAGAACGTGGCACGGAGTTTGGTTTTGGAAGAGAGGTGATACTCGAATCGAGTTTCCAGTATTATTCCGCGGAGAATCAGGAGCAGTGGACCTTTAATCCAGGCGTTCCCAAGGATAGGAGGAAGAGATTCCATAGTCTTACAAATAGATCCAGAAGCTGCGAGATATTTTCTCCGTTTTACAACAGTGGCTCGGCCAGTTTGTGAAAATTCACGTAGATCGCTGGGGAAACGCTGGCAGACACCACGGAATGGTTCATGCTCATAAACGCCTCGTTTTGCTCAATCTACCTAGCTGAATCCGGCTCCGCCTGATGGGAGCCCCTGGCAAATCAGCATACCCGATGTTGTCTCGCCGAAAGGCATCCACAGAATCAGCGAAACAGTCAGCTCCTCTTCTCGATTCAAATTTCCCATCCATCTGTCACTAGTATATTCTTCTCGACGGCCCAAGAGCCGGGCACGATCTCTAGAAAAACGCCATGCCGTTCCACCCAAGGACGCCCTCCAACTCGCCTCGAACCTCGAGGACGTCGCCGTAGCCACCCTTGCCGGCAACCTCAGACCTGCGACCGGCGCCGAGCTCGTTCCAGCGCGCGAGCAGGGCGCCGTCGACGATGCTACGCCCCGCGCTCGTATCAACGCCAGGGGTGCGCGCATCGAGGGGCTGCAGACGGTGGGCCTTGGGATTCGTGGCTGCCGCGTGCGGGAGGGCGCCGGCGATGCTGTTGGCGAGGGATGTCAGGCGGCGGTATGCCTGCTCCGAGAGGGGCGTAAGGGACGCAAGAGCGCCCGTCGGGGAGGCGAGGAGGAGGGTCGTGGGCGGGTTTTTAGTTGCCGACGTTGTGGCCGTGGAGGCGGGAGTTCGCGGGAGGGAGAGTGTAGTGGTAGGGTGATTCGGTGCCGCGGAGAAGGAAGCGCGGTTCAGGAGGAGATGGCCCTGGAGCGATTTGGGATCTGGAGAATGTTAGCAGGCCAATGGATTATATAAAGAAGGCACCAGGGGTCGGGTATCAGCCTACGTTCGGGATCGAATTGCATCACGTGGATCACGCCGTCCTTGTCGCACACGACGATGTGTAGCTCATCCCCAGCGATGATGAAGTCAGCCGTCAGGACCTCGAACTTGCCGGTGCTCTTGCCGAACAGCATCATCTTATAGGGCTCCTCGGCGTACCCCACAAACCATACGCCCTTGAAAGCGTCAGTCATGAGGCAGTAGCCCGTGCCGCGTACCTCACGCACAGCAGTGACGTAACAGTTCATGTCCATAAAGGCGACGGGCAGAAGGGTGCCGTCTTCCTTGAGGCCGCGGACCATGCACTTCTGGCCCTGGGCGACGAGCATGAGACCCTGCGAGCCCACCTCGCAGAGGCCAGTGACGGCGCCACGGGGAATTTCTTCCTTGGCGACAAGCTTGAGCTTCTTGTTCGTCTCGGGACGACCCGGCTGCGGCACAACGGGGACAACGTCGTAGACGAGGATGCGGCCGCGGATGGGCAGGTCCTCGCCGCGGTTGATTGCAGTGCCGATGGTGATGAGCATGCGGCGCTCCTTGGTCTCCTCGGACACTTCCAGGTGGAGTGTCTTCATGCACATGGCAACCTCGTGGGGCTCGAGCTCGACGGTGTCGATGACGGACCAGGTCGTCGGGCTCATCAGCTTGATGATGCCTCGCTCGGTCTGGGGGTAACTGGTGGTCGCCTCCTTGGCCCATTCCTTATGGTAGTCATCGTCCTTTGGCAGCTCGAAGCGCTCCAAGACGCTGCATGCGACAGCGTACGTCTCCATGGGCGGGTGGTAGGCGATCAGGCCGACGTTATCACCAATGGGAATCTTGCGCACCGCGACACCTAGCTCGGTAAAGTTGGTGTCGGCGGGCAGCTGAGTGACGCGGGTCTGGCCCTCCGAGTCGGCGTAGATGAAGCCGCGCTCACAGCCCTCGGTGTGGAATGAGCTCATGCCACGAACACCAATACCCTGCAAGCCAATAACCTTCGGGCTGCTTTTGGAGGACTTGATGATGAAAGATGGTGAGGCGCCGGGTAAGAAGACGGTGCTGTACCCGTTGATGTTGGGGCAGGGCCTGAGTGGGACAAAGCGCGGCTGCTCGTTAGCTTCATCGTCGGCAACTTCAACAGGACTCTTTGCGAGGGCTGGGTTTGTGATCTTTTGGAAGTGTAGAGTCTTTGAGAGCCCCACAGTCTTGTCTTGTGATTCAAGGCGGATGGGTTCGTAAATTGTAAGGTCGTCATTCGCATGACGAAGCTTTAAGGCACAACGTTAGCAGGTTTGGTGAGGTGTCTTGGAGCATTGGACTTACGATGAGGTATGGTGAAGTAGTAGTAGTGTCCCCGAGATCGGCCACCAAGAGCTCAGTCAACGTCTCCTGAACGGTGCCTCGTCTGACGGCGTAGTCGGCGGAGAGAAGAGGGGGGACGTAAGTCAAGCCTGCTGCAACGTAGACAGGCTTAGATAGATCCGGAAGTGCATATATCTGGAAAAAGGCAAGTAAGCATATATATCGGTCGAGAAAACGGTTGGCTTACATATAGAGCGCCCGCGGCGCTGAGCAAAAACATAAAGATGTTCTGGCCTTCTGGCGTACCCTTGTCGGTTTGAACTGGGGCAAACCGGCCTGTCGTGTCCGCATACAGACATCCCGCAAGCCACTTTGTTGACAGAATGGCATCGTCCTGCTTTTCAACCTCTTCCAGCTCGCAGTTGTTGTCTATTTGGGCCACCATGATGCTCGAATCATCTCGAACCAGAAGAAGGTAGGGGTCAGCGATGCTGGCACTGACGACCCTCGGCTCAGCACCCGTCTCTTCGTCGAGCATTGGCAGAATCTGGCTGAGCCCCAAATCTTGTTAAAAGTCAGCGATGGTGCTCAAAACGACAACAAGAAGAAAACGGGATCAAGGAAACAAACCTCCATCATAGCAGCGCACTTCAGACTTGAGAACCTGGATAATGCGCATATGCTTTCCCATCGTGCCAGCCTCGACAGTGAAGCCCGCAGCTGGGTCGAATTCCGTCCCTGTCAACGCTTCAAACCCGGCGCCTGTAAGAGCATAAACGTCTGACGTCTCATAGCCGTCTAGATCAACCTTGGAAACAATCATGAATTTGTCATATATAGACGAGGCATCAAATTCGCTGCCAACGGCTGCATTGGCCCCCTTGTCTCCCTGCAGGGACTTCGGAACAGGTTTCTGGACGCACATGGTCCAGAAGCCTCTCGCCTCTGGAAACTCGAACTTGCCGATCACCTTGGGCTGGATGTTCTGGTTCAGGATGGCGACGGCCCCAGCATTGCCTCTGCCCACGACACATGCGAGCTGGAGGTCGGCCACGACACCAACCGAATTGTTTGCTTCTTCACTATCTGGGTTGAAAGCTTGTTTACCCGAGGTCATGTCCTTGACCGGAGCAATGCTCAGCAAAGAGTCATGAACACGGAACGTCAGATCCCCTCCCTTGGAAACTCCGTTGGCCGTCGCTCCAGGCTGAATCATCGTTGTTGTCGTCTCGCCGTAGAGATCGTCGTCGTCGCCGTCATCCATATCTTCGTCCTCGAGGTCGTATTCGAATGAGTCGTCCACCAATCGGGTTTTTCTCCGTGCGTTTTGAGCTTGTTTCCGCGTCCAGCCAAGAACAAGAGAGTCACTGCCTGTGCTTCCAACAAAGAAGACGTTCCTACTAAGCTTGGAAATGGTTGAAACGCTGCATTGCACAATATTGCCGCCAACTTCTGCTGCCACCGGCTTGACGCTGACTCCTGAGACCGTGCGCCCATCGATTTTGAAGGTGATGATGGCTAGGCGACCGTCGCTCAGCACCATGAGCAACTCCCCGTTCTCGGCGGACATAAGCTCGATGTGGCAATGCTCGAGCCTCAGGTCCAGATCGGATTGGTCGGCAAGAGGAAAATTCGTCGTCTCCTTCGTGAAAGCATTAACAGCTACGCCATTGGGCTTTCCGGACTGGTCGATGTGTATTAATTCGTTTGTGCCAACTAGAAGGGCCCCTCCCACGGGGCCTGGTAAAGCGACAACCTTGAAGAGGTCCTGCGGGAGGTTGTTGACGGAGAGAATGGCGGTTGAAGCCCTCTGTTGCAGGTCGAGAGTGAAGACCTTGTACGAGAAGTGGTCCTTTCGAGGTAGGGTGTTGGAGCGCCGTTGCGTCGAGGAGATGATACCAAAAGTAGGCTCTCTGTACTCATGCAAGAAGGCGAGGTACACAGGATGAAGGAGACTGGGATCAAGCTGGGGTAGAGGGAGGACGTATGATGTTGAGTATGGTACATCTGCTATGTTGCTAGTTCCATTTGTGGCTGCTGTTGTTGGCGGCTCTTTTGCCGGCCGAGGCCCATCCACATCTTCATCCCAGTCATCCATATCTATGTCCTCATCGGCTTGCTTGAAGGGGAGAAAGGCGATGTATCTGGGGCCAAAACTGAGGGCCGCGCATCGCGAGCCAGGATCGGCGGCAAGATGTGTTCGGTAGTTGGCCAGCGGGCCGTCGAAAGGAGAGCCTTGCAATTCTTCTTTCTCGTAGTAGTGAATAGAGATGTCCTCGAGTGCGTGTTTCTCGGAATTCCACTGAACCAGGCTCAGTCTAGCAACTCTTGTAGCAATGAGGAGAGCCTCGCCTCCTGATTTCGAGTGTTGGATTTTAATTCTTGCGAGGCCCGTTACGACACCAAAGATTGGGTATTCGGCAACGAGCACGAGCTTGGTGTTGACGGCGCGATCGGCGCGAACCAGCATGCCGTCGCCGCCCAAAAAGGAAGACTCGAGGCCGTCATCGTCATTCAATCGGCGGTCGTATGGGTTTTCGGCCCTGGAGGTCTGTTTTTCCCGAGTCTGCGAAGTGTCGACCTCGGAAGAGATTGTCTTTGTCGTGAAGATCTGCAGCAGAGAGCCCTTTGCGACGACCAGGTTGTTGCTTTGCGCTGAGAGAAATGGCAGGCTAAGACTGTACTGCACGCCGGTCGGTGGCGTCAGCTCTGTATAGCACTGCATCTTGACAGACTCAGGCAATTGCCCATGGACCGCCTGCTATCATTGGTTTGAAGGTTCAAATCGTGGTTGTAGGAGCGTGGAGGACTATCGCAAAATCAAGAGCTCCTTCCATCTACAAGGAGCTCTAGAAACGGGAGAAAGCCCATTGAGCGTGTCGCGTTTTCTGATTGGTAGAAACTGGTTCTCCGGAACAATAGAGCCGCCGATGCTCTCACCCCGGAGACCATTAGCTCTTACCTAAGGCAAGCTTGGTGCTGACGTTCAGGACTCGTCAACGAGCACTCGGGCGCTGCAGCGCACACACAGCTGGGGCTTCTTAGACTCCCTTAGCCTATGGCGCTAGCAAGAGCTATCAGCAAACTGCCTTATTCGACGCAAGTTACGTCACCCGGTGCAACCTCTATAGACCTCAGGCATGCGAAGCTAAAGCTCATCCGGCGCAGGAGAATCAAGGAGTGAAACAAATAATGACGCCTCCCACAGCTCCCTTCCAGGTCAATTAATTCTTCGCAAAAACAACAACAGAAGAAAGACTACAGCTAAAGAATTGCGATTCACTGCGCAGGCACTGCAAACCCGCAACTCACCATGGCCAACGCAGGCCTCCTTCAAACCAGCCTCATCTGGGTGGCGTACGCTGTAGCTGTTGTCCTCTGTCTACTAGCTGCTATCATCACCACCTTCACCTGGCAAACACCCCGCGAGCGGTCTGCCATCGTCAGTACCGTCGCCATCGTCAGTCTCACAGCCCTTCTGGCAACGGTTCTCCTTCTTCCCGTCGATATCGCTCTTATTTCGTCGACAACACACGCCTCCCTTGGCGTGAAGAAGGACTGGGCTACCGAACAGCGGGTCTACGATATTCTCCAGACTTTGCGCATCGTATACTATTCTCTGTACAGCTTTGACGCCCTGCTGTGTCTCTTGATTATTCCATTCGCCTACTTCTGGCACGAGGAATACGATGAGATTGAGGTCGAGGAAGGTCGGTCATTCGGCAGCCGCCTCATCAGCGCGCTGAAATACACATTGGTCTTTGTTGTCCTTGTTGTGGTCCTCTTTCTGGTCGGCTTCTTCGTTCCAGCCGCTGGAGACCACAACGGCGCTCACTGGGACTTGGATTACTTCAAACGCATTCTCGCCCAGAACAATGGGCAAAAGGCGCTCTCCTTCGCATTGGGTCTGCTGGTCACTCTTGGAGTTCTGCTCTACGTTATCTACACAGCGGCTGGACTGGCGCTGCTTCCCATGTCCTTCATCAAGTCTGCACCTTCCGTCTCTGCACCCCAACTTACGGAAAACACCGCATCGGCATTGGAGCAGAATCGGGAACGCCAACGCCAGCTAGAGATGCGCAACGCTGGCCGCCCTGAGGGCATGTCTTCCAAGGACCGACGCGAGCTCGAGGCCCTGGTGCGTGAGGAGCGGACGTTGACTCGCCGAGAGAGGTTGGCGGCTGAGGCTTCGGGGGAAGGCCGCAGTACTATCTACCGTGTGTGGCTCAAGTTGTGCGCCGTCTTCCGGCCGATCAAACTTCTTGGTGGCATCTTGCTGCTCTTGCTTTCCGTCCTGATCTGGGTGTCAATGTTGATCACTGGGATTGACAAGGCGAAGAACTCCTTCTGTAAGGGGAAGTGCGGCTACATCCTGGGCCATATTAACATCTTTCAACCGATCAACTGGATTTTCACGCAGTCGGCTAAGGCGTTCCCGGTCGACTACGTCCTTATGGCTCTCCTCGTATTGTTTTTATTCAGCAGTTCCATTTCGGGCATCGCCGCCGTCGGTATCCGATTCCTCTGGGTTCGCATCTTCCAGATTCGCAGAGGACGTACCGCGCCTCAAGCCCTACTTGTCGCAACGGTTATGCTAGCTCTCATCATCCTGGCCATCAACTATGCTATCGCCAACATGGTGGCCCCTCAATACTCCATTTACGGCACGCAGACGTTCTGCACAGCCCCTCATGAAGTTGGCGAGACGCCCAACTGCAAGGGCAGGCCTGACTATATTGTTCAATGCTCCGAGGCTTTGGACCCCGATGCGCTGAAAGTCTGCACACCTTCGGTCATGGCGGAGTTCCTAAATCGAATCGCCATCACCTGGCCCTTTTTTGGCGTCTTGGACTTCTGGGCCCAGTTCGTCTTCCTCGGTATCTTCCTTGTTGTCTTTGTGACTGGACTGTTCCGCACGCCCAAGCTCAACATGTCTGCGCTTGACGAGGACGCCGAGGAGGATGAGGAGGAGGGCCTGCTCGCAAGCACCGGACGGAGATTCGGAGCTACATGGCAGGACATTACGGGACGCACAACCTCAAAGAATACCTACGGCACGCAGGGGGGCAACAACGGCGCCAGCTCTTCTGAGGCTTGATCCTGTAGGAAGGGGTTTTGTAGTGTCAGAGGCATAGTGTTACGTATACACGAAGATTGTACAATAAGCATCACATGGCATGCAGAGAAGGATTTGGGATAGCGTGGAATTTGCATCGAATCACGGGCATGGCACACGGTGGCGGGAGGGATCGGATTTGCGATACAGAGTTAACGACACAGAATGCTCAAGCTGTTTTTCTTCCTTCATGACGCTCCTAGCATGACCCTCCTTTGACTTTCCTTCTTGGGTTTGACGAACCGGACGGCCTTGTGCGTTCGGTCGTCGAAGGCCGCGGCGGGGCCAAGGTGCATCTCATGCCAGCACCTCGCGCAATAGACGTCCTCACAGCCCAGGCACTGCAGTGAAGCGTCCTCTAGACACACTACACACCATGTTTCGGCGTCTTCGTCGGTGTAGCCCGTTTTGGAGGTCAGCCGCTTCACCACACGATCGGCTGGCTGGAACGTAGGGACCGAGGGAAGCCCCATGCCATCCGACGAGGAGCCCAGGCTACTCAGGGCAGCCATGCGAACGGCAATGTCGTTATCAAAGTCCGACCCAGCGTCGTGCTGTGGCGTGCCAGAGGGAACGGAGGGCAGCAAGAGGCCACCGTCGCCGTCGCCGTCGCCGCCTACCGTTGGCGCTGCAAGGGTTGATGGTACGGATGGAAGTGAGAGCCCGGCATCGCCGTCTCCGTCACCTTTATGGGCCTCCCGTGGGCCCTTTTGGCTCTCATGGCCAGGACTTCTGTCCGGTTCGGGCACTTCCTCGGGCTGGGGGCTCAACCCCACTTCGTCGAAAGCCTGGGAGAGCAAGTTTTCCACCTCGCGGCTCATATCCTCGCCATCGGACTCATCATCACTGTGATCATCGCGTGCCCGTTCTCCATCATACCGCGCCTTCTGGGCCACTGAAGTCTTCGAGAGCTCTTCCAAAAGGGCATTCACTTTGGCGGACTCATCCTTGGGTTCGGGACGCCACCGACTTTGTGGGCTAGAATCATCGAGGAGGTCTTCGTCGTTGAGCAGGTCTTCAAGGGTTTGATCATCTGTCTGTAGGAGGGGATCGACGTCGTCACCCCCCGTTTTTGCGTGAGTCGCTGTCGGGGCCGGCGCGGTCGACGGCGTGGGCGATCTCGAAGATGACTGAGGCGGTGCAGCCACCGCCGCTTCCTTTGGGTGGAACCACCGGTTGGAGGACGAAGAAACGGGTGGTAAACCTGCGGGCTTCCCGCGGGTGCCTGTGGTCTCCTGATGACCGCCATGTGAGTCCACCGTGACCTTTGCGGTGCGCGGCTGTGGAGGTGGATGGTCCTCGCGCTCTGGTGTGTTCCTCAAGGACCGCAGCCTGGCCGCCAACGCATCTTCTCTCGAAGCCGGCTTTGCTGACTCAATGCCTGTGACAGAGATATTCAGGGCACTTTGAAAGACCTTAGCAGTTGTATTCTAGCCATGGTTCGCGAAATCACAGAGAAAGCAGTTCTTTTGGTATTATTTACTTTGATGATCGGTCCAATGACACCCCAGGGCTGCCGCCGCCCTTTAGCGCGCTTAGGCGGTCGAGCAGGCTCTTGTCGGGACCGCTCATGCCTGGAGAAATGATGACCACTTGCGAAATGGATTGAAATCAAAGAGTGGAAGTGATGATAGGCCTCAGTCAGACGGCGAAGAATGCGAGGCGAGAGTGGCCGACCCCTCACCTTGCCAAGGCGGAAACAACAAAAGCGGGCGATGAGTAGTTTGATGAGTCTCCGAAGACGTTGCAACAGGCGGCGGCGTTATGGAGAACGCCCGGTCACAGTAGTACAAGGCAACTCGCGAGGCATCCAGGGGACGAACGGTCGAAAAGGTAGCTGCAGGATCTGGGGAAGAGGGTCGTACGGAGATCTTGTTACCTATTGGCATGAGATAACAAGTACGAATAGCGGGGGGGCAGTCGTTAAGTGGCCTATTAGGTGAGACTCGGAAGATACTTTGCTTTGACTGGTGCGGCGATGCTGGGCTGACGCTGAGAAGACGTGGAAATGTGACAATGTCTCAGCCCCTGTACAAGCCAATGACACCTTCAGCACAGCCTCAGCTCAGCATTGTCCCTAGCCACATGACAGTGGACGGCCATTATTGTGTACCTACCTTTGCGATCCTACGGGGGACAAGTCACAGATTAAGCTTGAATACCTAAGCGAGGAGGGCGAATTTCACCCCGGGTGACTTCATCAGATTAGGCAGAAACCTGTGCCCGGCGCACCCGTAACGAAGTCTTCCCATAAAAGCTATCTGATCCGGCCTTTGCCCGACTGTGGTGAGCAGTTACGTCAATCTGACTAGGTACGTTTACCTTCGAATACGCCAATCGCAATGTATTGAAGTGCTGCTTCATCTAGATGATTGACCATACCAGTGACGGGGCTCCTTTTCCACATTGCTCTCCGGGTTGGTCACGCCTACCCGCAAGCGGTAGCAGACCGCTGGCTGCCTTGTAGACGCCACCAACGCACCGGTCTCTTCCTTCAAAATGACTTGAGGGCAGCGATAATCATCCCCTTAAAGCAACTTAGCTCGGGATGAAGACGGGCATTGACGAAGGATCCCTCCTCGGCTGCCTAACGAGGCTGTATTGAAGGGAAGGAAAAACATACCGACTACATACTTAATTCGACAATGCCCAAGGATTCAATTCTCTCATCCATTACCCTTCTTTCCACCTGCTCAAGCCAAGGTGCGAGTACTACAAGGCGTTCTCCCGTAGTGTCGCACATGTACACAATAAGGCCATACACAGTCATACATTCCACTTTCTCCATTACCATCTCTCGAAATACATAACTGTCAGACAATAAATAAGCCAAAGACCCTGCTTGCATCATCGACTGGGCGATCCTTCAAATTCTCCACCTAAAAGACAAAAGAAAAAACCCCTACCTGCGTTCCGAACAGACTTGCACCACCTTACCGGTAGCCCACAGCCCACAGCCCAAGATCCCTTTCTGCAGAGGTGACTTCATTGTGCAGTCGCACGACAGCGAGCGAACACCGACGCAGCACACACATCAATTGGGCCTCGCGTTACTCCTGGACCTCCGTCATACACTAAACTAGTTAGGCGGTGGCAACCACCCAGTCGATTACACATTGTCTGATCAAATCCGAACATCCCTGTTTTGGAGGGGTACATACACATCAAAGCACAGCTCAGCTCTTGGCGTATGACACGTCTGGCTAGCCCAGCCCTTCCTTGAAACAGAGAGACAAAAGTGCCCTCCTTCCCGCTCCGCTCCATCTTTGCGACGAGCTTTCTAAACTTTTCCTACTATCGGAAATCTTAACCCCCGTCATCCAAAACTCAACTTCTGTGTTATTCACACTTAAGTCACCTACTCCCATCGACAACTCAAATTTGTGGAACCTCTCCCCCCCAGCGATCCTCCGCATACGTTATCGAGCAATCGAACATTCTCACATTCGCCAAGCGAAATGAGGCTAGACCTCGCAGTCGTCGCGCTGACGCTGTGCGTGCCCACGTGGGCTGTGGCCGTCGATACTGGGCTTCACGGATCAGACGTTGCTTTCCTTGCCCCCAAAGCTGAGCGCGACAACTCCCAGTCAGATGAGAAGCTGTGGAAGCGCAAGGGCGGCGGAGGAGGTGGCGGTCGCGGAGGAGGTACATCAGGTGGGTCTCGCTCAGGCGGCAGTAAATCCGGGGGTTCTTCTGGTGGTTCTTCTGGTGGTTCCTCTGGGGGCTCTAGCACAGGCGGTTCCAGCTCCGGTTCCGGGTCCGGCTCAAGCTCACGAAATGGTGGTTCAGGTTCCGGAGGCTCGAGAGGAGGCACTGGTGGCGGCAGTTCTAGGTATGCGGTCCCTTGGATAGCCCCAGCCCGGCTCCCCCAACAACAGGCTCACTAACAATACCCAAAGTTCGAGAGGTCGTGCCGGCGACAACGCCGGCGGAAGTACGAGGTCGGGCAGTGGGCCACCGCCGGCTTACGGTGGTGGCAGATATTATGGAGGTGGAGCGGCAGTCCCCTACAGGGCGGGTGCGGCGAGAGGCAGCATTTTGCCCTTCGTCTTGGTAGGCGGTGCTCTGGCCTTCTGGCCGGGTCTCTGGCTTGCCGGCGCATACATGTATCCTTACAGCCACCCTTACCGCTACTACAACGAGACCGCGCGCGAGAATCAGACGAAAGCCGTTCTGTGCGGTTGCGCCGAAGACCTGCCCTGCGGTTGCGAAGAAAACAACGCCACCGATTACATGAACTCGTTGCTCGGCAACGGAAGCTACGACGGCCTGAACAAGTCCGTTGTTAACATCGGCGAGGTCAACGGCACCGAGACTATCCTAATCAATGGCACCCTGCCCAGCGGCACGACCGCGTCCGGCGGCACCGACGAGGTTGGTTCCGCCGCCTTCCGGACCGCTGTGGAGACGCTTGGTTTCTGGCCTGTTGCTGCGGTTGTGCTGGCGACCGTGTTCGCTGCGTAACTCCCCCCTCACCTATGAAAATGCTAAACGATGACGGTGTACATTATAACGGTTGGAACGCACATATGGATTGGCAATACCATTTTTTCGCCTTTTTGGCTATGAGCAACGATACCCCACTGAAGCTCACTCACTGTGGTTTGTGCTCTTGAATAGAGTAGGAATTGCTACTCTAAGGAAACGGAAGTTTGGAACAATGCCTAAAAGGTAAACAGAAACAGATACTATTAATGCCCCTATGGATTTCTCAATACCGTGCAATAGTTGTGGCGATGATGATTTGTCATATTATGGTTGCAAGCTCTTGGACAATTGCTCAACCCACGCTTCTTTCATACAATGATAACAGCACTCTGCGTAATACTCACGACGCCTCTGCACCTCTCTCAGCCCGCCTCCTCTCACACCACTCCCCCAGCTCCCTCCAAATCCTCTCCTTCTCCGCCAGACGAAGCGTAGCGGCCAGCCCGCTCGTGCTCGTCGCCACAAACACCCTGGCCCCGGCCCAAGCCGTCGGCGACGCACCGTCGGCGGCCGCATCTCCCCCTTTCGCTGCGACGACGACACCCATGTCCTCCCTCTCGTCCTGCCACCCGTACCGGAACTCCTCCTTCCGGATTCCCCTCCCCCGCCGCACCCGCCAGATGCTCTCCCAGATGCCCTTGCCGACGATGCAGACCACCTCGGGCCGGCACCCCCGGACCTTGTCCTCCAGCACATCCACGCCCTCGTCCATCTCCGCCTTGGACAGCTCCGCGCCGTTGCGGCTCGGGCGGGCGACGATGTTAGTATTCCCCAGGCCGTAGAGCCGCGGCAGATCGCGGTCCTCGGTGGGCGCGCACAGGCGCGGGGTGATGCCCGACGAGTGGAGGAGCTTCCAGAAGAGGTTGGAGGGGTGGGCGTAAGCGTGGCCGAGGGCGGCGGTGCGGAGGCCTGGGTTCAGGCCCACGAAGAGGATTAGGAGGCCAGGGGCAAGGATGTCCGTCAGGTGCGGGAGGTGGGCGTAGGTCGAGGGCGGGGCGTAGCCTGCCGCTTTCCGCCTGCGTTTCGGCTTGGCGTTCCCGGCGGGCGGGGTGATGTTTGCTGGGACGAGGGCGAGGTCAATGGAGTCCGAGTCCGGGGGCTCGGGTTTGGGCGAGAGGACGCCGGAGGCCGGGGGCGGAGGCGTCTTCTGGGAGGGCTCCGGCGTTGATGCCGCGGATTTGATGGCGGTGGCGGCGGCGGTGCTGTTGCTGTTGTTCCTGCCGGAGGCGTTGCGGTGCTTGCTAACGCGGTTCGGAGACGGGACGGGCCCGAGTGCGGTTGACTTCCGGGGACTGCGGCGAAGCGGCGTCGGGGATGGGGATGGGAGACCTGGACTTGCGGCTGTCGCGGGTGTTCCGGCTGCTCCCCCGCCAGGTGGCGCGGACGTCGTCGCCGCACTGAACATGTAGTCCTGCAGCTGCAGGCGCCCTCGAAAGCTTGCGGCCTGGGGCCTGGGCTCTCGGTCAAAGAACGGGGACTCCATGACTCTGAGTCCCAACTCGGGATTCACTCTCCGGGGGGCGACTTTGGTGGGGGGTTAAAGACCCAAGTTGGACTGCCGTCCCGACAGCGTAGGGTACCTAGGCTCCAGACAGTGAAGCAGCCAACGGTCTTGGGACGGGGTATTGGTTTGTGGGTTTGAGGCGAACTGAAAATTGAGTTTACTAGGTGAGATATCTGGGCTGGATATCTTTTCCGCCACCAGCTAAAGTTGCCACCGCACCTAGGTTTAACTACCTACCTACCTACCTACCTAGTCAGGGGAAGGTCTCGTTACGCAGTTGATTCAGGGTCCTGCGTTGACATCGGGGACCCACAAAACATAGACTTGGAAATGCAGCTAGGTACATACCTGGGTACTTCTACGGATACTTCCGTGACTTCTTTCGTAGTCGGGACGTCAACCGAATTGTTGTGGTTCAAGGACCCGAAAATTGCCCCCAGATGACGGCGATTTCTCGCGAACAAGGAGAGCGATCACCACGTCACTGATTATATCTTTCTATAATTGAACTGGCAGTTCGCAGTTGACCACGGAGACCACAATACGAGATTGCAATTCTATACCAAGGGAAGACGCGGTTCTTAAACTCCTCAAGTGGTATCCATCATGCACCCTGGTTCCAAACCCATATATACTCTGTTACGCTATGCGCCCGGAAATTGGATGAACCTTTGACGAGAAACAACCGTCGCCCCAGCACTCAACACTGCCCTTCTTCAACTTCTTTCACAAGACAATGATATTGTCCACCCTCCGTCCTTGTGTCTCGATAAAATACTTTCTGCGGACGCCCACACCCAGCGCGTTTCCGAATTTCTCGTACGCCTCGGGACCGCCGCCGCGGATCATCACCATGGCAATGGGGTGCGGCCGCCGCAGTCCCGCCGGCGTAATCTGTTCCACGTCCAGATGAGGCTTGATCATTTCATACTCCCACATGTCCGGGGCACTGAAGACATAGTCGTTCTCGAGCTCGTCCTCATCCACGATAATGACGAGCTGTAGGGAGCGCGCTGAGGGCGTGTATGAGGGTATGTTGGCTATCTTCTCGCTAAAAGAGCAGCCCCCGCGGCGCATGACGATGACTTGGTGATGGCGGGGTGCCTCGTCCGGCAATCTGCCATCGCAGCCAAACCCTGCACGGTAGACCGTCTGCCACTGAAGGGTCGGAGCGGCATCGTCGGCGGGGATGGACGCATCAGGGACATCAGGTAGCGGGACAGCTCCCTTGCCCACGGCCAAAGCCCCCATGTAACTCTCAACATGAAATTTCGCCTGGGTTCCTGCTGGAAGAGGCGCCGGCGTGTTGGCGGGATCAAAGACCGATGTGACAGCGCGGATCATGGACTTGAGCATGGACCTGTAGGCCGTGTTCATGCCCTTGTCCGCAGCTTGGTCATCCGCCAGTTCAGGCCTGGCCTCTTCGGTGAGCTGAACCTGGTTGTCGAAATCGCCAATATCGACTTCCAGCCCCTCAGCAGGGACCGGAGCGCTGGCATTATGCTCTTCTGGCTCTCCGTGCATCATAATGAGCTCAATGAATCCGTTATAACGGACGCGGTTGAAGAGAGGGTCGGAGATGCCTTTCAGGAGATCTGCGTCAATGTGGACTGGTTCATCCCGCCCCAGAGGCAGGTGGTTCACTTGCGTAACTCGCCAGGTATGGTCGTATGCAGAGTCAAACGTATCCTCCTGGACGAAGTAGACCTTCAGTCCGCTCAGGGCAGATATTCTGACGCCCACCGGTGTTTTAAAGGCTGCAGTGTTCGCAAAGAGGTTGTTGAAAGCACTGCCAACACTGCCCTGTTGTACAGTAGAAGGGAATTCGATGATGAGCGTGGGCTTGAATGGCAATGCTGCGCAAGTACCGTTGTCGGGAATGAGAGATCGTGGCAACGTCCAAGGAAAGAATGTGTGATTTGCCTTGTATCTGGAGATCGAGCCGTTACTTCCCTTGCCGGCAGGAACAAGCTCCACCCCACTCCGCGGGTTGGATATGGTGTGGAGGTTGACGAAGCTTGCCGCGTGGAAGACGTCTGGTCGTGCGGCCAGAACAGATCCTGTTAGGGGGACTTGCTTTGTTGGTGCAGGGCAAGTGTTTGTGAAGTTCTCGTCGTAGTAGACGTCGACGCTCCTGGCCTGCCGGTTGGATTTCTGCTTTCTTTTCGGCTTCGTCCTTCGTCGAGGAATGATTAGAGGATGCGCTTCGGTCGTGAAGACATAAGCAGCGTCAAGCTTGTTTAGAGGATGGTCTGGGTCGAAAAGCAAGTACAGGTACTTGGTGGTTTCTCCCAGGAAAAAGCTTTGCATGCGGTCGGCCTTCTCCCCTGTGTCGACGTTCTGGAGCCCGGACCAACCGCACTTTGTGTAACACAGTCTCTTGATGTCGCTTAGGACCATCTCCCCAACATGCACGTACCAGGGGTCATTCGTAGCACGATACAAATAATAGGTTGACTCGATGAACTCGGGCCGACCGGGCCACCAGCCAATGCCGGAATCAACCTGTCGATCGCGGACAGACCATCGCTCAGGCAGAGCACCATAGCGGGTCCAGAGGGCGGTGTATAGCAAGTTGGCTTCCTCAGCCTCCTCGACCTCGCCAGCCATGGCAAGCAAACCAGGATAGAATGCTGCAAGGCTGTCGATCCAGCTCGTGAAGGCGTACCCACGGGTCCGGTGGCCCGTCATGTAATACGGATGATGCGCATCGTTGTACAAATGACGCTTGATTGCTGCATGTGCGTGGTGCCACGCCTCCAGAAAAGCCCCCGCAGAGTTCTCCTCCGGCGTCAATGGTGTATCGTGCAAAGTGTTAGGATCGAGCCACTGTCGGTCTGTGGGCGGCTCTGATATTGTAACGTTGGGGAGTTCATGGCCCGACAGCAGAATATGGCTTTTCAGAGCATATTCGAAGAAGCTGTCGACGCCAGCACCTATGCCAGAGTCGAAGCTGACCCATTCACCTTTTTCAGGGTCGATGGCATTCCCGATGAGGCCAATTTCGCTTTTGGCTTTCCAGACTGCCCAAAACGCCCTCTTAGCCAGCTGCTCAAACCTCGGATCTCCGGTAAGTCGGCTGAGGACGGTAAACTCCAATACAAGACTCCCTGCGCCAGCACTGCATGTATCCGTTTTCTCGTTCGTATTTCGAGGCGAGTCCGGGTCATCGCGGGAGACTTTGTGTAGCGGAGAATTTACATAGAACGGAATGCCGTGTCGAAGGTTAACTCTCGGATATGGTAGGCCGGTCTTCGTGTAGAAGGCAGGCAGAAGTCTCTCCGCGAGGTCCAACGCTAGCCTGAGAAGTTGACCATCATACTTGAAACCGTTCGGCCAAGATATTGGGCGCAGTTCCAGCGGGTCCTCGTCCTCGTCCTGATTCGAGACTTGACCTGGGTTGTAGCCCGGTATCGGCAGCTCTCCCACAGCGAACAAATGTGCGCTCAGCAGACCGCCTACCCCTCTGATGACCGTCTCAAAGACCTGTACTTTGCTGTCAAGGTCGAATCCCCGTGCTCTTCGGCCTTGCCCGGAAGGGCCTCGTCTACCATCTCCATAGTATTCGACGAAAGCTGACACGCTCTGCTGGAACTCCTGCAAAGCCCATACGGCAGTATTATGATCGGATGGAGTCCCTGCAAGGATCGCCAAAGTCGAAAGGCTGTCAATGAGGGTGAGAGAGTAGTTCCCAAGGACATCGTTGAGGTCGTAGTTTGCGGGGTTCGCGGGATCGCGCGTCAATGGGGTGCAGGAGATTGGGCGCAGCTACAAACGAAAGTCAGTTCGATAATGACATGCTCAGAAGGCCTTGCGAAAACATACCTCGTCTTCCGGGAATGCGATGCGCATGTAGTTGTCCCAGCCATGGTGGAAGACCTGTGTGGTTGCATTGCGCAGTTCGGCGAGGCGGGCAGGGCTAATCGCGGACACGGCCAGAGGCCATAACAGACACAGATGAGCCAAAACAAGAAGTTGTGATAGCATGATGATGCTATCTACTCGGAATCTCGGCGCTAGGCAGGGTTCCCATCAATCAGCGGGCTGCCAGCGGCAGATGCCTCTCGATTTATGCGCGACTAAGGACAGCGGTCGTCATGGAAGGGTGAACCATTCGACAGGCGATGATTCAAGGCAGAAACATAAAATCACCAGTAACGAACTGACAGTAGAAGAATAAAAAAAGGAGCGTTGATCGGGAGTTATGGTTTCCCTTTGGTAGGTCTCGTGCCTCCCTGACATGAATCCTGAAGTGGGATGCGATGTCTGTCATCTTCCCCCGATTGGTGGAGCTGCTGACTCAGCCAAGAGGCGGCCCTTTGCACGCTGCACCTAAACTTCCTGAGACGGGACGAAAGCGTCTTGAGGCTGTCGCCGTAGGCATCGTATACTTCTAGATGGAAACGATTAATATACATCAGATGCATATCTTTTATCGATTCAATCAAATACGGGTCTTCGTTGAATAAGGGAGGCAGTTCGCACCGCGAACTCAGATGGTGAACAGTAGCCGTTGCTAGGTAACATTATTCGAAGGAGAGAATGGCAGCCACCATGTTGTGGATTGATCTCTCCTCCAGGCCTAGGCGCATAGTGATTGCAGGTCGTCAGGCAGATTCCACGCCTGTCTAGTACCTGTACCCAAAACCTAGAGGGAAGCTTCGAGGTCAAGAAGGGGATGCGATTCTTGAAATTGGCCACTTGTTTGCTGCTCCTCTGCAGTCACGTCATGATTATCTGGCCGCCCTCAGTGAGATGGATTATCCACGGGGAGGCAACAGTTTGAAGATAAAAAAAGAAAAAAGAAAGCGTTCGGGTTAATGAAAGAAAGCATAGAAAGAGATTCATTAAATACAAAAATTTCAACGGCGATGGAAATCTGGTACTAAAGCCGTGTGTGACAAGGACGCAGATATTACCAAGACATTCTCAAGCCCACCTTAGTTGCTTATCTTCTTTATCGCCCAGTCTTATTATCGTCTTGAACTTTAGAACAAAGTGCGGCCAGTGCGCTCGGGCGCGCTAATCGAAGCTTCCCTTCCCACTCCACAGCGCCAAAATCCTTCGTAACCAACCTCATCAAAAGCCATGATGTCTCCAAGCGCTTACGGCCACAAGCCCTAGACGCGTCGCATAAGCGCAAACAGCCGTCGACGATGCTACACTTTGTTGATCCACGGGCTCTCGAGCAGGGTCAAAAGGTACATCTACACAAAGTACACTGACTTCATGGCCCTGGGCGTGATGATGGGTCGACCTGCAGCAAGGTCCAAGGCAGCCGCCTCCACATTGCCGAGTCGTTTCGATCAAACCCTCCAGTCTCTAGGCAGCATCAGAGGGAAATGGTCTTCGGCATACATCGGACCACCTCAATACCTCTCTCTTGGAATCCATGTGACGTCCATGTTTGTCGCTTGAGTCACGGTGGGGTATCACCCCGGGGTGTCTATGATTAAACCAGAAATGGCCGCCCAAACTGGCCGCGCACTGCCTGGCACACTGCCAGGCCAGTTCTGGGGGCCACGACTTCAGCTTCATACGTTCGGATCCGCACCCATACACTGATGCTCAGCACTCGGAATTCGACCACTCGCAGTGACTTTCCGAACAATGAAGCATCATCAACCTGCTCTATGGCGACCCCGAGGATTGCAACGTTGCGAACCGAGCATTCAGTCGACAGCGCCGGTTTACAAGACTACCCTTGGCTACAGGAGCGCTCTCAGTTGCCAGGGAACGAAGAACAACCAGCTTGGCGCCAGCTCTGATACGCGACTGAAGCAATATTGCCCGAACCCGAACTTGAAGCGAGAGAACCCCTGGCGATGACCACGAGCTGCCATCACTTTGCTGTAACGCCCGCACTTTAGGATCGTCCTTCGCGTACACAAATTGTCGTTCCGCACTTGTGATTCTGGAGGCACACCCAGCGCGAGGTGCGTTTGTCAAGGCTGCCGGCTGTGCTGGGCAGAACCCCAAAGCCTTGGAGCTAGAGGTCCTGATCCCTTGGTCGGTGGTGCAGAACCAGAACTTCTTGCGCTTAGGAAATGTTCTAGGAAGACTGGGAAACCGTCTTCATCACAGCGGCGGAGCGTGCCGTGGGTACCGAGGGGCAGATAGCTCGGCTGCGGGCGCACTGCCTCTCCCACACCCTTGCCTGAGGGCGTAGGCCATCGTGCGATACCAATGGCGAGGGGACGGCGAGCCAGTCATTTCGGCACCAGTGCTGTTTCGAGTGTTCCAAATACGGCAGGAGAAGGACGACGACTTGGATGCCTTTGCGGAACAAGAGCATACTTGTCTTCACCGACTTTGAGCCCGATACTCTGGGTCGGGGCCTGCAAAGGAAGGGAATGTTGAGACAGACGGTGCAGAAGCTCTGCGGCAAAGAGCATGTTTCCTTTCGTTGTATTGGCAGCATGTAGGAAAGTGAGCGTCTACTGGTGGGAAAAGCAGAGAGAGGGAGGGGTGGGGAGGGGGTGGGAGACGACAGTCTTCCTGGCGCTGCTGGCGCGATGGTCCACCCCGACCGACTTGACTAGCTCGCTAGCTTGCTTGCTTTGCTTGCTTTCTGAATGGGCTCAGTCTGCAAGGGAGAAGTTATACCCGGCAGGCGGTTCCATCCTGCAATCTTGATTCGTCCCGAGAGGACGGATCGCAGTGTTACTGGCTGGCTCTCGCATGAGTAGTGGCTCAGCCGCTGCAGATGTGAATTACCGGCCACTGCTTTGCTGGCCTGGCGATGATCTGGCATCCCCTTCCGGGTGCGTTGTATGACAGACGTGATGGACGGTGGCATGATCGCATTCCCGGCCTAGCTCACAGGCGCCTCGCGCTTCGCCGCCGTTGGAACCAGGTTCAGAATCAATGGCGATTCGAACAGGCGCAAGCAAGTCGATGATGCGCCAAATCCGGGGTTTTGCCATTCGGAAAATGCAACCAACCTATGAGGTCTTGCGCCTACGGGAACGGGACGCACGGGTCGAACCAAGGGGCCCGCATACCTACACTTCCTGGGCACGGGAATACTACGGTACCTCACGAAAGGGCGGCCGCCGACAGTGGCGGAAGGTGACAAACAAGGCCATAGTCTGGAAAGACCACTAAGAGAGAGGGAGGGAGAGAAGGAGCGCAAACACAAAAGTGGATAATGACATTGACGTGTGCACCGGACAAGATTGGCCTGGCTGGGCGAGGGACAAGCTGCAACAGAGGGCTACCTCGCTTCGACTGTGGCAGCTCAGTCGACGATCAACATCGTCGGGTACCTCATGGTCTGTAGCCCAAGCGAGCAGGGGAGGGGGTCTCGGCCCCCCCCCCCCCCCCCTCTCGCGCGGGCGCGCGGGCATCATCATCATCTCTTTAGGGTTCTTTAGACGGGGGGGACCGCAGTCGTTGTCTATCAGTCAAAGGAATCGAACGCCAGGATCCGACAGAAAGCTTCCAAATCAGCCTGGGAGAAATTACGCAAGAGAGCGCAGCAAAGCGGGAAATACTCCGGCGTCGAGTTTGACCTCGGGGACCTTTTGACTGACCAGGGCAGCTTTTGCCACACTCCCCCCCTCTCCCCGTATTCCCTCTTCGTCTCATGCGGGTAGAGCAAATACTGACAAAATGAACGCTTTCTTTTTTATCGCGCGCCATCCACAGTTCATTTACCGAGTTTCCGGGACCATTGATGAGGTGTCGCTGCAGACCAGGTCAGTAGAGATTCCCTGGAGCTCTTTGGGGGGGGCTGCTGGCGGAACATCTGGTCCTCGCGAAAGAGAGAGCACGCCTTTCGCCATCTCTTTCCTCCCCCCGTCTCTCCCCATTGTTTCGAGTCCCTACTACGTATGCACTACGTGTGCTACTTATGCTTCTCCCATGCCTCCCCGCCCCCAAAAACCATTGTCGCTCCGGTCTCTCTGGATCTGTGATATAGCAGCAGCACGGTCGAACAGGGTGCTACATCTGAACAGGTCCTCTTGTTCTTATCCCTCTTCCTCTTCTCTCCTGCTTTCTCTCTCTCTCCGTATTTCGTCAGGCGTTCGTGGGCAGGGTAGGGCAGGTCCGAGGCCGGGAGGGACGTCGGGTTGTGCACGTACCAGCTGGTCCGGCAGACAGCCTTTTCGGGGTTCATTGTGCTGTTTTTGTGAGCAGCCGTTTGCGAAGCAGGGGTTCATCACATCCTTTTTGTCACACGCTGCTCTCCCCCGTCTGCCAGCCCCCCGGCCCCGACCCTGGCTGTGCCTCTCGCCCTCTTACTTGCGCTCGGCGAGTCCTCTCTTCCCGGAACCTGGGAAACAGGGGGGGATTAACCACTGGTCCACGGTCAAGCCCGGTCACCACACCGGTCAAGGTCAAGGCCGCCCCCTGAAGGACATGGTGGACGGAAGCGGATGGAGGGGAAAGCGAATCTCCTTCCGATCTACCTCCCCTCCCCCCCACCTCTCCGGGTGAAGCGATGAAATGCACGTTCAATGCGATTGGAATTATATGACAATGCGTAGAGTGACATTCGCCCGCCAGAGGTGGGAGAATCGGCTCATACTCACTGCGAGACTGGGAAAGAGGCAAGCGAGGTGAGACGAGGGTTCGGATCAGCGGGCTTACAGAACTTTGGGCACCATGTCGACGCCGTTGGCCCAGCGAGATGAGCCTCATGCTGGGCTCGAACGCGGCAGCGCAGTCGTAGCTCGATCTTTCCTTGCTCTGTAGTAATTTTCATTTTCCAGCAAGAAAGCGGCTCTTCATGTCGTCATTTTGGGGATGGTCGTATCCGCATTGCCTAGAGGAGGTGGCGGCGCCTACCACCACCCAGCCGGCCATGATTTGCTCCAAAGGATGTATCCTTCGGAGTGCGCATGGTCTATTTGTCTTCTTCGTCCTCGTCGTCGTCGTCGCCTCTGTGCTGCTTCTCGCCCTCCAGAAACCAGCCATTGTGGTGCCCCGGAGTTTCCTCGCAGACTTTCCACCTCACGTGGGCAAGGTGGCAGCAGCGTGCGAGAGTTACCGTGGGAAGCCGAGACCTATCTTGGCGGGGAGCGATAATCAACAGTGTGCGGAAGGCGGTTTGCGGGGCCGTCGACCTGGAACCCCACAACTACGCCCCACTGGAAGACCGGGTTCCTTGGGGCGTGTTCTCTTCTTCTCGCTAGGGTTGGGTGGGGGGGGGGGGGGGGGGGGGGTGGGTAAGAAGGAAGCCAAGGTAACGCGTGGGCACCATACGGGGATGCCCCGGGGAAACAAGAGGCAGCTCCCCCATCAACCTATTCGTATTATCTCCCGCTGCCCTGCTTGTCCTTGTCTTTTAGGTTTTTGCCTGCCCTGTCGAATTTGTGTGCTGAGGGTGTGGCTCTTGACAAGATAATGCCCTTTTCCCGGCTGCTGCTTATCTACCCCCCCCTCTGTTTCCCCTTCCAATATGGACCTTTTCGTCTATTCATTTTCTGCCTTCTTTCTTTCCTTCTCAGGACTACATAGTACCTCTCAGCCCTTGTCCTGGCTTATCCTTTCCATGTGCCCGCTAATTTGAGCAGAAAGGGTACTAGTTTCAAGTGCCTGGGCTGCGGATAAGCCGCACGTCGTATCCGGTCCAGAAGGGCCGCAGACACGGTCTGGCTGTGGATGTCGTCTTGTCGTATCCAAGTCGTTGTGGCAGCGCAGGGCTTACAGAAGATGATCCGCCATTGTTCTCGTTGAAGAGGGCCAGGCCAGTATTGTCCAGTATGGAGCTCGTGCTCGCCATCGTCGTCCCTTTCGTTGCAGCGTAGTAGCGGAAGAGAAGAGGGGGGCGTGCAGGGCAGCGGGTCTCTGTCTCAGTCTCTTGGCACATCCTATTGACTTTGCGTCAACAGAAGCGATCCCTCTTTTGGTCTTCATGGCCTTGTGCTGCCTTGTCGTCATGAGACTGTTAGTGACGTTACATTCGGCGCGTCGACGAGTGCGAATGCTGCCTTGGTCCCGAAAACTTGGGAACGCTGCCTGTAGATGGGTGAGTACAAGCACCTTCTACTCGGCATGTCCGGAGGTCTCGTAGGCAGAACTGCAGTGCTTTCGCGGTCACCACTTGTGAACTGGTGGATAGAGACAACACTCTCGCTAGTGCAACAAGGATCTTGGACATTCAAACAGACAGTGCAGACGATCAAGTGACAAGATGCATGTGAGGAGATGGATATGGTATGCTCTTGTATATGTGATGGATGATTTGTAGCATATTTCACAAGATGATATCTGGTACAGAGAAGTTCAAACATGAGTGTAGAGATATATAGGTAACGATATGTGTAATCCAGTAGAGCCCCCCTGCGAACCCCAAAAGAGTGGTATCTTCCCCTTAGAAAAACAAAGAAGCAAAAAAGAAGAAGAAGGAAAACAGAAGAGATCATGGAGAATAAAGACCAATAAACAATCTACCATGTATGCGCCATCCCTGAGTCAATTGGGCTCGAAAATTGTAACCAAACCTTGTAACCCTAAATCGCAACCAATGGTAATGAGAATTGAAAGGCCGTTGTACCTCGCATGCTGTGCATATTCTTGTAGCAAATCTCAAGAAGCTCTGGATCTTGGTGCGAAGCGTCCCCTCGCCCTGGGCCTTGCCGGTGCCCTCCTAGGCTGGGCAGCCGTGCGGGTGCTGGCACGGTTGCCAGCTGTGTCATCCGCTCCCTGAGAGTCTTCGAGATTGACCCCCCTTTGACGACTCTTTCCCTTCGAGCGGGTCTGATGGTCATTTCCAAGCATAGTCTCATCCTTGTCCTCGTCCTCGCTTTCTTCGCCCCTGTAGTCGACGATTTCATCCATGACCTGGTCATACAATCGTGGGTTCTGCTCCAAAACCCCGCCGCCGTTGTTCTCTGTCTCCTGGAGGATGGCGTTGGAGTAGGCATCGGACTGGAGCCGGCTGCTGATCTTTCTCAACCTGCGCGTCTTCACCCGGGGACCACTCTGGGGAGTATTCGGCACGGGTGCGAAGGACTCAGCTACCAAGCCCTTGTCGACTGCGAAGCACTCAAGAGCAGTCTGGCCCCACGGGGTTGTCCGGCCGCCGCCTAATTCCTTGAATTTACGTGCGACGATGTGGTAAAACTGTTTGTAGACAAACCCAAAGGCCTTGAATGCAATATGTTCCTGTTCTTTGATCAGCATGGTGCTTTGATCATGTCGGTGGGGAAAAGGGGCAAACTCACATCTCTCGGTGACATCACTTGGTCCCTGTATCTGCCTCTTTTCAGCAGCATTTGCAGGCGAGGAATGCTAGACTCGTCCTGAAACCTTTCGTTGAACTCCGCCCTTATTGTATCCCACATGCCGTCCCCCTTCCTGCCCGCGACTATCATATCCCGCTGCCTCTGGTAGAGAAACCGGTGCTGCGCGTCACAGTTCTCCTTGATGACGAAATCGTCCGGAAGATCAGGAATGGGCCCGCCCAGCTGCACCTGAGCAATGTCAACGGCCGCTGTAGAGTCTGTTGAGGGTGGTATGGCCCGATTCCTCACACGAGCTTGCCTCGGCACCCGGCCTACAGGCTGGGGACGACTTTGCCTCGAAGACCCAGATGCTTGCACATTGGGCTCCTGGCGAGCAATCTGCGTGCTTGGGAGGGAGTATCCAAATTGGCGCCTCCTGGCAGCCGTAGTCTTGAAATCGGTGATGTCGGGTTGTTCTACCCAAGGGTTGTGGTTTTGCTGGGGGAAGTATGGCGCGTGGACAGAAGGAGGAGCATGCTGTGGCATCGGCAGCTCCGGGGGCATCTGGCCCATCATCGGTTGAGGTTGTATAACGTGATGCGTATGAGGGGACATGTACATCTGAGGCGACATAGACCCTTGTTCCGGCTCCGACGGGGCGGAAACCGAGTAGCTACCCCAGTAGTAGTCTGTGGGTGGCGTGGGCATATCGTCTTGTTCTGCCGGGATGTAGCTCATCTCGAAATGGCTCTCTGAAGTTGGCGGGTTAAGCGGCATGGGAGAGCCAACCTGACTCTGGGCCGCGCTCATGTTGATGGAGTTGTGCCAGGGCATCCTTGAAGGGCCACAAGGGCTCGCTTGCGGCTGCATCGGTGTCATCGCGGAGGGATACTGGGACAAGTTGGCACTTTGCTGGAAACAGGGCGAGCCGATGCCGGAGACGGGCGTCAACAGATGTGTCTCGTTAATCTGATGCTGCTGGTCAAAGGTTGTAACCTTGGAATTGTTAGGCTCAAATAAAGAGGTGGCCAAGGGACACACTCGTTGACTTACAGTGTACGGAGGGCTTTCGAGCTCTGGATAGACCGTGGTGTGGGGCTGGATTGTGGAAGATCGGCTGCTAGCCATGTGGTCTGACAGTCCGTCGGAATGAACCGATGCCTGACCGATGTGGTTTTGGTTTGCCATTGTCAAGTGAATGGCGACGGAGAGGTCTTGACAGTTGAAGGAGGAAGTGGGCTCAAGGTGTCCGGTAGTGGTATCCTGAGAGAAACGTTGGGGACGATGAAGGAGCTCTTGCGAGTCTTGTAGGCGCATCTAGGTTTGCGATGTGATTTAGTGTGGGGGAGGGTTTGTCTTGTCCGGCTGAAGATATGGGCAGAAGGGGGGGGGAGGGGCCAGAGTAATATAGAGCAGAGAATGCAAACCCCGAGTCAGCCTTTTCCGATGCGACTTGTAAAGTGGAGGGGATGGGAAGAGAGCCTCGTGAGGATGGGAGACGGCCGCGGCCTATTAATGACGAGCGATGTGGACAGCCATGATGTCGATCAGAGGTTTGTCCTTTTTTTTTCCAGCAAGGGGAGCCTGTCAGTCGAGAAGGGCTTGACCAAGTGCCACTCTCGAGGGTTGAAGGCAGCGGGGACCATCGCCAGGGTACGAAAGGTGGCCGGGGAGTAGGTACGTGAGGTACAACATATTCTGGTACCTATCTCAGTAGCACACACAGGCCTGGAGAGGGGGAGACAGCAGGTGTATGTGCGAGAGGCGGAGAGGCAGATAGCACGCGAGGGCAAGGGTGTGGGCAGTTCCTCGCAGTAGCAGGCGATAGCCGCCCGGCGCTGTCACGAACGGTTAGTGCAACGCTGTAGATGCGGGTCGATGTGCAGCCGAAAGTGCTGGGAGGGGTGAGGGAGGGGGGGCGTGTGCGGGAATTGGGGGGGGGAGTGAGAGAGGAGGGGAGGCCGTCCAGATAGACGGAAGGCAGAAGGGAGAGAGAGAGAGCTTGCGTGTGTGTGTGTGGGAAAGAGCATGAGGCGCGTACCTGGCTCCACAACTCAATGGACGGGGAAAGAGGAACAGGGGATGAAGCGAAAAGATTCTGAGAGGTCACTTACCGGTTACTGTCCAGCAGAACTAGAACTGTCTACCTACCTAGGTAATGCAGCGTCGCATTAGTAGCAGATGCTGCTCAGCCGTGTGGGTATGTTCCAGACTACCAAACACGACTACCTCCCTCACACACTCATCAACCTCGTTTACTGCCTCCGTTACGCCGCTCCGGAGCGCCTAAACGATTGAAAGGTGCAATATGGGTGGACAAGGAAACAGAACAATTGACGGGCGAGGCTCGGCACAGCAGACATGACCTAGTCTGAGCCCGACTCTTAGCATAACCGTTTCTATCTCGAGCAGCTGTATCCTGCTTGGGTTGATTAGCAGTGGTGAGGTGTGGCAGAGCAAGTGAATTATTGGTGAAAGAAAGACTATGACTGGTTGATACAGGCCAAGTGACGGATGTGAAGAATCCCGAGGACAGTCCCCTCAAAAGAAGACAAGGTTGACTTGCGATTACCCGAATTGCGACCACAAGACACCTGGCCACCTGGTACATGCGCCAAAAAGATAAGCGAAGACAGAAAGACTGTGAAATGCTTAGCTGTGGGTTAAACGCCTTTCCCTTCCCGTCAAGAGACGCGTGCCCGTGTATTTAGGATGACTGGACCGGCTAATGACCTCGGATCAGGCATTAGAGCCCAAGATCCAAAGGAAAGGACCGGGTCATTGGGGAGCCTTGTCATCAAAAGCAATGCTGCTTGGACGCCCGTATCCGAGGAGATGGGTGGGTGGTTGTGTGCTGGAATAACTGCAGTCAAAGCGGGTAGCTGTAACAGAGCAGATGATCACAGTGAGAATTGGGTGCTATCAACTCCGCATGAATTGTGCTTTACGGACGTACTTACGCACGTAACGGAGCCGAATGATGCCAAGACGGGCATGGATCGCCTCTGATGGGGTTGTCCTGCGATGGCAATCGCACAGGTTCCCCTGGTCGAGAGGGCAGAGGGTGAGGAAAGAGAAATCAGACCCGATCCTGGACACTAACCAGGAAAGAGATCCTCTGGGCGATTTCTCTCAAGTCCGTCAGGAGTAGACTACCCCGTAAATGAAGCAAGTAAGCTAGTGGTGGGGGAAGGAGGAGGAGCTTGGAAAGCAATGCGTGGGTAGCATTGTGTACGCACAATATGTACATGCGAAGAGGTCGATATTACCCGCAGCCCGCGATATGGCGAATATCAGTCTCAGGCATAGAATTTGTCATGAGAATAAGACGGACGGGGGATGGAGTACGGAGCCATAGAGGGCAGCACAGTAGAACAGAGCAGAGACCGAGGCGGCAGCAGCAGCAGCGATGATGGGTAGCGAACGGCAGTGTCCTTGTCGAATACCTAACGTGTAGTATGCAAGGTGGTTTAGGTAGGTAGGTTAGCGTATCGGCACCCAGGTACAGACAGGATCAAGGTCGGGGGTGGCAGAAGAGCGTGGAGGTCGGGGACTCGGGGGTCACCAGAAGGGAAGGGAAACGACCGAGTGTCATTGCCTCGAATCTCTGTGATTGGCTTTAACGGCGGCCGCGACGGGGTCGGCGAGCCGGGGTAGGTGCCCAAGTGGGGTGCACTGGTTTTGAGGGTACGTACCTCGACTCATGTCTTCTCAGAGGCACGCATGGATGATTAACTCTACAAGCCGGGCCCGCTTCCGCGCTGAACTGGCCTCACATTCATTCCAGTCCCATCCAGGAAAGTGCCCCGTCATCATCACAGCTCTCTGTTTGGCTATCCGGCACATTCACGACCTTGGCGACATACTCTGCGTCCACGGCTTTGAGTTTATGGAAACGTGCATTCTTGAGGACACTTCTCCCCGTGTGCTATCTCGACTCTACCTTAGTCATGAGCCGCTACTGCCCGGCTTACCTCGACTATTGCTACGTAAGTTGCTTTCTCATAGGTGTCCAGCTGGCCCGACTACTGGTCTTTCTTTCGGTGGGCCTGAATACTCGTGGTGGCCAAAGTGTATATTTGGCGATGTTTGCATTGCCCCAGCGAATCCTCGTGCGCTGGCCTGCGCCAAGGATCGCGGAACAGAATAGCCAGTGCACAGAACCAATTGTGTATCTTGGAGGGGGGGGGGGGGGGGGGGGCAGGGACGGTGGGGTCTGCCCGAAGCACTGATGTGTGTGGTATACATAGTGTGTGTATGAGTGTGTGGGTGATGCTCCTACAAGTCTTCGGACAAAGAGGAGTCGAGCGAGTCCTTAGGCCATAAGACGGCTGATGTGCATTCCTAGGAAGTGTTCTATTAACATGGAAGATTGGACTGGACTGGGCTCTACAAACTGGAATTCCTTTACCAGCTACCCGAGAACTAGGTTGTCGTCGCCAAAAGTTGACATCCTCTTGACAACCTGGTTCCTCCCAGCCTGGCAACGAGTTATGCCCTCATACCAGGTCAAGGCTCTTTGGGGAAAAAATAATTAGCCAAGGCGAGGTGGAGGGCGGGTCGGGGGGGCGTGTACCCTTTGCCTGTGCAGATTTTGCGGCAGCATCCAGACACACCACACACTCCCTGTTCGGAGGTGACATCCGCATCGTTTCGCCTCCTCCCATAACATCGCGTCTCCATGTCATTTCCACGTCTCGCCTCCTCTCCTGTGGAAGTCCGTCATGAGCTGAAGCTGCCGTCGACCGACGGGCCGAGCACTTATGTCGGGCGACCTACCTATGACGCTGTGTGCTTTCGTTAGGGATTAGGAACTGTATTCACTTGTTTACTAAGACTAGGACTGCCCAAGGTCCTTCAAACTGAAGAGGGGCATATATAAGTGAAAGGGCAGTATAGGCGGGAGCCGTTTGATCTGAAGGGCCCATAAGGTGCGGCTGCCCGCTACAATCTGCACTCTATTTCACTCCCGCGAGAGGCCCGCTGCATGATCTAGCCTACCGGCCCAAAACCTTTTCTTGTGTGAATCACCTGTATTATGAACACCTGAAAGATAAAAGTGGAAGCCGAGATGAGGGGGCTTAGCACGAATACAGAGTCTGAATAAACGGCCGGCAGCACGTCCCCACAGGCCAGACCAGTTCATACGCCTCCCCCCTTCCCTTCTTGGAGCACGCCTCGTCAAGAGGGAAGAAATGGGCTGATTGGCAACGACATACGCAGCTTAGAGGCCCTTGGGCATGCGCCCCGATTGAGGGAACCAGGACAATGAGACTCTACGTAAAGTAGCCAGTGCAAAGAAAGAGAGAAGGAGAGGAACGCGACAAACTACTGCAAAGAGAGAGAGGAGAGGGGGAGAGACGGTCACAGAGCCAATACGCTCAGTTCTCATCTTTTTTTCTCATCAGGGATATTCCTACTAGCGCGGACCCGACAGTCTGGTTCACCCTAACCTAGCGTTGAAACTAGTGGATCCGAGGGCCATGCGTGGCTATCATTGGACCGCCTCAAAGCCTTTTTGTCAGGGCGATGGGGGGTTGAGTGGAGCCTAAGGCCGCAGAGCGTAACCTTACCCCCCTTTCCCTCCCATTCTTTCCCACCCCCTTCCACGCCCCACTCGCTTCGCTGTCTGCTCACTCCACCCCATCTCCACTTGCTTGCGCACACCTCACTGGTCAGAGACCGATCCTGGTATTCGGAGTTAGCGCGCGTCTGTTTACTCGAACGTGAAGCTTAAGCGGTGCCTGCCATTCACGGCGCAGCTGTCACCTCCAGAAGGGAGCTTTCTCACATCTAGCAAACCGCCAACCGTTCATCACCAACAGCAAACTACCAACAGCGCACGCTTTTTTCCAGTTTTTAACCGCGATGTCTTACGCCCACCCACCCTGCCAGGACTCACGCGCCGCGCTTGGGCTTGCGCAGTCTTCCACGCCACCCGCCCTGCTGCAGAAATGTCCCCCAACTTTGTTGCTCCTGGCCGCCGATGCCGCCGTCGCCTTCTCCTCCTTTCTCGATCCCATCTTCCTAGATGCGGGTGCCGGGCCATGACGCATCCTTGATGAGCCAAGTCCCTGCTGATGCTACGCTTGCTTCGAGGGCAGACGAGTTAACGTCATCTCGCCCTAGCGCGCCGGCCCTTTCCTCATGGCTTTAAGCCGATGGTACCTTGCAGATCACCCTTTTTACGGATATGTGCCGGTACAGAGGGCTGAGTTATGGTCTGAGGCTTTGCCTTGTAAGCCCAGAGTCTGTGCCACAGCAAAAAGCCCCTCTGTACCGGTTAAGTCTTGCTGTGCCCCTTTCGGTATTGCTGGCCGGCCGTTGAGGCGACCAAGTGATGGAACCTGAACCGGCAGTAGGTAGGGGCCAACCTGGCTGCTAGACTCAGGCTCGGCCGTCTCACGAGGCCCAAGGCTCTCCGTTGGTGGTCTCGTCCAGGGTCGTCGACAGACCCAGAAAACTTTGCCGGCCAGAAAACAGCCTGACAAGGAGACAACCGCAGCCCCGGAATCGAGTATTCTGCAATCTTAGCGCCCAGGTCGCATATTCTGTCGCCGCCATTGGCCATAATCACCTCATCATGCTGCTGATTGCGTCTGTCACAGGCTCCAGGCGCGGTTACTGACCTCTCCTATCACGATCTAGTCAGTCTCGAGCCAACGTTGCCTCGACTTCTCTTGAGGCACTGCCTTGTGCGTCGCATTGCACCTTTTGCATGCACGTTGAGCGCTTCCAGTCTGTCGGGTCATGATCAAGCAACTGTCTCACGTTGAAAATCTTACTGGAAGTGCCATGACGAAAGTATCCACAGCACAGCATTCTCTGCTGGGCTCCGGCGGCGCAGCTCGTTCGACTCTAGCTACCGAGAAACAGTCCGAAATCTTCTGACGACAAGGTCGCGCCAAAGTAGCCGATTAGTAGCCACCTTCACACCGGACAGTCAGCCGGGCGCCAGCGTCCAGATAGAACACTCTTGACTGCCTGCCAAGGTATGACATGTCATCGAAGCCCTGGACGAAAGACAAACTCCAGGTAGCGAAGCCCGCTCAGACTGCCGGCGATCGTGCCGCAACAAGCATTGCGCGTTTTCCGTCTGAGATTGTCAGTAGGAAATGGGCCTGACGCTTGCCGTCGCTGCCCCGTGCAACCCCGAGACTCCACCCGCCTTCGCAATCAATGAAGTCTAACGGCCCGGACTGGCCGGCTACCCCTGAGACATGAACAAGACAGTTCGGGGGTACAAGGAGATACAGGATAATATGCCCTTCACCCCCTCCATGTGTTCCCCTACCCTCATGCGGGTGGCGCGGTGCCCCACGTTCGTCTTTGACGAGCCATTTGCCTTCGGGGGATGTCCTCCAACGAGAAGCATGTACTGTATGATGGGAAACCACACAGCCCTCGGCATTGGGCAACTTTCTCTGACCTAAGACTACTAACTAGAGCCGATCAAGGCAGCTCTTTCAGGAAGAAGGTGCAGCCGATTGTCGGACGGTCAGATAGGCCTACCCTCCCATCCTCCCATCACTTGGCCCGTTCAGACCTCTCACACTGACGAGGGGTTTTGAGACAACCAGATACTTCCTGGGAGCCGACACCTCTTCGTGGATTCTGTCCACTTCTCGACCAATGAAGCTACGCCATAGCGAAGCAAACTATCCATCTTCAGTGCTGGTGGCCCCCGTTGAGCTGCTGTCGCCATCCCTGAAATCCACGAATCATGGGCGGCAGCTCCATTCTGCGCCGTGACAAGCCTCTGCAACCGTCATGGATAGCCATTGTTCGAGTTCTGGAGAGGGGGGTGGGAATACCCAAGACCATGGTGGTCCTGAGTGGAAGAAGTTACCATGACTGGCCTAGTCTGGGCGGACAAAGGCGGGCGTCAAGCCCACTTGCCGGTTGCGCCCGTAAGAACCCTTTTTCTTCATACCACATCTGGAACAGCGGAAAACCATCACTGGGAGAAAGAAAATATCTCTTCCTAGCTCTTCTGAAGACTCGGGGGGGAGGAAAAAAGGCAACAGCGCCACCTGACCCATCCGCGGGATGATGTCGTATGGACAAGTCAGGCGCCTCAGTTCAAGTCCCAAACACTGTGCCCTTTGTCGTGCTCTATTCTCACTTGAACCGTGGACGGGAAAGGCGCCGCCAAGGGCCGTAAGGATATCCCCTGAGTGTTTCAAAAGCCGCCGTTGGTGTGCGTGCGAGCCCATGTTAGGCCTCTATGCGGATAATCAGCACTCTAATCTAGACGAACAAGATTGACGGATTACCACTGGAGAAGCGGCTCACTGAATGAACATGATGGACATGGCCGGTGTCGACAAACCGGATCTCCTGTCTGGCCCACTCCTGATGCTCTTGGGGGCTCCGCCGGACGAAAATGTCCAGTTCTATTGCCCAAGTTGATTCTCTGGGGCGGTGATGACATTGAGAGAGAACAAAGCCTTGCAAGGCGTTCTTTCCATTTATTTCCCATGTATTATATCTCATTGACCGTGTCGTTGGTTGTGACTGGCCCTCGACGTGGGAGGCCACAACAGAGGCCCGAAAACGCGGCCAAGTGCCTGCAAAGCCCCGTACCCGCTTCCACGGTGATTCCGGACGTCGAAAGAAGCGGCCTCCCATGCCGTTCTGTAGTCCGCGGAGGTTTCTCTGCGTAACCTGGAAAATTGAGTCTCCCTGACGACGAACCTACAATCCATCTTGGAGGTTCTTTGGGTTAGTGAGCCGGTCGTTCCTCGAGGAGTCCGGCACCCTTGCTGCTGTGCCAGCTACTTCGCACCCCAACCTTTCGGCCGCAGCTTTGGACCTGAGTTATTGCATTGCACAGTAGAACCTCGCTCCTGCTGCGGGCTCTCATCACATCTCCTATGGTACCCAAACCTGCGACCGCGCTACTTCAGCTCCGCAGTAACGTCCATCTGAGTCCATCTGCAGGCACGAGGCACACGAACGGTTCTCCACCCACTTTCCGTCGCTATCTCTCTATTTTACAGCCTTCAATGTGTTTTCCCCCTCCCAAAGTAGGGCAGCTCGGGTGGCGGAGTGACGGATCCATGCCCGGGGCTGTGAAGCTCCGCAAGGGGATAGACAACCAAAAGGCCAACCAACCAACCGACGAATGGCCCCCAACTTTCGAACACCACACGAAGAGTAGCGAAAGAGAGAGACGCCATCTCACAGTCAACGGCAGACGACAGAAGCCGCGAGCTTCGCACCCACAAGCGTTAAACAAGCGCAGCGATCCACAAGAACCTCTCTGCCGCTCTCGAGACGCTGCTCCTGCATCCACACAGCCCCCCCTTCTCCACGATTGAGAATAGCAAGAAAGTCCTGCAGAAGCTTAGGTTGCTTCCGGCCGCCACTGCGGCTTATTGTTGCGGCACAGAGCAGGAGCATCTTCTCAGATCTCGTCATCGGCGACCCGTTTGGATGACTGTCATCCTGCTCCGCCCCTGACATCCGTCTCCCCCCCTCCCGCGACGACTCAAATCCCGACCTCGCTCCTCCTACTCGAACGATTCTCTTGGTGTCTAACAGACTATGGGACCGAACCGAGGTACTTCTCGACGTCGTACAGATACACAACCCGCCAGGGAAAAGAGCCACCCACTTGGGTTGTTGAACTAAACCCAGACCCCAAGGCGTCGACGTCCCTACCGTCGCTGGATGAGAAGAAGAAGAAAACACACTGGCACCTACGACCAAGTCGATTCAATACCATGGTAGTACCGCCCGCTAGGCTGGTATAGAAGCGGTCTGCGGCTGTCCAGCACGAGGCGAGAGAACCCCGAGGAGGAGGGAGTTGCTGTATAACCTCATATCTCTTGCGTTCCTACAGTGCCTCCTCTAGACGGGATCTTGACGGGAGCTGTAGACGGGAGGGATCAGGCACTACATTTGCTTTCCAATGCGCGGCATCGCTGGCTGGTTGATGTTACCCCCCCCCCCACCCCTACCCCCCTTTCGTGCCAGGCAGGACGACGAGCCGTCTCGGTCTCGGGAAGGTCATTAGCTATTGCGCGATCGATGTCCTAAGTAGGGCAGTCCTCCGAAACGAGAGGAGGAGAGAAGAAAGGAAAAGAAAAGACCGCGCCGATCCGGCCTCTCCCCAAAGTGAACTATCGTATGCGCAAAGCCGTGCCCGCGTGATGGGCTCCGTTGTTTACCTCGGCTGCTGCATGCTGCTGCATGGCCAGTCACTATCCAGGCGCGAGCTTGCGGCCGAAAACACCACTTGGCAGCATGGCGCAGATCAGTTCCGGACGATAAAATACTGCCGCAGCGGGATGTCTAGATGCCGAAAGGCGCCTTGATTGGGAGTATTGGGCCGCATGTCATGGCGTTCCTCCTCCACCTTCTATTTCGCGCCAAAAGAAATATGTCTCAGAAGATGTGATTCAGGAACGTGGTCGCCTCATGTGCGTCAGGAGGAGGGCGACCTGTCATTAAACAGTGTCACAGTTTGCCAAGACCAATAGATAGCACGGTCAGAAGGCATCGTCGAATTAGATATTGTGAATTCAAACTACTCTGCAGCTAACTATGGCTGTCTTCGAGACTGTGTATACTCGCGGATCATACGAAACCTGCACCTGCTATTGCCAATGCTTTGATGATCCCGCGAACAGAAACAGAGAAGCCTTCCGAGGATGAAATGAAAAATACGTACAAGACAAGACGGCCGCCCAAACCGAAGCAACAACCCATGTCGACTCATCATGTCGTGTAGCTCGTTGTCAAATGTCCGCGTTATTATACCGTCGTCAAGAGACCGTGTTAAGAAGCCAGCGTAAAGAAACAGAGCAAGGAAAAATAGTATACGAACAGGATTCTCTTCCTGTGAGGTTTCCGTTCCGGGATATCAATAGCAAAAACAGGTGTAAAATCGACAGAAAAACTTCGTCCTCTGGTTGGCGCAAGCAGCATCTTCGGGTGACAGGATATCCGCAACAGGTCGATATCGCCCACCATGGGGTGGGTATGAGAGAATCGCCTAGAGCTGCACACCTGGTCACTCATCCCCGGACCCCAACGGGGCCCAACGCCACATCTGCCGAGGGGCGTTCACTCACCCCTTTCAGGCAGAATGTAAGCCAGACTGTCCGCTGTCAGTCCGCAGTTCTGAAACCTGCCCCCAGTATGCAGGCATTCTTCCCTCAATTTGGACTCCCTGGAAAGAGTCATGGCTCTGATAGATACTGCCTCGCGTCAGGTCAAGTCCTACGCGCCCTCGAGAGGCTGCACAAAGTTGTAGTTGAAGTCCAGTAGGCCATCCAACATCCAGTGCTGCGGGTCAAAGAAGTCGTAATTGGTTTCGCCGTAATTGAGGCCACTCAGCATGCTGTTGCTGGGTGCCTGGCTGCCGATTCCGCCAGAGTGGCCTGGGGTAAGAGCTCCGTTGGTAGAAAGCAGGCTGTTCGCTTGCAGCCCTTGGGTGGCCGGCATGAGAGTACTGTCCAAATGGGTCGATGACGCTGAGGACTCGTTCGCTGAGTCTGGATTAGTAGGTTGTTTCATGGCTATTTCGGGTGGCACGTAAGTCAGTCATCACAGTCACACCGAAGAGAGACGTGGATGCAGTGGCCAGAGCATGGGAAGGGGAGGTGGAAGCGGAGTGCATAATTACCGTCAATCGAGCCTCTACCTTGGGCTTGGTACTCTTCTCTCCATCGCCAGACAGAGTCGAACACGAGACTCATGCTGTGGCGACAGCGCACCTTCAATTGCAATGTATCGTCAATGTGCAGTGGAGAGTCGTCGTTATCGTAAGATGCCGTGCTGTTGCTGTCAAGCCGGGCTCCATTCCACATTTGCACCATCAGCTCGGCTAAGCGCCACTGGAGGTCGTTGTTTACAACGCTTGTCGCGCGGATGGCGTTGATTGTCTGATGGAAGAGGTTGCGGCCGCGATCATAGTCGATTGTCTTTGCAAAAAACGACCGCATAAGCTTGAGCAGAGCAAATCCTGCCGCAATCAGCATCTGCTGGATGTAGTTTGTCGCATATAGCAAGATCTGTCCGGGAGAGTTCTGCCCGGGTGATGTGACCTTGTCGACCTCAAGGATATTGTCCAGGAAACTCGTCGTGGCTCTCCAGAGTCCCATAAGATCGTCGATGTAGCCTGGTGTCGTACTCGAATCAAAGAAGCCAGCCAAGCGCAGGTGAAGGGCGGCAGCCCGCATATGAAGATTCACAATGGGCCCCAATTGTTGCGAGAGGATGGATGCCTGGAGTTCGTTGAAGTCCTTCCGGTACACCCGCATCAACATGGCTCGATGCTCGTCACCGGCGACCCCCCGAGGATCACTGGCATTGCTGTACATCTCCTTAGAGACCTTATCGCAAAAACGTTCTACCTGGAGCCTGGCCTCTAATTCGGGGGTCAACCGAAACGGCCCGTCCTCTCCCCGACGAACAGCAAGTGTCCAATCGTAGAGGGTCGAGGCCGGTTGACCATAGCCAGTACCGATGCTTTGGGCGACTATGTTGCAGACAGCCCATGTTGTTACGCGGTCATGCAGTTGTTCTTTGTTGAGATCGACTGATACCCGAGAAAAGTCTTGACTGTGGTTGGGCCTGTGAAGGCCAATACCCGTCGCAACCTTCATCATGACACCGCACAGAATATGTGTCGGATCAGCGCTTGTCGTGCTTGTTGGCAGAGGCCATGTGCACAGCAAACACAGAGCCTTGACAACAAAGTAGCTGCTGGGGACGTCTCCAATGGTTGACCATAGCAACCTTGTCAAAGGCCCTGATATCGAGGTCAGCAGCGTGGGGTCTGCGCTATACCGACGAGCAGCAACCGAGATGATTGACCAAAACAGCAGAGCGTGTTGTTGAAAGTACTGGTCGGGTGACTGTTGAGGGTTGAGGAATGGCAGGAAAGGATGGTAGAATGCGAAGAATTCGTTGAATAGCTGATTTACGGACTCTTCGGTCAGACGGACATTCTCGAGCTCGTGTGTGTAGCGCGGTAAACTGTAGGACCCGCCCCTCTTGAGGTGTAGCAGCGAGGATACCGCCTCATCGGAGCCCATAAGAGAGGGGTTCCGGGTGTGGGTATACACGCTCGTTGCGATGGGAGACTGAAGGTCGTGGTCGTCATCGTCGATGGTGTAGCCCTGGTTTTGGGCGCGTGCAATGTTGCGGCGCAATCTGTCGATTTCCTTCTCCATCTCGGCGTGCTTCGAACGCTTGCCGACACGCTTGAAGTTTGACTCAATCTTGCAGTCGAGCTTGAGACGATTACACCGAGAACAACTCTGAAAGGGCTCTTGCACAACGTCGCATCGCAACTGTTCCGATTGAGGGTTTGTCAGTCGAGTGACTCCTGCAATGGGACATCATTCGTAAGGTGACTCACCTTTTGTTGACGGCACTCGTTGCAAGCGCGTTTCACGCCGGGCTGGCGTTTTTTAGAATCTGGCTCGCCATTTTCGTCGTCGTGACCTACATTGCTGCCAGGGCTGCTGTCCAAGGCCATTGTGCTGTGCTTCCTTTTGGGAGGCCCGTTGGGAGCATGACGGGTATTCGTGGGACTGCCGGGCGAGACGGGCGTGGCCCCGCCGGCAGCGACGATGACCAAATCGTCCATGCAGGGCACGACGGACGGTCAGTCGGGGTGAGACAAAACAATACGCAGCAGAGGCGGGTTCGGGGACCCCCTCCCGAGCCGGGCGCGGCGTAAGGTGCGGTCGGAGCTCGCAGGAGAGACTCGGCAATCGGAGATGTCTGTAACGGTGAGCGAAACTCACTGGGCCGGCGGTCCGGTCTCGCGACGTGTGTGTTGGAATTGTTGATGTGAGGTGGGAGCTGGTGTGGCCGAATGCGGAGGGCGGGGAAGTTTGCTTTCTGGTTTTGACCTGAAGAGCGAGGCAAGATTTGCTATGGATGAGGACCTACGGTACCTCTGGGGCCTCTTTGCGCCAGCCCAGCCCAGCCCAGCCGTTGTACTTTTTTTTTCTTTTCTTTTTTTTAAGAGGGGAAGCAGCGGGGGGGGGGGGCGATGTGTGGTATTCGTCTCCCATTGGTTGTTTTGGTCTCCGTCTCCCCGCTTTCGTCTTCTACAACGGGCGGGGTCAGCAAGCTGTTCACACATGCCAGCTGCCTGATAAGGAAAGGCCTGTTACTTAATTTGATGCTTCTGAACAGGCAGATCGCAGCAGCTGTCAAAAGCGAGAGAGCACAGATATGTCGTGAGCCCCTGCACTCAGTACAAATGCTTAGGTATTAAGAGAGCAGATCCGATCGAAAGACAATCAAGACTAAACTGGGATTAACGAAATCTGCTGGTCCGATATCGTTCTCGTTTCCCATGATTACCCACACACGTCTAACTTTGCATCTGGGGAATTGTTCCCACACACCCGCATGAGTGGTCATCGTTTTGCCTAAAACCGAGAGTGGGAATTGTAGGTCAAAATTGGGTCGGTGGGCGGGTGAGCGCCAGTCCTGAGTGGCTGGTTGTTAACGGAAAGGCGTGATGGGTCTGTCCTTTGACTACCTACCTACCTACTCCGCTCCGTACTATGTAATCACAATTGAAGAGGGGTCGTCAATAGCTCACGTCTCGACTCCTCCCTTCGTCGTGGCGGAAGCTCAAGGCTGACCCTGCCGGGCTTGTTTCGATCAGACGAAGGCAAATCTCAAAACAGGCCCGGAAACTGCACTCGAAGCGTTCCTAAAGCCCATCAAAAACACTGCATCTGGTCAATCCCTAATTACCTCGTTGCTCACGTCACTGTACGATTTCGGCCATGGCAAAACAAGAAACAAAAGAAGCCCCCAAGCTACCAGTGAAGGTCGATCTCGCATTGCCGCCTCTATACCGAGGCAACGGCTCCTATACCGAAAATCCCAAAGGTGTCCGTGACGTCCAGTTTGCTATGCCGGGGTCGCGAACCAAGCCAGGTGAGACCGTATGTTTCGGACACCACACGCGCTTCGAAACTGACTGTTGTCGCAGTCGAAGTACTCCACGTAGACTCCACGGCTGTACCCCAGCCATTCGTTGATCCAGCTGTCTTCAAGAAATGGAGCGGCAAGTCTTGACTACCAAGAGACAGAGTCGAAACCGGATCGTGATAATGTGAGGGATTGCCACGCGGTAAACGTAGACCCTGCGGCATCACGGCTGTTGAGAATTGGAAGTACAGAATCCCAACGATATATCATACGATGGTTGAGAGGCGATGCTCCAGTGGGGTCAAGCTTGGTGTTTCTATCTCTACTCTCGCAACCAGAGTGTGCGCGCTCTCTTTAGCTGCCACCGGCATCTGAAACCCCAGCATCGCGATTCATTCTGCTTGCGTTGGGAAGCTTTGGTCACCTTCCGGCACCTTCCGGCCTAACTGCTTCTTAGTCGAGGTCCACCCAAACCAAATATAGTGAGCACAAAGGACTCGCGCGGGGCCACATCCTTATTGTCGGAGCTGCATCATGCCTACGCCTGTGACAAGGGTCCAACTGCACTATCGACTGTTGGACCTTGGGTCTGAAGTGTCGTGTATGCTTCATGAACCGACCGTCACCAGAATGGGGCGTCAGTTGGCCGGTCTCAACCGGGTCAGTACATGGACGTATCCACCTCTGGGTCGCTACCCGAAACCACCATCCGTCGTAGGATGGCTGAGTTGTGCAGAATACCGTCCACTTGTTCTTCCAGATTTGAAGCGATTGGACATAGCCCACGAAGAGTCAGGAAGTATCCGCAACTAAACAGCCCAAAGTTTCTCACCCCACCTTCAGAGTGCGGGGGCTCTGTGCACTAATACCGGTAGGAGAGGACGGCATCAAGAAGGGCAAGGGTCTGAAGCTAGCAAGCGTTCCATGTCGATTGACAGTACCATGACGCCGATTGTACTGCCGGTACTATAAGAATCCCGTTGCCACCTAGAATTGGCTTCTGTCACTCCTTTTGGCTGCAATAAAACTTAATCTGTCATCCTTTCTTTCCCTTCGTGATACCCTTCCTGGTCGAGTGGCTTAACTCGTCCTCCGCATCACATCCAGTCAATGTCGACTCAAACCAACAGCACCTCGTCAGGAGGGGACTACATTGTCCCCTTCTTCATTGACGGGGGAAAGATCATCCCTGAAAAGACTTTTGACGTCGTGTCCCCCGCCACTGGGAAAACTGTCCACAAATGTGGCAGCGCAACTGAGAAGGATGCCCTTGCGGCAGTTGACTCTGCCGCCGAGGCATTCAAGAGCTGGAAAAAGACGACCTTGGTCCAGCGCCGAGACATTTTTCTGAAGACCGCCGCCATTATGGAGAGCCGCAAAGAGGAGCTGGCACGCATCATGTCGGAAGAGACTGGCGCGGCCGCCGGGTGGTCCGAATTCATTCTGGGCCTGGGCATTGGCTGCATCAAGGACGTCGGCGGACGCCTCGTCACCGTGGAGGGTTCTGTTCCGGCCACCAATGATCCTAACCTCAGTGCCATGGTCTTGAAGGAACCTTACGGAGTCGTTCTCGCAATTGCGCCCTGGTCAGTAGATTATGCTTGGTGCCAGTGACGCCGGAGCTAACTTGGTGTCAGGAACGCCCCTTTCATACTGGGGGCAAGATCCGTGGCATTTCCCATTGCAGCTGGCAACGCAGCTATTCTCAAGGCGTCGGAGTTTTCTCCGCGGACATTTGTAGAGATGGTGGCTTGCTTCCACGAAGCCGGCCTGCCCAAGGGTGTGCTGAACGTGATTGCTCACGAGCCTGCCAACGCCGCTGCCATCACAACAGCTCTGATAGCTCACCCTGAAATCAAGAAGATCAACTTCACCGGAAGCACCACCGTCGGGCGCATCATCGCCAAGCAGGCGGGAGAGCACCTGAAGCCAGTGTTGCTCGAGCTGGGAGGCAAGGCTCCGGCTATTGTGTGGGAGGACGCCAACCTTGACCTAGCCGCGGACCAATGTGCAATCGGCTCTTTTCTCCACGGGGGACAGATTTGCATGAGCACGGAGCGCATCATCGTCCACAAGAAGGTCAGCGAGCAGTTCCAGGCCAAGCTGTCTGCCTCGATCGAGAAGATTTTCCCATCAAAATCCGATGCGCCCGTTCTTATCAACGCGGTCGCCGTCGAAAAGAACAAGAAGCTCATCAAAGATGCCGTCGGCAAGGGCGCCGCCGTCGTTGCGGGCAACGTCGATGCTGAGGAAACGTCTAAGACCAGGCTGCGGCCAATCGTCATCAAGAACGTCAGCACAGATATGGACATCTACCAGACCGAATCTTTCGGCCCGTCCGTGTCGCTCTTCGAGGTCGAGACTGAAGAGGAGGCGCTAAAGATCGCCAACGACACCGAGTACGGTTTAACCTCTGCTGTCTTTACAGAGGACCTGCGTACAGGTCTACGATTCGCCAAGCAGATCGAATCAGGAGCCGTCCACATTAACGGCATGACTGTTCACGACGAGAGCGGCATGCCCCATGGTGGCGTCAAGTCCAGCGGCTTTGGCAGATTCGGCTCGACAGGCCTGGAGGAGTGGGTGAGGACGAAGACGATTACATACCGGAACTGAGTTTCCTCGTTCCTAGCGCTAAAAATATACCTTTTCTGAATGAAGTTGGGACACATCAGCCCCTGATCTTGTTGTACGCCCAGGCCTGGAGCTGCGCAGCCTAGTGTTCTCGGACATGAAACCGTGATATCCCGTATCCTCTAGTCCCTCGTGATTCGCAGCATGAGGTTGACCGAGACTATCCGTGCAACCGATGCCAATCTTTTCGAATCGCCCATTCGATAATCTTTCCGGATATCCCTTGGGAAGGGGAATTGCGGAAGTCCCCCTTGTGAGTGAAGCTCAAGTAGAGCAGCCTGTAACCAAACTCGCGCTGTCCTAACTTTCCGTCCGTGCGACTTCTAGTTAATCCCATATTGATTTACAGGCGCAAAGCTCCCAACTCCCCGGAAAGTGAACCGATGACAGAAACAAGTTCTATCGGAAGAGAATTCATGCAGAATCAGCTTTCCTAGATTGCACAGGACTTTTCGTTCCTAAGGTTGGCTCGGGTACGTCCATGACTCCGTAATGTTGCTGACACCGCCCGAAGCATCCGAACTGATTGGTAACCAGACGAGCAAGGCAAGCCCGTGCGCTATCAATTGGCGCTAGGCCCCTCCTGTCAGGCAGCTCTAAAGATCCCTGCATCGCAAATTCGAAGCTCGCTCTCGAGACCTTCAGGTCTGGCATGACGTCCTATTACCAACAATCTGCGCCATGCTTCCCGCATGGGCTGTCAGACCAGCCTTCCGCTCGCTGCCGGGCCTCCGAGGTCCTTCATTGAGTTCGCATCACCTTCCGAGACAATGGTACTCCGACAAGAAAACCGCCGGCGCGCCGGTCACGCCCTCCACCGCCGAACATGACCTCCCCGACCACCGAAAGCTGGGCATTCGGCAGGAGCTCTTCACCACCTCCGTCTACAGTCCCGGCTCGCCGATATTCCTCCCGAACGGCACGCGGGTCTTTAACCGCCTGGTGGACTTCCTGCGGCGGCAGTACGTCCACTACGGCTTCGAAGAGGTCATCACACCAAACATCTACAAGAAGTCCCTGTGGGAGCGATCGGGCCACCTGCAAAACTACGCCGACGACATGTACACCGTCACCAGCCGTGCGCGCGCTCCCGAGGAGAAGGCAGCTGGCTGCTGCGGGGCCGACGGCAGGAGCCCGCCGCACGAGGGCAGCGGCGAGACAGCCCGGACGGCCGAGGGCGAGGACGACGACTACGGCCTCAAGCCCATGAACTGTCCGGGCCACTGCCTCATTTTCGCCTCCAAGACTAGGAGCTACCGCGACCTGCCCATCCGCTTCGCCGACTTTAGCCCGCTGCACCGCAACGAGATCTCGGGGGCGCTTAGCGGCCTGACGCGCGTGCGTCGGTTCCACCAGGACGATGGCCACATATTCTGCCGGCCGATCCAGATCCGCGAGGAAGTTTTCAAGACGCTCGACTTCATGAAGACGGTCTACGGCGCGCTGGGGCTGGATTACTTCGACTTCGCGCTGTCGACGCGGCCGGCCGACCACTACATCGGCACGGATGCCGAGTGGGAGCGGGCGGAGGGGCAGTTGCGCGATGCGCTGGAGCAGGCCGGGCTGAAGTATACCGTCAAGGAAGGGGACGGTGCCTTCTACGGCCCAAAGATCGATGTCATGCTCCACGATTCCCACGGGAAGTCGCATCAAGCCGGTACGATCCAGCTCGACTTCCAGCTTCCGCAGAGGTTCAATCTCGAGTACAAAGCGCCGGCGCCCAAATTGGAGGCTCAGGGGTTGCCGCTGGAGAAGGCTGACCCGGCCGAGCTCGAGACATACGGGTCAGTCACACCCGTCATGGTGCACCGAGCCATCTTGGGCTCCGTCGAGCGTCTAATGGCGCTACTGATCGAGGAGTACAAGGGCAAGTGGCCCTTCTGGCTCAACCCCCGCCAGTGTGTTATCCTGACCCTGAACGACACGGAGCCCGTGGTCCGTTGGGCGTCCGAGATCAAAGACACCTTGACGGGTCACGACCGCGTGAGGGACCCGAACAAGCCGGTACAACCCCGTCCGACGGGTTTTGCGGTCGATATCGACGTGAGCCCACGGTCGCTGCAGAAGAAACTAGCAGAGGCGATTGAGAAGGGGTACGGCCTCATCGCCGTCGTGGGAAAGAAAAACGTCGAGAACCAAACCGTGACGGTACAAACGGGCGAGCGGCCCAGCGAGAACGGCGACAAGAAGAAGCCTCGGGAGGACCTGTCGGCCATGGGTTTGCGCCTCAAGATGCAAGAAATGGTTGAGACGTACCAGTAGGCGACAACGCGCGGCTTGTATAAAAAAATGTAAAACTGTACACTACTCCCTGTGACAACGCGTTTGGGGCGTTGTGTTCTAGAGCTATGATGCAAATAGACCGCCAATAACCGTCCTCCGAAGCCCGCCTGACAATATAGTGCTGTTTCTCAGCCCATGCCGTAGGTATCTCTCCACCGAAACCTTAACTCCATAATTGAACCCCAACGCAAGTCAAAAGAAAGAACCCTTCGTCAGCTCCTTGGCATGTCACCTGGTCCTGTTGGAGGTGCTGTTGGCCTGCTGGTGATAGAGTGGCCTGGAGACGATGATCAGTCAAAACTCGACGCTTCTGGTTGGGCCGGCTCCTCGGGCTGAATGAGTACTTACCGCTTGTACTTCTCATCGACCTCACCGCCGGTGCTCTCGATGCGATCCACCAACTCCTGGCGCTGTCTGAGTTGCTCTTTCATAAACTCAACAGTCTTCTTCAGAACGAGACCCTCGGAGCGCCCCTGGCCCTCCAAGCCGGGCACCAGCTCTGTCAGACGGTCGAAGCCCTCACGAATGGCCTGGCGTCGCTTCTGTTCTGTGGACGCGTGTTAGTCTTGTTGTGGGATGCGCCCAATGTGATGCCCGGTCAGAGGCGTGACGCATGGCCACGCCGTTTCTGCCGCTTTATACAGAGAGCTGAACTTACCAGAAGCAATATGGTTCTGCTTCTTTTCCGCCTCGGTGAGCCGCGGCTTTTCTTCTGGCTGCTCGGCATCTGCAGCAGCTGACGGGGAGTTTGACTTGTTCGGAGAAGACATAATGCGCTGCGTAGTTTGTTTCTCTTCAAAGACGAAAGTGTCGCCAGTGGGATCACGTCAAAAGTAGCAATGTGGTGGTTTGGTCCAATGTTGAGAAGGGGAGGCTGTGGTGTTTCGCACGATCACATGCAGTTTCGTACCAAAGCGGTATGTTTCTAAGACCGGATCCTCCCTCTTGCAGGATGCCCTACCGTACACTACCTACCTAGGTAGGTAGATAGGTACACTAACGGGTCAAGAACACCCCTGTATAGCAAGGTTCCTGCAGCACGTTTGTTTCCGTCTGCAGGGCTGGCAGACAGCTGAACAGCCAATGCTCTTACTTTGCACATCCCTTAGGAAAGAACAGATAAGATAAAGAACTGTGGATCCGGTGGGGTATTGCACGGTCCCCCAGCTGGTTGTGACCTCATCGGCATTGTGATTGCTCATCCAGGAATTCTATGGGTGCCGGCCCACAACCCGCCAAATTTCCTCTCTTTTCCGATAAGTGCTCTCGGTCATATTCCCATCTGATCCGAACGAACTCTCGGAACGGAAGACAAGCTGAAGACAACTCCATCTTTCCCAAATTCCCCTCCTCTCTCGAAGCCTCTCCCATTCCGCGGGCCCGCCTGTCCTGTGGCTTCGCATACACCGAAAATGGCCGACACGAAGACTACCCTCGATACCCCACCCGCATACATCAAGGCCACGGAGCACCTGAGCCGACCACGTGCGCCTTCCGCTGCCGCTGGTGGTCCCGGCCCGCGGACGCCGCTACCACTCAATCTCCCTATCATCTCTTACCTCAAGTCTAAGCGCGTGGTCCTCGCCTCTGCCTCGCCGCGGCGGCGCGCCCTCCTTGCGCAGGTCGGCCTGACGAACCTTGAAATTACCCCCTCGACAAAACCCGAGAACCTCGACAAGTCGGCATACGGACCTTACGAGTATGTCTCCGAGACGGCGCGGCAAAAGTGCCTCGACGTGTACGAGACGGCTCTGCAGACGCACCTTGCCTCGATCCCGGACCCCGACGTCGTTATCGCCGCCGACACTGTCATCGTAACCCGCGACGGTCGCGTGCTGGAGAAGCCGCGTAGCGAGGCCGAGCACATCAAAATGCTGCGCCACCTAAGGGATACCCGCGTGCACCGCGTGCTGACATCCGTGTGCGTGATCGCGCCGAGAGAGGACGCGCGGTCGCCGGGCTACGAGATTGGGAACCATACTGAAGAGACCAAAGTGTACTTTGTGCAGGAGAACGATGGACTGCCGGACGATGTCATTGAGGCATACGTCAAGACGAGAGAGGGCGCTGACAAGGCGGGCGGATACGCGGTGCAGGGCATCGGTGGGATGTTGCTCGTTGAAAAGATTGAGGGCAACTTTGACAACGTGGTCGGCTTGCCCGTGAGACAGACGCTGTCGCTCACAGAGAAGGTGGTTTTCAAACAAAATGGAGAGGAAGTGGGCGAAGAAGACGTTGAAGAGGATTTGATGTGATTTAGAGGATAGTTGAGCGACTTGGTACATACCCAACCCCCTCGACATGAGGGGCAACGCATCCAGAGGGCGTGCGAAATATTATGAGGTGGCCCCTGTTTCTGCTTTCGTCTCTCTTGGTCGAGCTGACAGCCTGCACTGTTTGTGTTGTAGCGTAAGGTTTTTCGGAGTACAGTTACAGACAAAGTGTGGTATGTGAAGGGCCAGTCTTTGTATCTGTTGCTTCACCGAGACCCGGACTTTGGAATCTCCAAGTTGCTGGGGGAGAAGTCAACGCGCAAGAGGGTTCGTACCAAATTGACGTGTTGGTTTGAGCAAATCGGGCATATGTAATCCGTTCCAGAGAATGACTGTGTGAAGGCATGGTATGAAAGAGGAAGGCTATTAAGTGATTTGATAGTTGGATAATGCATAATAGAAGACATTCTCCTCTAGCGCGGAACTCCATCTGACGAACAACCAAGAGTTGCTGTACCTTTTATATACTTATATTACAGACCAGCATCAGGGTGAGTAGCCACTCAAGATTTCGAGATAGTGCATTGTTCAGCAGGAATTATTATGAACTAACTCTTCATTCTGTGAAACTGACTTGCTGCAGTCAGTTGTAAGTTTCCCACACGGGGAATGTCCATTCTGCCATACCGTCTGGCGGGCCATAAGACAAGTGTCTCTGAGCGACAAACCTACGAAGAATTTCACGTGCTGTTCAAGCCGTTGCGCCCAGCCAAAGCTCATAAGTAACAACCAAATCATTCTATGGCGCACCAGAATCGTCATCTTCCCGAGTAGCAAAAATTGGGCTTGACTGTGTGTTTCACGTCAAAAGTATCGACGCTTTCCGCAATTGAGAAGATGTAAGACTGGAACCCCTGAACTCCTGAATGATAGACATTGTTTGTCATATGTGGACTATTGGTATCAGAGGCTCGTAGATGCCTCTTCCATCCCATAGGCCTGGAGCGAAATCTGCATATATTTACGCATATGCCAGCGACGTGTGACCGGTGCCTTTGCCGGTTCGAGTGTCGCGCATTAGTGTAGTACCAAGTTTTTCTTTTTTGTTATAGAAACTCGTAACACGCCGTCGGGTACTTTCAGGATGCTGTAGGCCGTTTGAAAGGATGGGCTTCTGTGTTGAAGACCCATTCGTCCAGGCTGATCAACTGGGGATCCGAAAAAATCAAATAAAAGTACTTCAACGTCTTGGCAAAGAAGAAGCTCTCCATCGTATCATCGTGCCGTGACTTCACATACGTCACGTCGACGACTACTGCGTGAGCGTCATCCGTCTGCGTCGCCATCTGAATGGCTTGGAACATGTCCCACGCCATGTCAAGGAGGTCTTCCTTCCCGGTGATGCGGTACAAGATAAAGAGGCTCTCTATGCCCTCGGGCCGCAGGTTGTAGCGAGCGTCGTCGACGCGCCAGAACCCACGGGGTGCACGTTGGCTGCTCTGCGCGGCCCATTTCTGCTCGTCCCATTCGCAACCCTCCACGGTATCGCACTTGGTGACCTGAGCCTTCTCCGGCATGAGGCCGCTCTTGAAGGATTTATATGCCCAAGCACACCCGCGCGCAAGTTTGTCGCCAACCTCGACATCATGAGGTATGTCGAAGAGTCTGCCAGCCATGGCAAACATGCCACCGGCGGAGCACGATATTTGTTCGACATCCGGAATTTGATCGATTTTGAGCAGCTTCTCGTTGACGATGGCCGTGCCGAGCAGTAGGATGTCGTCCTTCTGTGGTGTCATCGGTCGGTATAGGAGGTGAGCTTTGGCTGCCTTTGCGGCACCCCTGTACATTTTCTCATACGAGGTGTCTAGTCCGCCAAGCAGGACGTGCATCTTCGGGAGGTATTCATAGAGCGAATTGTCATCTCCACCTAGCTTGAAAATGTTGTTGTCGGGAGCCTGGAAACCGTCGCGGACGTTAATATAATTCGGCCACATGCCCGGCAGCATCGTTTCCTCTTGCATGCGGTCAAAGGCCAGCCTGATTCGCTCGATAGCGTCGTAAAACTTGAAGTCCCCAGTTAACTGAGCCAATCTTGTGAATTCCAACGACATGCTTCCAATAGCAGCAGAGCTTTGGTAGGGATCGGGCAAGACCCTCCCAGCCTTGAGCTCTGCAAAGCTGAATGTGTACGGAGGGAACCGGTTTGGAGTATCAAAGGCGGCATACAGCATATTGGCGAGCTCAATGGCCTTGTCGAGAAGCACCTGTTCATTGCTGAGGTCGTATGCCGACAGAAGCCCTCCAAGGTACCGAATGTTCGTCTCAAAGACGTTACATCTCGACTCCGTCGCGTTGTTCCAGTCAATTGTGCTGACGTACACAACTGCTCTGTTGAAATCATCGTACAATCCCATTAACCAGAGTGTATCGAGCGAATCAACCAATGTGACGCCCCAGCCGTTATAGCGGTTTTTGCCCCTTAAAGACAAAGGTTGCAGTTCGTCGTATCCCCAGGCGTGCCGAGTGTATGACTGCCAGCTCTTCATGAAAGCTTTGTGCACCTCATGGCGACGGGACCTGCTTGTGCCGAGATCCCTCCTCACTAGGCCGTCCGGTCGGTCTGTGGCGAACTCGAACTGGATCTTGGGGAGGTCGAGAGGCGCTCCATTGGGAAGTCGTGCCATCTCGACCAGAGGGACTGGATGCTTCAGCGGATGCGTGGACCAGTCATAGCTGCTCTTGGTAGCTTGAAGGATGGGATAATCAACACTGTCGTCATCATCATCATTATCATCAAGCTGTACCGGCTCGTCCCGCAATAGCAGGACCGATAACACAACAAAGACGACGACCAAAACGAGCACCCGATATGTCGGCGGGGAATACTTTCGTAGCTGGAATCTCGCTACCATTGTGGACGAACAACGAATCGGGGTGCAGGCGGGGTGGCATATGGAGGACAAGGGCTGGGAGGGAGAGAATAGGACAGGCCTGCCAGTCTTGTAGGAAGCACTCTCTCGTCATCGGATCTCGACCACAAAGTCCGTGGAATTGCAGTCTTTCTTGTGCCCCTTGCGGCGTCGGATGTCTCGAAGGTCTGCCGCCTCTGGTGCGTCCCTTCCGTGAAACACGAGGGTTACCCATGATTCTGCTGTCGCTCGTCCTGGGACTGTCCGTGCAAGGAGGGGGAGAATCTCCCGGACTGTTGGCATCGATGGACCGACCTCGCGATTGGACCCCTTGGGGGGCTAGGTGACGGTGCTTCCAAAGCCACATGCGTATACAGGGGAATGCCGTGTTGTCACTGCCACGCTAGATGGGAGATGGTCGAGGATGCAACGATGAAGATGGAAGGGCATTATTAAGAGACCATTGTTGAGTGGGTAGGTGATAGGTCATGAGGCTGGATGGAACCACCATGCCCAACTGATCATGGCAAACGCCGTCATGTAAAGCTCTGTGCGATTGAACTAGACTGGATTGACTGCACGAGCAGTCAAGAGAGGGTGTCGTTTCACGGCACCTGACATGTTTCAAAGACCGTTGACGTGGGAAGGCTGGCTGAACTTGCTGTCGGCCGACAACGTGGGTGGGAAGTGGACCGAACGGTGGGTCCGGGGCAAGTGGGGAGTGACCGAGATGGTAGTCCGTACACACACGTACAAGCGCAAGCCACACTCGTGTGGCTGTAGCTTTCTCTGACCGCCAAAACTTTTTCAAATTTCTGCCGCATCCCACTTCCTAGGCCCAGGATCGCCAACACAGTCCTTCGCTTTTTCGAGGAAGGTTCTATTTGCCGTCACGAAGAAAGACCCTTCCCATAGGCCCAAACAAAGAAAGAAAAAACGATGTCATCGATGCGCAACGCCGTACAGAGGCGTTCCCATAGGGAGCGTGCTCAGCCTTTGGAGCGCCAGCGGTTTGGCCTCCTCGAGAAACACAAGGTTCGTCAAGCAGGCTCTACTCTTCTGCATTCTCGAGCTAGTTGCTAACGGCTCGCTCTACAGGACTACTCCCTCCGTGCCAAAGACTACAACAAGAAGAAGGCGCAAATCAAGTCCCTGCGCCAAAAGGCCGCGGAACGCAACGAGGATGAATTCTACTTCGGCATGCTCAGCCGCAACTCTATGGGCTCGCGCGTCAAAGACGGCAGGAAGTGGTCCGGCACAGTCGCCGGCGACCGCGGCAACAAAGCCATGGACATGGAAACGGTGCGGCTTCTAAAGACACAGGACGTCGGCTACGTGCGCACCATGCGCAACGTCATCTCCAAAGAGGTGAAGCGCCTCGAGGAACAGATCGTGCTTGTCGGCGGCATCGAAGCCGCGAGCCACAACGACGACGATGCGGACCACAGCGACGACGAAATCGACACGAGACCCGCGGCGCCGAGGAAGATTGTGTTTTTGGACGGCGCGGAGGCTAAGGCGGACGCCGCACAGGAGGAGGCGATGGACCTTGACGGAGAAGAGGACGACGAGGACGAGTTTGAGGGTTTCGACGATGACGACAACAAGGACGCCGACGACGATGTCCAGGCACAGAAGGAGAAGGCACTCCAACGGTTACGGCTACAGCTACAAAATGCGAAAAAGAAACTCAAGGTCCTTGCCAAGGCGGAGGAGGGCCTCGAGATACAGCGTGCTAAGATGGCCAAGACGGCGACCTCGGGCGGCACCACGAAGAAGGGCAAAAAAATTATGGTCCGGGCGCGCAAGCGATAAAGTAATTGTGTTATATCTCCAAAGGTTGGTGGGTCGGCGAACAAAAAAGTTGGTTGCGTTTTTTCGGTGTTTTTGGTTTTTCATTTCTTCATTTCAGTCCTAACATCTGAGCGGTTATTGTTGGGGGGGGAAGATAGCCTATGCTCAGAAACGTCGTCATGCGATACCCAGGCACACCCCGGAGTAAAGATCTAGATTTACAAAAAAAGGAATATCATCGCTCCTGTCCATAGCCCTGGACGAGGTCTCTCATAAGGAAATGCCCATTATTCCAACGCCCCCTAACCAGACAGAGAACGAAACCCCCAGAAGATTCATGCCTCGACAAAGTGGTATCTCATTTCCATCATGCTCAACCCCGGACTTACACCTTTTCTTCATTCTGACTTCACACCCACACATCTCGCCAGTCCTTTGACGATGCCAGCAAGCGCCTTGAAGCCCAGCGTCAAGCACCATACGAGGCATTTGAATAGACCCGTTACGAGCTTGAAGAGCACCCTCAGTGGCCACGGCAACCCGTCGCGCGCCTCCTTACCAGCCTGCTCCAGCTTCGCAAAGCTGCTGTCCTGACTCTCAATGTCAATTTCAAACTCCTCCATTTTGCCCCTCCGTGCCGCCGCCGCCGCTCGCTTCTTCTCCTCCCTCTTGCTCAGCCGTCGCTCCCAGCCCACAGGCTCTCGCGGTGCAGGCGGCGGCTCAAACGTCTCGACCTTGGTATTCTTCTCGTCCGCCGCCGCGACAAGCAATAGCGCCGTAACGGCGACGTCGACGAGGAAGAAACTGTCAATCTTGGCGGCGATGGCCGTGTCGACCTCAAGATGGCCGGCGCCGGTGCCGTCACGTGTTAACTTGGCGAGGTGCTGCGGCGACTCGTGGTGCTCGAGTGTGTACTCGACGCGGCTCCAGGCGGGCGAGCGCTCGATGGTGACGCAAAAGGGCGTCGCAAGGGCCGGATGGACGAGGAAATGCGACCCCGAGTCTTCGTCCCAGACGAGGCGGGCACACTCCGTCTCGGCCATCATGACGGCGTTCATGTCGTCCGGCTTGTCCAGCGCCATCTTAGCAGCCGCGAGGGGATAAAGGAGGGCAACGAGGCCATCGTTGGGTGGGTGCTTGCGGGACTCCTCTTCGAGTGTCGTCGTGAGGACTTCCTGCCAGTGCTTGTTCTCGGCGCCCTTGCCGTGATCTTTGTGACCGACCACGCCGGAGAGGATGCTACTTGCTGACGAGCTTGTCGTGGGATTAGGGGCCTTGTAGATCTTGGCAGGGTCGTGGCGGCTGAGGGTGACATATGCTGAGGCAGAGGTGGGATCGAGTCGGAGGCTGTAAAACGGTTGGGATGAAGAGGACAAGGTGTAGACAGGCGCATCCTTTTCCTGGGAAAACTTCATACAGTACACCCTGCCTTCCGAAGGCGGCGCCTTCCAGCCGTTGGATACCTTCCATAGGCTTTTCATGTGCTCGTTCGTTGAGACACTGGGAATGACAGGGGGCTCGATATTTCGCCTTGGCCATCGTTGCGCTGCGTCGCCGCTCAGCGGACTTCGTACAGGACTTCTGTGATGGTTGCTCTGGCTATCACCCTCAGGGTCTGGATACCATGTCGTCCGGTTGATTACGGCTCGCGGGATGTGAGTCGGACTGGTCTGTGTAGGGAAGTAGTCTTGCTGGTTGAGCGGAACGTCGGGGTTATACCGGGGGAAAATGGACCGCAGGGTAGGCTGCTCTTGGGAACACGATGACGGCTCCTCTGTCAGTGGAAGCTTTGCTATCGAGCTCCGAGAACGAGTACTACTACTTCGCACCAGAGTCTGTGCCTGGGAGAAGGCAGTGTCTGTTCGAGGTGGTACGTCGGCGACGGGAGGAGGCCGTTGGATGGGTGCTGCCCTTGCTGGAGGCTGCGCTGGCCCCTCGCGTCTACATGGCGTAGTTTCCTGCTCGCTAGCTTGGGCCCGGTGGATGCTTTGGGGAGTTTCTGATCGCTCAACTGGCGACTGGACTCTCTGCTGCGGTGTCTGTCTGCCATGACGCGGCGGAGAAGTTTGATCAATTGCGAGGATACTCTCAGGAGACACAGCCCGGGTCCGCTCCTGGGATTCTGATCTTCGAGTTCGAGATGCTGGCCTTCGCACCGTTGGAGGCTTCGAGTTGGGATTCGGGAAGAGTGAGTACCCTCCAGAGGGTGGCGGAGCTGACATACTTGCTGGACTACGCTGAGTTCCAAGTCGAGTGTTGGATTCTGCCCCCTGTGTTGGCAATGTCCAATCTCCTCCGCAGGTAAGGGGTATTGCCTGATGAACGAAGAAGTAATCCAGCTGCTACCGATGCATGATCCCAACTACGGAACCTAAGAATAAACAAGTCCTTTTTTCCTGCTATTGCAGTTCTAGTCGAGTGAACTAGGTGAAAGAGAGAGAAAGGCACGTAAACATACGACCGTTTACGATACCAAGAGAGAGTATATACTCTCCTGCCCATTGAATCAAAAGCGCTACGCTGGTTCAATGGCAGGTCACACACAGGCAGGCCTAGTAAGCGCTGGCTCATTAGATAGGCCATGATGAGTGGCGAGAGCGACAGAAGGATGTAGGGGATGGAGGGGATGGAAGGGAGTGTGGTCGAAGTGCCATACCAAAATAGAATGCAAGATGCGGGCTGGGCCAATCAGTCCAACCATCACACTGCATCGTAGGCGCCGAGACCAGGGTGGTAAGAGACCAGCCGCGCGGGGTTGGTTCGACGTGAGACTCGCGCCATTGGCCAGAACCGCCAAATTGAACTCCTGGATTCTGACCGCTGTGAGCAATCTTTGAGAGATGCCGACTGTGCAGCACTTCGGGCAGCGGAGCGAAATGTAACGTGGGAAAATGGGATGGCTTGCTGGGTTGTTTGAGATTTATGCGTGTTCCGCCTTTGACCTTGGAGAGATGAGCGGTCGTCCATCGCGTACAAGAGCTCAGAGTACATGCTGCATGCTCTGTACACCAGGAAGAATAAGGAAAAAGGAAAGAAAGAAGGATGAAAGAAATATGTTTTTCTTTTCTTTTTCTGTCGCGGCAGTCTATCTTTAGCTTAACAAGGTCTGCACTTCTTTTTTGTTTTATTTACGGATATTTACCTGTGTGACCTTAAAAAGGAATGGCTTGAATACGTACTTTAATCTGCATTGGCAGTCAGGAAGAGAAAAATGAGGGCTTGTTGATTTGGCAGAGATCGCATTTGATTTGGCTTCTTTCAGGTGCCGAGACGAGAACTGACATGTGTACCTGGAGATCAATGTTGGGACGGGAAGCTGTGCTGGCTGGCAACTTGCCTGGTTGGTGTGTATATGTCGGTGTTAGTTAGGACGGCACCGCTCGGACTTGAGTACCGCTTTGGTCGGCTTCCTTACAAAACTACTGGGGCACTGCCAGCGTTTTCGGGAATACATGGCCAGGAGCTCTTCTGATAGTCGGCGAAGTCGATTTGGTAACTGGAGATGGAGATGGGCGTCCGAGAATATCAACCATTGGCTATTTCCTAGTCATCGAGTTGACTCAACTTACCTGGACTTCGAACCCATGAAGCTCACCTGTCTGTAACCCTAAATAGTCTGTTATGGCTTAAGCTAACGCCATGGCATTTGCGCATACCTTTGTTGACAAAAATGTCAGAAATTGTGGCGATCAGTGAGTTAAACCTCCCCTACCCCGTTGTGAGAGTGAGAACCCACTGGCAAGCGCGGCGCTGGCGTGATTGAACGAATCACTGCTTTGAGACTCTAGTAAGACGGCCACCGAATAGGAATTGTCGCCAGAGATTTCCCAAGACCTCTTCAAGGCCATTGATGTTCATCCTAACGGGGTGGAGCTTACAATCGCTGGGTAATAATACCATGTGCGAAGCTGGAGAACGTGATCACAAAATGGGTTCTCAGGACGTTCTGGCATGGAGTCGTTGAGGAAGAGCAATACTGAGGCTTACATCACCTTCATGCCTGGCATTGAATATCTGGAGGACCCCTGGCGCAATACAGAGCTTTTACTGAAGAAAATGCGAAGTGACTGGGTTTGGTCGAGTTTCGAGCGAGTTTCCAGATGACGAGGTGAAGTGTGGGTTGCGAATATTGTACATGGTGTGTAAATCCCATGATCTACTGCTTGTTTCCCCTTCCCAGTTCTTGTGGAATGGCGGGAAAGTATCCCGCAAGGAGATCAGTGACCTGCACGAAGTTTTCACAATCAAGGGGCTGCCAAATGTGCTGGCCATCATCAACTGCTCCGGTCTCGGGTTTGGCCATAAGAAATCGTCCAGACCACGAGGTAAGTGAGCCTCTGGTATGGCTCGACATTATTTTCTGTGTCGTTAACCGGTCTGACAGATCTCTCAGGCAGATGTGTGCCATGGCCAACGGCCAAATTGAGCCTGGCGACGGTGACGCGACAGGATGCCGACGGCTCTTGGACACCCTGCGTTCCAAGAAACTTCGATGGTGGCGCCGTCATTGGCGGCACAAAGGAGCCAGACAACTGGGATCCAGAACCGTCACTGAGGGTGCAGCTGCTGGAGGCCTTCGCTGATACGTATCCTCATATTCTAGAAGATGGCGATGACTGTACCATTGTTCGCGCTTATGACCTTGGGGGCAGGGGTTTTGAATTTGTACCGTCAACGCAGATTTCGAAATCTGTTTTAAGGAGTACAAGATAAGGATTTGACTGTGTATGCGGACGCGTTGAGAGCAAGATGTCTAAAGAGCGATATCGGCATAGGTAGATAATTGGTCCCTTACGATAGTACCAAACCAAATAGGTAGAGCCCGTCTACTACGTAAGGACCACCGTTCGATGGCTGCAGGTTTGGTACCTGCATGGTGTCATCCGAAGGACGCCTGAGTGGTTTAATCAGGGCCTTGGCGGTATAAAGAAGGGGGAGAAAAGAACCGTTGTTCTATAGGAGCAGAGGTGTTGGTGAGTAAATTTCAGCGAGAAGGTTTTTTTTATTTTATTTTTATTCTTCTTATTTAGGTCCACTGCCATCCCATGTCACTCTTCCCCGCGCTCCGATAAGCGGTGAAATAATAGCAAGTCCCTGGAGGAGTCACAAGGTGGGATGTTTTGAGTCATTGCCCCACGTCCTGTTCTAACCCAAACCTAGCAGCTTCCCCTTCCTTCAACAAACATCTTTTAACACTGCGCTTTTTCATACTACTTCAAGTCAATTGAAATCGCAACAATGGCCAGCACCGTCCTTCACCTCCGGTCCGAGACCAAGCCCCTTGAGCACCGCTCTGCGCTCACCCCCACCACCACCAAGGCTCTGGTCGAGGCCGGCTATACCGTCAACGTCGAGCGCAGCCCCGTCCGCATCTTCGACGATGCCGAATTCGAGGCCGTTGGCGCAAACCTCGTTGAGGAAGGATCCTGGGAGAAGGCTCCTGCCGATCATATCATTGTCGGCCTGAAGGAGCTCGAGGAGAAGGAGTTTCCCCTCAAGCACGTTCACGTCACTTTCCTCCACGTCTACAAGGTAGTTTCTTCTGAAACAGTCAGCCCAAGGAACCACTAATAAAAAATATCCAGGGACAAGCCGGTTTTGAGAAGACTCTGGGTCGCTTCCCCCGCGGCGGTGGTACCCTTCTCGACCTTGAGTTCCTGACCAACGAGACAGGGCGCCGCGTCGCCGCCTTCGGGTACCACGCTGGCTTCTCTGGAGCCGCCCTTGCCCTCGAGAACTGGGCCTGGCAGCTTACCCACCCGGGACAGCCATTCCCCTCCGTCGAGTCGTACCCTAACGAGGATGCTCTCATTACGGACGTCAAGAAGGCATTGGACGAGGGCGTAGCAAAGAACGGCGGCAAGAAGCCACGAGTGATCGTGATCGGTGCCCTCGGCCGCTGCGGTTCTGGCGCCGTTGACATGTGCACCAGGGCTGGTGTCACCGATATCATCCGCTGGGTAAGCCTTGATTGTGGCTCGCACCATCATTCGTTTCACAGGCTAACAAAGACACAGGATATCCAAGAGACTCAGGCCAAGCCTGGCCCGTATAGCGAGATCGCAGAATCTGACATCTTAGTGAACTGTATCTACTTGAGGTATGCATTTATCTGACAGCAAACTCGAAAAGGAGATTCCTAGTGTAACAATGCTAATCTCATTGCCTCATACAGCCAACCTATTCCTCGTATGTACCATTTCATTTTCGTTTTGTCGAATATGCTGGACGGTTCCTAGTGACCCAGGAGAATATCATACTCCCTAGTTTGCTTTCAAAGGCTCACGATGGCGACGCAGCTCAAACATGGAGTTCTCAAGGCATTGGCTAACATTGACTACTTTAGCCTTCGTCAACATGGAGTCTCTTCAGGCCCCTGGTAGGAAGCTTTCCGTCGTGTGCGACGTTTCTGCCGACACCACCAACCCCCACAACCCCAGTAAGTGCTAGTCCTCAGGATTCAGGTCCAGTCTTGTGCTAACGCCGGCAAACCCTAGTCCCCATCTACACAGTGGCCACCACGTTCGACAAGCCCACTGTCCCAGTCGAGGGCTTTGAGAACCCGCCCCTGAGCGTCATCTCCATTGATCATCTGCCTTCGTTGCTGCCCCGCGAGTCTAGCGAGGCCTTCAGCAACGATCTGCTGCCCACCCTCCTGAACCTCAAGGACTGGCGCAACGACCCCGTCTGGGCCCGCGCTGAGAAGCTCTTCAAGGACAAGGTCGCTACCACGCTCCCTGCCGAGCTTCAGAAGAGAGAGGTCTAGTGGGCCCTTGTTCGGCCATATCTTTGCTTTCTGTGAAGTTGAGAAACCTGGCGTTTAAGGGAAGAAGGGGAACGTTACGTGCGTGAGGAAGAGGGAGAAAAAAGACACATCCGAGATGAGAAGTGGCTTCTGGGAATGAGATGTTGAGTTGGAAAAAAAAGTATAGACCATGTGCAGGCGTATAGAGGATGATGCGCCTTGTCATAGATAGAAGCTTGCTGGCCGCAGATAGGCCTTGTTGGTGTACTCTTTTTGATATTGGCCCGCCGTCTGTCTCCCAGCTTCGGGTCCCTTTTTGGGGTCTGTTATACCTAGTCTACATGGTGTGTGTGAAAATATTGTGTTTGTACAAGCCGAATGTTCGCGCCATGGAGCAGGGTGTCCTAAACCGTAAACCCAGAACGCCCAACATATATATGCATCTGACCCCCACGGTTCTCCTTTTCGCTACCCATCCCAGGCTGTTGGCAGAAGAACAAACTGGGGCCCCTCCGCCGCACCATCAATCACTACTCTTATCTCTTCCCTGCCAAGGCAGCCGCCGCCGCCTCTGCCTGCTGCTGCTGCCGCTGCTGCTCCTCCAACCTCTGCCGGTCCCGGGCGGCGTATCCGCCGACCCGCTCGGCCATGCGCATCTTCTCCTCCTCTTTCCTCCTCGTCTCGGCGTCCTTCTCGGGCAGGCCCCACCACTCGCGGATGAAGTCCTCTTGCTGCGCCTTCTTGACGGCCTTGCGCTCGCGCTCCTTTTGCCGCTCGAGGCGCTTGGCGAACCACTCCTCGCGCGCGGCGTCGTGCTCCTGGGGCGTCGCGTGGGCCTTCATGCACCCGTTCATGGCCCGCAGCTGCGTGCGGCAGACAAAGGAGACGGTGAAGGTGCGGTTCAAGGCGCAGTCTGCGAAGGCTGTCCGGGGTCAATTTGTCAGCTTGCTCGTCAAGGCCACCTAGGCAAGGCGGGGGAGGGTCGCCGCCAAGATTCCTCATGGAGCCGCCAAAAGGAGGGGGGGATGCGAGGAGAACCCTTCTCACAGGCGTCGGTATCCGTGTTATATGTACGAGGCAAAGCGGCGGGCGGCCCGAGGAGATGGGGAATTGTGGAAGGGACGAACGCACCCTTGATCTCGGGGGCGCAGGCATTGCGCACGCGGGCGTGGTAAATGTCTCTGATCTGCGCTTCCTGCGAGGCGGAGAGGGGGAGCGGGTTGCGCGAGGGCATCGGCAGGCCCTGTGCAGCGCCGCCAGTTGGATCCTGAGCCGCCATTGTGGCCATCAATCGGGGGACTCGGGGGACTCAGAGGTAGGAGGTTTCGGGGCGTTGCGGTCCCCCCGGGAGGATGCTGCCTTCTCGTTCGGATCGGCAATTGATGTGACGTGTTGGCAATGTCGCCCCTCCTTTGTTCAATATCGACAGACTCGTCCTGTGCCGTCGTTTCGGCCGTCGCTTCTTGCGAGAAGGGAGGTTTGCGCGGGTGGTTCTATCTGGGTGGGTAAATCTACAGCTACCCGTCTGTCTCTCTCTTTCTCTCGCTCCGTCGCGAGTGTGACCCGTGCTTTCGGACGAAGCTTGCCAATTGAGACTTTCTGCCGGCGCATTGAATCTTACCGCCTACCCGATGCGAGTGGATTATATACGTATCCAATACGACAAATGCGGTATGAACAGAAACTTCATTCAAGATGCATACCTAATTATTGGAAGAATCAGATCGATACACAAACACACGTGGATAATGCAAAGAGCTAGAGACATGAAAATGGTGAACGCCCTTGTGAATTGATTTTCTTCTTATAGTTGGGGGGGAAGCACTACATAGGTGATGGCATTTGACCTTGACATCGTCACTGAACTACGCGTCGTTCTTGTCTCCCTCAGCTTCGGCCTCATGAGTTGCTCGGTGCAGCTCGACGCTCTCCTTATTGTCTTTGCCCTTCTTCTTCATGGAAAATTTGTTGCTCCAGTTAGTCATTCTGCTTTCCTTAGTCTCCTTAGACTTGGATGGGCCGAGAGACGGGCTGCTTGTGAAGCTTTCGTAACTTCGACCAAACAAGCCTTCCTCGCCGTAATCATCAATGTCGCCGAAACTAGATCGATCGGCTGACAAATTCTTGTCCGAGTTGGTGGTGCTCCCTGGCCCCTTCTTAAACAAGCCAGAGTCTTTGCTTAGCCGAGATGACAGACTGAATTTGCTGGAGCTTCCTTTCCTGAAGAGCTTGCGGTAAGCGTTTTCTTGATCCTTGGCGTTAGAGTCGGATAAAGTGCTTGACACGGCCCTGTCAAGCGTCAAGGACTCTCGGGACTCAGTAACAGAGGTCTGGGTATGGACGGAGAAAGCATCGCGGGACTTTCTCGAGTCAGTTGGAGAAGTATCATAGCCTTGCGGCGGATCCAGGCTTGGCGTGGAGAGCTCTCTGGTTTTGCCCTTTTCCTTAGCTTCCTTATCTTTGGCTTTGTCCCTGGCCTTGTCCTTGGACTTTGTCTTGTCCTTCTCTTTACCAGAGTCGCTTTCCTTGTCTTTGCTGCGGAATAACCCACCAATGCCTCCAATAGAAAAGGTCGGTGCTGCAGGATTGAGACGTTGACTCAACAAGGATTTTGAGTCGGAATTCTGCTTACTAGCCGGCGGTCTGCTGCCAATGACTCCGACCTGGCTGGGCGAGACCTGCGGATCGTTCAATGCTTCGTGGTCCAGAATTTCGTCGTCGGCAGAGGCCAGCGTCGTCTGCAAAGCCGCAGGAGAGCCATGAAGAGAGGGCCGTCTCGACGGAGTTCGCGAAGGCCACGGACCGTCGGGAGACCATAAGCGATTTCTCTCGCCGGGGTGGTTCCATATAGACCCGCTGTCAGTTGAGGGACGGGGCAAGTCTGCTGAAGTCATGGAAGTCGGTCTGGGGCTGCTAGGATCCCGGTCTACAAAAGAACCATTCCATAGCATTAAACGACGGGCCGAGGAGAACATGCTTCGTCCAAGGTGGGAAGCACTGCTTTCCATGGTCTCGGGACCCGCTGAGTTCCTGTTTCGACCCAAGGAGGAGAAGCTAGTTCTACGGCGAATGGTTCCCTCTGGGTCGTCGGCCTGCCGAGGGAACGACTGGCTCTGACCGTGCTTCAGGCTACCCAGTATCGGTCCACCGTCATCAACAGCTTTGGCACCCTTGCCTCTCTGGAATGAAGACAGCAAATTCGTGAACCGGTGTGCTGCCGGCGATGGCTGTCCGCTGGGAGAAGAGGTAACGTCATTGAACGATGCGTGGTCGCCGTTGTCAGGCGCCAATTGCGGGAATGCAATCTTGTGCGAAGGCCCAAGTGGACTTGAGTGAGCACTGTTGGACCTTTTGGACGATTGTGGCGAGTGGGCGTCATATTCGTCATCCGGCAAGAATGGGCTTCTTCGAGAGAATGAATCGGGGCTTGCAGAGTCGTCATCGCCCAAGATACCGGACGGTAACAAAGCCGCAGCTGTAGGACTGAGCGGGGCATTACTGGTGAGAGCTCTGAAGTCTGCATCCGAAAACTGATCGGCGCCGAAATTGTCGGCTCCAGAGATTTCCAGAAAATGCGAGAAACCAGTCCGGCTGCTGAAGCTAATCGGAGGCTCAAAGGAGTCGGAAGCAGGAAAAGGCCCTGTTGGGGATGACATGGCGGCGTTAGAAAGGGAATTTCCGGTACGGCTTCGGCGTTTGACCTGTGCGGAGAGGTTCTGGTCGAAGTCGACACCGGAAGAGTTTGCTTGGTTATAGAACTGGAGACTCTGTTGGTTCTGGGCGTAGACCTGAGCGTGGAGAACGTGTATATGGCCTTCCAGTTGTTGAGATTTTCGGTTCTCCATGATGAGTTGGCTCTGGAGTTCCCGTCGCTTCATTTCGAAATCCCTCTTCATCTTTCGGTCGTCCTCCCGCCAAGTGTCGTCTTCCTCTCCGCCCGGAAGCTTTCTCCTAGCATCTTCAAGCTCCTTGAGCTGTTCCTTCTTCTCTTTGTATTCGGTCTCAAGTTGCGAATACTCATCCTGCAATGCAGAGTTGTCCTCGTCCAAGTGCTTAATTTTGAGGTCGCGGTCCTGCTCCAAGCTTTCCTTCTCAGCCGCAAAACCCTTGCGCGTCTTCCGCATGTTCTCGATCTCGGCGGTCCACTTGTCGATATTATCGATGATCTTCTTGCGCTTCTCTTGCTTTTCCTTGAGTAGGTTCTCTTTCCTCGCCTTGTCCTTCGTGGCTTGGCGCATCTGCTCATAGGTAGCCTTGACCTTCTGCCGAAGTTGCGCTGTGTTGTCGTCCTTTTCCTTTTGCATCTTTTTCTTCTCCTCCTTTTCTTTCTTGAGCCGCTCTTCGAGCTGTTTGAATTCGCTTTCTTCGGAGGCGTGTAGGGATGCTGTCTCGTCAATCTCCTTCCTCGTCCTCTCCAATGCATCGGCAAGGTCTTTGAGTGAAGCCTCGGGCTGGTCGCCCCCAAGATCCTTGATTGACGGCTGTTCTTGGCTCGCTATGGAAGGGGAGTGTCTGCGATTAACGGTGTTGCGTCTCTGGCCTGAAGGCCCGTCCCTCACAGCAGCAGACCCGCCCTCGAGAGATGGGGCCGCCTCGATGGTGGGAACTTGACTGCGACTGCCATTGTCCTCAAGACACGGGAACTGTCCTGACTTGGGGTCTTGATCTTGAAAACTGTCGGGGAGCCTCGAGTTGCCTAGTTCTGGGCGTCCGTCGGATCGGTAGGTACGCAACCGTATGACCTGGCTACCGGCTTGGAAATTGTTCGGTCCGACAGCGATGACGCGTATGTTGTAGCAGTGGTTGGGCCTCAGACCTGTAACAGTAATTGCCGTTTCTTCCTGCCTCGACTCGCCCACTGTAAAGAATTATCAGAAATACTATCCACGACCACCAACGAAGCGGGCCCAGACTGACCATTTACGCCATTCACTTGGATCAGGAACTTCTGCACAGGTCGGTTGTGCGTGGGACGTGTCCAGTTGAGGGTCGCGGCGTCGGGCCGGATGCCGGCCAGGGATACGTCTGGGGCCTCGGGAACGTCCACTCCGAGGATGCTGATTAGGTCGGTCGTCGGCTTCCAAAGGGTTTGCCAAGCGCGATGAAGCAGCCTAGAAACGGTCAGAAAGGACTGGTCTGGGGAGGTCGCGTGCGCGGAACAAGGTGGTAGTGGCACGACAGGTAACTGGAGGGCAGAACAGGTCGCGTGGGAGAAACTCACCAAATGACTGCGGCGAGCGTCACCAGCATACTGGCGTGACGCACGAGCAACTCATCCAGGCTCCAATAGCGAATACCCTCTCGGGTGTAGTGAACAGACCAGGCGAGGCAGAGGGAGGCGTAGAGCGGAGCGACAACCCAAAAGGTTGCGAGGGTGGCGGCGAAGAGGACGAATTTTTGGAAGCGGCTGTTTGGTCGCTTAAGCCACCAGGCGACGAGGGAGCTGATGAGGAGGATTTTCATGAACAGGGTCCATAACATCGCCGCGTCGAGCTCAAAAGTCGGAGAAAAGGAAGGTAGGGAAAGCGGAAGGGTAGGGGGAAAGCGAAGGGGGAGACCGTTCGCTAGTCCTCTCAAGGGCGGTCTGGTGGGAGAGAACAGAAGTCGGTCAAGGAAGGAATAAAAAGGATGGAAGAAAATCTCGGCAGTCGTGTTGTCTGCGGCGGCGATGTCGACAACCATGACACTGACCGGGAAAGAGCCAGCAGGTGGACTTTTCGGAACCAAGAGCCACTGTGACTGCGACTGTAAAACTGCCAGAGTATACCTCACATCCGTTACGCGTGCACCAAAATGCGGCTAGTTGCACTCTGTCCGCCAATGCCCTTGCACCGTGTATCGCTGCTAGTGCAGTGCACGGTGTGGGAGCGGGTGATCGGGTGCAGTCTTGAATGGGAGGGAGGGGCGGTAAGGCAGGCAGTGCCGGGCACCTCCTGAAGGGGGGGAGGGGCACGAGATGCGTCTCCCGCTCAGATGGCGGGGATGTGATTTCCTTATGCTCAATGGGTTTTCCTTTCTTAAATTTGAAAAAATCTCCCAATTTCTTTTTTACAATAGAACGGAGTCTTTTTCTGCTGTTTGATCCTTGGATTGAGGAGCAGAAAATTGTAGGAAGTAGGATCTTGGCAGGGAGGGACCTAATTGTATCCTTTCTGACTCGCAGCATTCGCATAAGCAGCAAATATTAATTGTCAACGGCAAACACCCTGCAAGCTTCATATCTGCGTAGATGGGGTTTTACCAACACTCCAAAGCACATTCTGGTCTGGTCGAGATACAGGAAGAAGCATACAGGATCGTTGGATCGGGGATGCTGCTTGTCCCTCTTCTCAAGCGCCGGACTCGTAGGTTCAAGACCGTCTCCAAAAGGTAATCGATAACATTTGATTATTGACATTACAGGACCTAACAGTGGCGAGCAAGCAGCGGGGCAGCTCACCATTTGGTACCTACCTACGGATACCTAGCCCAAGGTTGACACTTGGTTCCAATTCTTTCTCGTTCAGCGTGCCAAAGTCCCATGGGCGCTGTGGTACGTAGGTAGGTAGGTATTTGAGGCTCAAGACCACCGACCCCTTTCGCCCACTTGATGTCTCCTTGTCTTGACTTGGCGACCCCAGCCGCCTGGTTGGCCTGTCCAAACTTGGATCTGGCCATGCTCACTTCAAGGGTTTGATATGCAAGCAAGGGCGTCTTACCAGTTCCTAGCACTTCACAATCAACGCCACGCAGCACAGCCCCGATACGCATGTCCGGAAGTGGCTGCTCACCTCTGTAATATTGTAAACATCACTACTCCGTACATCCCATTGGATTTCTTACGTGAGCCCAGGATTTAGATCCACCGCCCTCGATACTTCTCGTATCCGGAGAGAGAAGATCCCCGTACACCCTTCCCGAAGATGCAGGCCCTGACCTGAGTGTGAGTCTGCCTCCGGGCCATGTGCTGAGGTGTCTGGCTACTGAGGGTCCCCTGAAAACGACTTAGAGTGAGGGGTGTGCAGCCAAAAGCAAGCCATCATCCCCTGAAGGCGTCTTGTGGCCCTGGAATGAGGGGCTCCGTACCGCCTGAAAACGATCCCGGGCTCGATTTGTCCAATCGTTCACTGATCTGACCTGACAACTGGCGGGGGGCTGGACAGCCCACTCACTAAGCAGCTCCCACTTCGGCACTATATTTGGACTGTTGAGGGGTTCTTGGCGGGGACTACAAGTAAGGTAGCTCTCCAGCTGGCGACTTCAAGTGTTTAATTCCACCCTGCCTTTTGGTTCTCCTATTCCTCTTCTTTTAGCTTCAGACTCCTTCTGATCTGCAAATCATCATCACTTCCGACTGTGCTTTGACCATACATAGTTCCAACTGAACCGATCGAAGGCCACAATCCACCGAGATACCCAATACACATTCATCATGGAGGCCATCAAGTCTGCTCTGAACGTCGACTCCAGCAAGGTCGCCGCGACCGAACCCTCGGCCGAGCAATTCGCCCAGCTGAGGGAAAAGTACGCCAAGGCAGGACAGGACCACGTCTTTACCTTCTACGACGACCTCCCTACCTCCGAAAAATCCACCCTCTTCCAGCAGCTGTCTGGCTTCGACCCCGAACATATCAACAAGATCACTGACCGCGCCCTGAACCCCCCCAAGACCGATGACGCCTCCGCCCAGTCTGGCCTCGAGCCATTGCCCGAGTCTGCTACTGCCAGTATTCTTGACTCAAAGCCTGAAGACATTGAGAAGTGGTACCAGTCTGGTCTTGATCTGATCGGTCAGAACAAGGTGGCCGTTGTGCTGATGGCAGGCGGTCAGGGAACCAGACTGGGCAGCTCCGCTCCCAAAGGCTGCTACGACATCGGCCTTCCCAGCCACAAGTCACTCTTCCAGATCCAGGCCGAGCGAATTCGCAAGGTACAGGAGCTCGCGGCCAAGAAGGCCGGCAACAGCAGTGCTGTCGTCCCTTGGTACGTCATGACATCCGGTCCCACTCGTGGTCCCACGGAGAAGTACTTCCAGGAGAACAACTACTTTGGTCTTGACAAGACCAATGTCTTTATCTTCGAGCAGGGCGTTCTGCCCTGTATCTCCAACGACGGCAAGATTCTGCTCGAGTCCAAGGCCAAGGTCGCCGTTGCCCCGGACGGAAACGGAGGTATCTACCAGGCGCTTGTCGTCTCGGACGTGATGGGCGACATGCGCAAGAGGGGCATCGAGCACATCCACGCCTATTGCGTCGACAACTGCCTAGTCAAGGTCGCCGACCCCGTCTTCATCGGCTTCTCTGCCTCCAAGAACGTCGACATCACTACCAAGGTCGTGCGCAAGCGTAATGCTACCGAGTCGGTTGGTCTGATTCTGCTCAAGAACGGCAAGCCCGACGTCGTTGAGTACTCCGAGATTGACAAAGAAACTGCCGAAGCCCAAGACCCCAAGCAGCCCGGCATCCTCAAGTTTCGCGCCGCCAACATTGTCAACCACTACTACTCGTTCCGTTTTCTCGAGAGCATCCCCCAATGGGCGCACAAGCTGCCCCACCACATTGCGCGCAAGAAGATTCCCTATGCCGATCTCAAGTCTGGCGAGACGGTCAAGCCTGAAAAGCCAAACGGCATCAAGCTGGAGCAGTTCGTCTTTGACGTCTTCCCCATGTTGGAGCTCAGCAAGTTTGCTTCCATGGAGGTGAGGCGTGAAGATGAATTCTCGCCGCTCAAGAACGCACGCGGCACGGGTGAGGATGACCCCGACACCAGCAAGCGCGACATCATGCTCCAGGGCAAGCGCTGGCTCGAGGCTGCCGGCGCCACCGTCACCGGCGAGACCACCGAGGTCGGCGTCGAGGTTTCTCCCCTCTTCAGCTACGTAAGTTGTTTGTCCTTATCAGGTCTGCAGGTCTGGTGCTAACAGATGCCATAGGGCGGTGAGGGATTGGAAAAGTTTAGCGGCAAGGAAGTTAAGGCCCCTGCTGTTTTGGAGATTGAGTAGATGTATAAAGCTTAATGACACGGACAATGGGCGTTTGATAGAGAGCAATGAGTTCGAGATTGCCATCCAGGAGATGGATTCGGTGATGGAAAGCAAGCCTTGAAGCTTGAAACGGTTCAGACCCATAAACAAAAGCAATGGTTACATGACCAGTTCTATCACATGCGAAAGAAGGCGCAACGTCCAAGCGCGATGCCTATCTGGCTCAGGTGTACGGAGTACTGTTGGGTGTGATTATTACCTACCAAGTTACCACTTATAGCAAAGCAGGGCTTTTCTTTGGGAAGACGAAGTTGCACCACATAGCCTCGCGTTCGTCCAAACGATGACTCCCCTCCCCCGGAGGCACCTGCAGAGCGGAATATTGTGATTTTTTTTTGATTTTTTTTTATTTTTTGCCAGAGCCGCTGCAAAGCAACGCAAATTGAAGCCCAGGGGTATCCGGGTTTTGGCTCGTCTCCAAGGCTGGGTTGGCCCTGTACAGACGCGACCTTGTGATGGTGCATTGTGCAGTTGTACCTGGACAGGTCGGCCCGGCGGGACTGTCCAACTTGGGACTGGACGAACATGGCAGCCAGCGATGGCTTGCTGTTATATCCGTACCTAGTTCTCGATTCCAATAGTTCTTTATTTCCTCTCAGTCCACTCCTGGTTTATATGGGGCCTCCACAAGGATAGGATGTGCAGAACAGAAGCATACGCAGTACTCCGTACGGCCGAAGAAAAAAGCGTTGGGCCCGTTCTTCAGCATGGTTTGTGATTCGTGCTCCTATTTGTTTGCACTGACGACCTCGGCCCCTCGGCAGTTGCAGGCAGGTAGCGTAGTACAGTCTTCATCGGTGAAGAACTGGAACAAACGCCTCGGCACGGAGATGGATTCCAGAGCTGGCGCCTAGCAGATCGAGATTTCATAATAGAAAGCATGGGTGGGGACAGTGTACAGGCTGTTGCGAGATCTGATGTAAAGGGCCTGATATTCAGTTGGCTACAAGAGACGGAGGGGTAAGGTTTGGCAATGACATCAGCACTCAGAAGGCGATCGACTATACGGAGTACAGATAAGTGCTTTGTTTTTGTTTTTTCTAGGGGAGGGGAAGCAGCAGTGACGACAAACGGCAGCAGGTCCGCGCTGCACCAGGAGTCATGCGGTGTCACGAGTACCTTCAATGACACAAAACGAGTCAGCCGACTGGACACTTTAGGAGGGTATTGAGCTGTGGGGTATCGTATTTACCATGTGCAGAATACACCCCTTTCTCAATGCGTATCATGTATCAGTCACTACAGAGGTCGTAACAATGACAGGCAGCAGCGCAACAAAAGAGGCTGGGGAGACCGAGTTCGGTTGAGTTGCGTGAAAGCCGATAGGTGGGGGTTCTATAAATGGGACGAAATACGACAATATGACAACAGACTAGGTACTTGGCTATGATTGAGGTTCCTCTGGGCTCCCAAGGCTGAACCCAATTGATGGATTGAAATTCCATCGGAGGAATCAAAAGGCACGGACAGCGGCTTAAGGCACAGAATAAGACAAAATGTTAAATTAGGGGGGAAAAGTGTCTGTGAAACTTTCCCATTTCTTCTGCATTCCAAAAAAGCGTCTAACGCATGTAAAGCCCGCTAGGGAGCCTTTTCTCTTGCCACAGATGCCAGGCCAGCTCAGAACCTTTGGGCCGTGGCCCCCTAATGTCGGCATTGGCCCTTCTAGCGTGTTTTTCTCTTCTTACGGCTATGGGCCGGACAAGTATGGTAGATGCGGGCAGGGCGTCTCTGATGCGGCCCAGGGGGGCTTTCCCCCCCTTCTTTTTTATTTCCATTGGGGGACCTGGGGCTGCTCTTTTTTTTTCTCTTGGGCGGCTCTTGTCCTCTTGGGCGGGCTAGTTTTTGCTGGGGCCGAAACGGATGTCCACCTTCACATGATCCCGTACAGCGTTTACGTTGTAGTAGGTACCGGGTCATGGACAACCTTGGCTTGCCGTAAGTACCTAGCTAGCTTGTTGGGCTGGCTGTCGACCAACAAGCAAGGGTAGGTACTTACCTATGCTTGACCCCCTGTCCTGTACATATGCGCTAGGCCCTCCAGGCGTGCTACTTCCCTCCCGTACGTACCTCGCTCCCATCATGCCTCATCGCCGCCGCCGCCGCGGTTCCTCTCAGCTGTTTGTCTTCCCCCCAAAAGTATTCAGCTTCGTCATGTTTGTACCATCCACCTTCCACCGTCGCACACATATCTACTGAGGAAAAGGTTGCTCGAACGAACCTGATGGCTGTTCTTTTTTCCACCTCTCCAGCTACGGACCCCCGAACCCCCGACCCCGCGATACCCAAATTTTGATCGTGATTTAGTGTATCTATTCTTCCCGACTTCACACCCTTTACACCATCCTTTCCGTCCGTGATTCTCTCTCTCTCTCTCTCTCTCTCTCTCTCTCTCTCTCTCTCTCTCTCTTTCTCAGAGCAAATCCCACCAAGTATATGCGTTGCTGCGCTGATTGTCCCGCTCCCTTGCTCTGCGCGCGCGCCTCTCGAACTCACCAGTCGGCTTCTCTCGACTCATTCACCCTCGCAAATTCCCACCACCCCTCCCTCCCACCCTCGTACCCTGCATCCCAATAATAATTCCACACGACCCTCCCCAACAATTAGTTTACACTCCGCTCCGCACTTGTCGTCGCCGCACAGCTTAACTTAAGCTCCCGACTGCCGGCCTTCCTCGGGTTCGAGAAGTCGCAGCATCATCTCGCCCGGGAAGCCCTTTGCTGTCGTTTCTCTCCCCAACTCCAGACTATCCCCTCGGAAGACTCTCGCGCTCCAGCCCGTCGCAAACGACTGAGACCCTCGCGCACCATGCAATACGTTCGAAACCTCAGCGCATCCGTCTCCTCGACATGGAACTCGATCAACCCGGCAACCCTTAGTGGCGCCATCGATGTCATCGTCGTCGAACAAGAGGACGGAACCCTCGCATGCTCGCCCTTCCACGTACGCTTTGGCAAGTTCTCACTCCTTCGGCCATACGAGAAGAAGGTCGAGTTCAAGGTCAATGGTGTCAAGCAGGACTACTCCATGAAGCTTGGCGAGGAGGGCGAGGCCTTTTTCGTTTTCGAGACCAGTGATACCATTCCGAGAGACCTGCAAACCTCTCCGCTGGTCTCTCCGGCATCCAGCCCTCCTTTAAACCCGGAGAATCCTTCTTCGCCCAGTCTCGGTGAACCAGAATTGCTTGACCTGGACTCCGAGTCCGCGAAACCCCGTCGTCCGCCTCCCTCAGTCATCCACAGCGCAACTTTTGGAACCCATGGTATGTTCCTAACACACCCTTTGGATGCTCTGTCTGGATCGACGGCGCTAACCATCGCAGGATTCAACACTCCTCTTTCAACTTCGCCGGACATCTCCCACTCACGAATGAGATCAGAAGACTGGGGAGTGGCTACCCAGCGCCCTTACAGTGACGATGTGATTCGTAAGTCGGCCCGCGCAAGCGAGCGTGCTTACGGTGAAGACATGGTTGATTTTGCCACGTCCGAGAGATCTCAGAGTCCACCTCCCCTTGCGCCAAAGGAAGCGCTTGAACGGGCGCTCATGCTTTCCAAGGAGCTCTCGGCCAACAACATTCCTAGCCATGTCACAGAAAGCGGCGACTTGATGTTGGACATGACTGGATTCAAAAGCAACGAGGAGGATGTGTTCCGCGCCGAGATCCTCGCCCGAAAGATCCTGTCCGAGGAGCTCGAGGGTCCTTACGACATCGGCTCGCTTTTTGGTATGGATGAGCATGGAAACATCTGGATTTACAGCAGTGAAGAAGCCAAGGAGGCGGCCAAGAAGAAGACGATGGAGGCGGGCTACCGCCCCAATACTATCATCGCGGCGGATGCTGCATCGGATCCTGGGTACCAGAGCGACGGCAGTGATATTACGACCACTGCGCCCTCGCCGATTCACAGGCGGACCGAGTCGGATGCTGGAGCTTCTGGCCTGCAGACTCCTCCCAGAACCCCTCCCCAGTCGACGGCCGGAGACCCGAACCTGAACTACGCCAAGACGCTGCGGCTCACTAGTGATCAGCTGAAAGCATTGTGCCTCAAGCCTGGAGAAAACACCATGAGTTTCACCGTAAACAGGGCGACGTGCCAGGCCAACATGTACTTGTGGAAACACGAGACCCCCGTGGTTATTTCTGACATTGACGGCACCATCACCAAGTCGGATGCCCTGGGCCACGTTCTGAACATGATTGGCCGTGATTGGACGCACGCAGGTGTAGCCAAACTTTACAGCGACATCGTCGCAAACGGGTACAACATCATGTACCTGACCAGTCGATCAGTGGGGCAGTCCGACACCACACGGGCATACTTGGCTGGCATTCAGCAAGGGCAGTATCGGCTGCCGCGAGGACCTACAATTTTGTCCCCAGACAGAACCATGGCTGCCCTTCGTCGCGAGGTTTACCTCAGGAAACCTCACGTATTCAAGATGGCCACCCTCCGCGACATCCGGCATTTGTACGGGCCGGATCGGACACCGTTCTATGCCGGATTTGGGAACCGCCTGACGGACCAGATTTCGTACAGGACGGTAGATGTTCCAAGGAACCGCATCTTTACCATCAACTCCAACGCAGAGGTCTCTCTTGACCTGCTCAGCTTAAATAAGCTCAAGTTGAGTTACATCAACATCAACGAGGTTGTCGACCACTTCTTCCCGCCCGTGAGCACTTTGGTCAAGGGTGGCGGAGAGGAGTATACAGACTTCACGTACTGGAGAGACACTCCGTTGGATTTGGACGAATTTTCTGCCAGCGACACAGATGACGATGGTGAACAGGCCGACCTTGAGGAAGACATGGACGACGATGAAGAGATCGGAGACGAGATGGGCCAGAGCTATATTTCGCGAGACTCGGTTGATGGCTACGGTGACGAACGTGAAAGCATTCTCAGTGGCAGCATCGATGGCGAGGATCCACTTGCAGCCTCCATCGTGGAGGATGATGACGCCGACGACGAGGACGCCGAAGAGGAAGACGACGAAGACGACGAGTACAACGGTGCCGACCTCGACGTGCGAACCCAACGCGAGCGGACTCCTCAGCCCAGCGGCAAGGAAATCCAGTCTTCCGCACCTGCGCAGAGTGTGCTCGTAGAAGACGTCGGGGCTGAACTCATCACTGGGGTAAATCATCTCACCCTTGCAAAAGGTGTGCAGAAGTAGTGTGCTAAAAGGAGGGACAGGCTGCGGTTTACAATCCTAATGCTCAAGCAGGTTCGAACTAATATTCCGTGTCCGTGCGCTTCTCTTGTTGTACCGGGGGCTATAGAGGTGGTTGATGGCATACGAGCATCAATGGCGGCTGCTTTTATTTCAAAGAGGGGGGGGGGGGTGGCCAACAAGAAATGTTACGTTACATAGCGACAGGCGTTTGGAATTGGTGCTTCATATTGTAGTGGCCTTGTAATAGAGATACTACATGACTCAACTGTCAATCTTGTTAGGCTCCTGTACTTCCGAAACATCCCAATGGTATTTCCGATTGTACTTCATTGCGAAGTTTGTAGAGGTGTGGCTGAATCGATGGCTCTGTAGGTCTTACGGCTCATCAGCTAAACTAGAGAAGACCAAAGCGTTCGTTCCCGTGAACCTCCCTGAATAAAAAACTCCGGAACGGCCTTCCTTTCCCTTTCCCTTTCCCCACTTGTTCTTGGATGGCCGCAGATGATACATTGTCCAGCTCAAGCACAGCTAGAAGGCCTCTACCCACCTTACTACCACCACTTTTGCTGGACCATGGGCCCCGAACGGTACATGGACGTAGCACCGCCCTTCTAAGACGTGCCCTCCATCTCTGCGTCCTCGTCAACGTCCTTGCCGAACACGTCCTCCATCGTGCCGCCTTCAACGCCGTCGCCGCCAATGTCCTCATCGGCCGTCGCGTTCGTCGCCTCCACGCCCTCCATGGCACTGTCGCCACCAGCCGCGCCGGCGCCGTCCTCGCTGTCCTCGTTCTCGTCCTCATCAATGCCCGCCTCCTCCCACACATCCTTAAGCCCCCAGCTAACACCGCTCAGCACGAAGCGCTCGCTGGGCAGCCGGAGACCCCACTCATTCTGGGCGACCTTGGGCAGCGCCGTCTTGTTGCGCTCGCGCGCGAGCTCTTGCAGCCAGTCCTTGGACACGCCGCCCGCGCCACCGCCCCCGCGGAACTGGTAGCCTAACCGCGCGGCGATGGCGAGCTTCACGGCGTTTGCGCTGACGGCCGCATCGCCCCCGGCGCCAGGGATCGCGCCAGCGCCCGAGCCCGAGGCGGACGCCTTGGAGCCGGCCTGCGAGGTGTAGGGGTCCGCCGACAGGTATATGGCATCGGAGAGGATGCTCGAGGTGTGGCGGTAGGCGAAGTCGAGGAGGAGCAGGGGTACGCGCGACTCGTAGGATGTGACGCCCTGGGAAGTGAGGAGAAGTTCGATCATGCGGGCATCGCGTGGCCGCGGGGCCGAGGCGTTGGGGTTGAGGGGTGTTGACTGCTGCTGTGAGCTGTTTTGCTGTGCTTGTTGTGATGCTTGTTGGGTAGATGAGGATTGGGTCGGCTGTGACTGGGACGGGGGTTGCGAGCCTATTACCGACGCCGCGGCGGTCACTTGGGTGTTGGGGACTGCCTGGGAGGTAGAGGCGCCGGCCGAGGAGGAAGGCACGCCGTTTATTTGCGGATCCGAGGTCTGCGAAGCCATCGTAGCGGTAGGCTAGGCTGCTTCGACAGCACTCAGTGCAGTAGAGGAATTATCGTGTATCAATTTGGTGGGTGGATAGCATCTCCTCGTTGCGACTGGTTTGGAGATGGTTGAAGCACGATGGTCGAAGGACGATGGCCGATGCGACAAGTGCCAGCTAGGCCAGGTGCAAGGAACCGAGAATTGGCGCTAATGGAGATTACCCAGCCTAGTAGCAAAGGTAGTTCGTGAGAAAGGCGGAAAGCAGCACCTTTTGTCGCAGTGGGTATCTGAGTATTCGTGATCGGGTCGCGGAAAGAGCTACCAACCCACGAGGCGCGTTAGCCATTTCCTCCTTCAAGTCTCGCGATTCTGTACGGCAGTCGTATTGATCCGGTCCGGGGCTCTATCGACGCTTGGACCACAGCTTAATTACATATGGAACAAGGGTCTCGGGCGGGCAAATAGGCAAGGCGTGGATTGGATGCCCTCCAAAACCTGCATGGAGGGGCAACGTTTGCTTTGCCCCACCTCACCACCCGCCGATGCAGGACATGGTAAAGTGGTGGTGTCACACTATGTAGATTTTTTTCATACTTTTGAGTGGCGGTGCTCTCCTTCCCTGACACTTGACTCACAAGGGGCTGTTTATCTCGATAAAGAAGTGACATTCTACTTTCTTCAATTGGCTCCTAAGACAGCCTGCTTCCCTCATAGGATTGTCTCGTATCTTCTCCCATATATACCAATTAGCACATTCTATTTATCGTGTATGTGAGAGAGAACAAGGGAAGAAAGGAGAAGATATCCCTCAACTCACTCATTCACTCATACACTCATACAGACCAGTTCACAACACAAGCGGCCATGGAAACGACACTACCTTTCCCCTTTCTCATCAGCGTGGCTGTTCCGCCCGGCTTGTCCAAGCTGGACGGCCTTGACCGGGAGCAGGTCTCGATCCTCGGGGCCCCCTTCTTTGAGGCCAACGACCAGACCCTGGAAAAGTTCCACAACTTCCTGAAGCAGCACAACGCAGAGTTCCGCGGATACTTCGACGTCACCCGCATCTCGTCGCGCGACGATGTTGTCTCTCTGCTCGACGCAGGTGCCCGTATGGTCTTCGTCTCCCCAGAGAACCTTGCCCAGTACGAAGAGTTCGGCTCCCGTGTGGGCTCCGTCCTCTCCACGGCCGACGTCACAACTAAGCCTGCCTCCAAGCACGCCGTCCTCGTCAAGGACTTTGACTCGGCCACATGCGACCTGGGCTCCTTCATTGAGCGCTGTAAGGTCGAGAAGCTGCCCAACTTGTTCATCAAGCCCGTGCCCGAGAGCAATCTCGACCACTTTGTCGACATTGCCAAGCAGTGCTGTGCCATCCCCGTACTGCCGTCTGATGGCTTGACGGCCAGTAAAGAGGAGCCCAAGAAGCTGTCACTGTCCAAGCTCATTTCATCATTTTGGAAATCGGACAGGCCGGACGGCCTCATTCCCACTGTCGTCTGCGACGAGTCCGGCACCGCGCTGGGCCTTGCCTACAGCAGCGCCGAGAGCGTTGGCGAGGCTCTGAGGACCCGCACTGGGGTCTACCAGAGCCGCAAGCGCGGCCTCTGGGTCAAGGGTGCCACGTCCGGAGATACTCAAGAACTCGTCCGTATCGCGCTGGACTGCGATAATGACACGCTCAAATTTGTCGTCAGGCAGAAGGGTGGCTTCTGCCACCTGGACCAGCACGGCTGCTTCGGTGACCTCAGCGGCATCCCTAGACTTGAGCAGACGCTCCAGTCACGCAAGAAGTCCGCGCCCGCAGGATCCTACACCGCTCGTCTCTTTTCCGATGAGAAGCTCCTGCGGGCGAAGATCATGGAGGAGGCGGAAGAGCTTTGCGATGCCAAGACCCCTCAAGAGGTTGCCTTTGAGGCGGCCGACCTGATTTACTTTGCGCTTACCAAGGCTGTTAGCGCGGGCGTCAGCCTTGCTGATATTGAGAGGAATTTGGATGCCAAGTCGTTTAAGGTGAAGAGGAGAACGGGAGATGCTAAAGGCAAGTGGGCTGAGAAGGAGGGTATCAAGCCTTCTTCAGCAACTTCCCCTGCAGCGGCAGCGGCACCGGCGCCCGCACCAAAGGACGATGAGTCTGACAGGATCACGATGCGCCGCTACGACTTGACCAAGTCGTCCGCTGCCGAGATCGGCGAGGTGCTGAAGCGTCCATCACAAAAATCACCCGATGCTATCCTAAACATCGTCAAGCCCATCATTGACGAGGTTCGGGACGGAGGCGATAAGGCCGTCCTGTCCTACACCCACAAGTTCGAGAAGGCCACGTCTCTGACTTCCCCTGTCCTCAAGGCCCCCTTCCCCAAGGAGGCCATGCAGCTGTCCCCTGAGTCGATCAAGGCCATTGACATCTCCTTCGAGAACATCCGCAAGTTTCACGCCGCCCAGAAGGAGGACAAGCCTTTGCAGGTCGAAACCATGCCCGGTGTCGTCTGCAGCCGTTTCTCCCGCCCCATTGAGCGCGTAGGCCTCTACGTGCCCGGTGGCACCGCCGTCCTCCCCTCCACGGCCCTCATGCTCGGTGTTCCCGCCATGGTTGCTGGTTGTCAGAAGATTGTCATCGCCTCGCCGCCCCGTGCGGACGGCAGCCTCACCCCGGAGATCGTCTACGTCGCTCACAAGGTCGGCGCTGAGAGCATTGTCCTTGCCGGCGGCGCCCAGGCTGTCGCCGCCATGGCCTACGGCACGGAGAGCGTGACAAAGGTCGACAAGATCCTCGGGCCTGGTAACCAGTTCGTCACGGCGGCCAAGATGTTCGTCAGCAACGACACCAACGCCGGCGTCAGCATTGATATGCCTGCGGGCCCTTCCGAGGTCCTCGTCATCGCTGACAAGGACGCCAACCCAGCTTTCGTCGCCTCGGACCTGTTGTCCCAAGCGGAGCACGGTGTCGACAGCCAGGTCGTGCTTATCGCCATTGACCTCACCGAGCAGCAGCTGCAGGCCATCGAGGACGAGCTACACAGCCAGGCTATGGCTCTGCCCCGTGTTGACATTGTCCGCGGCGCCATCGCCCACTCCGTCACCATCCAGGTCAAGACCGTTGACGAGGCCATGCGCATCAGCAACGATTATGCTCCTGAACACTTGATACTGCAGGTCAAGGACGCCGAAAAGGTGACGGAGAAGGTCATGAACGCCGGGTCTGTCTTCATCGGCGAGTGGACGCCCGAAAGTGTCGGTGACTACTCTGCCGGTGTCAATCACTCTTTGCGTACGTTCACAAAATTGAACTTGCCCAGCCCCCCACCCTCCTCCCACATAGTTGAATAAATTCTGACCGACACCACAGCTACGTACGGATACGCCAAGCAGTATTCGGGAGTCAACCTCGCATCCTTCGTCAAGCACATCACCAGCTCCAACCTGACGGCCGAGGGCCTGCGCAACGTCGGCGAAGCCGTCATGCAGCTCGCCAAGACGGAGCAACTCGAGGCCCACCGCAGAGCCGTGGAGATCCGCATCGACCATATGAACCGCAGGTAAGACTTCGATTACGAAGGCATGCCACACAAAGGGGTAAAAATGAGAACAAAGTCGATTGATTGGGGGCCAAGGCAAGGGAGGGGCTCATGAATTTATGTATTTATGCCCCAAAAATGTTATTGAACATGTAGTGGGAAAATGAACTTTTGTCTTGCTGAAAGCTCGCTTGCCTACTTACGTTATGTTTCTGCCCCAACTCCAACTCTGACTCGACCCTGCCAGTGTGAACCTCTTCCTCTCAAACCTAAGGTTAGAGCTCATCTGACGTCTCCTTACGGAGTACATACGTATCATTTGTGCTCAATTAGTTCCTGCAAAACTCAGGTCATAAGACAGAGGAACAGTTCGGCTAGGACCATCGTTTGCGACTTGCGCATTCGAGTGGCGATGTGTGTTTTCTCGATCCTGGAAACGGAGCATAATAGTGGTGCTTCAGGGGGGTGCCTCCCGCCGATTTTATTTGGGCGAGAAGGCGATGGTTCTTCCAGTAATCACTGCTGGAAGTCCTGAGGGAGCAATTGTGAATGGTGTTAGACTGCTCCTAATGATGGACATGTGTACGACTTGCCAGAACTGCGAAGAGAACCTGTTTACAAAAGCCTGCGGCAAAGGCTGTATTGTCTAAGCCATGCAGCTATAGCTGTTAAGTGTATATATACATTGTCGTATGGGGTTATCTGGGCACCATTGTCCCCGTTATTCTCCTTATAGCATGTGTATCTCTGTGTGCCTGGAATATAAAAGTGTCGAGAAACCCAAGTCTTACATGGTTGTCGCCCAGCGCCTCGAAAGATTTGGCATGTTGTTGCGTAACACAGCAGACGAATGGTTCCGCACTGCTTGCTTCCAGAAGTACAAAGTAAAATTAGGTCGTCAGGTACCAAGCTTGCGGTTGTCACAGACATATGAACAAGGGAAGTCTTTATGATACACTATGCCTGTAACGGTATCTCATACACTCTATACCCTAACCTCGCCGAAATCACCAACATCCCCGTTTAGTACTTGGGCTTCATAGTGGCCCTGAGCCTGGAGTAGTCGAAGAGACCCTCAATGCTTCCAACAGCAGAGATGGCGATATCCTGGTCCCAAAGCTTCCTGCTGGCAAAGTCCATAACATCCTTCTCGGTGATGGCATCGATGGTGCGCTCGATCTCGCCGGGGCTGGCGCGGCGGCCGGTGGTGATAAGCTGGCGGCCGATGTCCTCGGCGATGGCAGTGGTGCCATCAAGAGAAAGGAGGATGGATGCCTTCAGCTGAGCCTTGGCACGCTCGGTCTCGGCCTCACTAACGTTGCGGGACAGACGCATCCACTCGCGCTGAGCGAAGTAAACCAGGTCGTCGATGCGGTCGTGCTTGTCGGTGACGAGGTAGATACCCCAGAGACTATTAGTTCATGTTAGCAAACGTCCCTGATGCGGGTTGATTCGAGGCTTACCCGGTGTCGCTGTAGCTGGTGGAGAAGCTCATGAAGCTGTTGGCGATGTCATGCTTGTGGACGAAGCCGCTGAGCTTGCTGCCCTGGTGGGGAGCGTTGCCAAGGGCCTTGTCGTAGTTGCCGACAATAGCCTGGGCAACAAGGGCAGTGTAGTAGTCGTCGTCGTTCCAGCTGACACCCTCAACAGCGATGGCAATGTTGGCGGTGGGGATGTTGTCGTCGCGGACACGGACATCGGAACCGATGAAGTCGGCCTTCTGCTTGGACAGCTGGTAGGCCTGGGTGTTGGGTCCAGTGGTGGGCAGGCCGCTGAAGTTCTTCTCGGCGAGCTCGACGAGCTTCTCGTGGGGGATGCCACCAGCGCCAACGAGAACCATGCGGTCGGCAGTGTAGTTGTTCTTGATGTAGTTGGTGAGCTCGGTACGGGTGATGTCACGGATGTTCTCGCGGGGACCAAGGATGGTGCGGCCAAGGGGTTGGTGCTGGAAGGCGGTGGCGTGAAGGTGGTCGAAGACAACTTCCTCCATTTGCTTCTCGACCTCCTCGGACTCGCGGAGGATGACATCGCGCTCGCGCTCGATGGCAGACTCCTCGAGCTTGGAGTTCTGAAGGATATCGGCAAGGATGTCGACGGTCTGGGGAACATCGGCGTTGAAAGCCTTGGCAAAGTAGACGGTGTTTTCGCGCTGTGAAAATGTTAATGGGAGGAAATTTCAATGATTCCGGTCGACGGGAACGAACCGAGGTGTAGGCGTTCAGGTGACCACCCATGTTCTCGATCTCGAGTTCGAGCTGCTGCTGCGTCCGGTTTGTGGTGCCCTAAAAAGTCCGGTCAACGACAAGTCCGTCATCCCGTTGTCGTCGCGTCGAGGCCTACCTTGAAGGCAAGGTGCTCGAGGAAGTGGGCGGTGCCATTGGTCTCGTCGGTCTCAGCCCTTGAGCCAGCATCAATCCACACGCCAACGGTCGAGGTCTGGGCGAACGGCGAGTAGTCGGTAGCAACCTAGGAATTGGAGGTCAGATTCGCGTCGCGATGGGTTTTTAAGGCCAATTGAGCCGCAAGGAGTAGGTGAGTGGATGGAATTGCGTACCGTCAGTCCATTCTTCAACGTCGTTGTCTGAGTCTTGCCGAAGGGGGAGTTGGAAGGCGTGGCGAAGCCCCGGGTGATTGGGCTCGCTCTGGAAAGAGCAGCCCGGCTTCGCAGCCCCTGCGAGAGGTTCAAAGCTAGTCTCCGGGACGCCATGGCGGAGTTGTGGAGGATAGGGAGTTAGGATGAGGTGTTTGATGAAATCTTCCGATGAGGTTTCGGCTCAGAAAGCTTTCGCTCTTTCGAAAGGCTGTGTGTGCCTTGGAATTGAGGCGTCAAGCCGGCTTCCGGAATGCCCCGGCCCAGCACTAGAGCCAATCAGAGTCTGTATGTAACTAATCTGCGGCCCCGGCACCTGGCACCACTCCAGATCCTTAAGCTATGCAATTTATCATTCAATCATTGATTTCTTCCGTACACCCAATTGTTGATTGTTGGCATTGCAATCAAGCAACCTTGAAGTGGCAACAAGTACTAGCCTTTGGGGCTTCCCTCCCTTTCGTTTACCTTTTTCTGCACTTGCAATCCCCGTGGGCCACTCGAGGGCCAGTCACCCCAGCATCGATGAATCATCCTGCTTCCATCCTGGCTGATGATGCCAATTGGCCAATTAAGCGGATCCTGCCCGTGCCCAGTCGACAGCCGCTGTTGCGTCGAGTCCCATACCGTATGCAACCGAAACGTCCATAGGTGCGGACGGTGTCGAGCTGTTAGTGCAGCAGCAGGTCACAGGACTGCTATTTGACTTCGACTGCAGATGTCTCCGATCTTCTGCATGATCCGAGCATATCACTGTGTTCCAACTTTAGCCATTGATCAGGAACCCCTCACTGCTCTGGTCTAATAATTACACAGTCTCGTATCTCTATTCCTTAACATTTGGAAGTCGTATCGTGGACGCTTATGACATCAAGATGCCATCAGACAACTACAACTTTGCCGACATCTTCCAAGCTGTCTTCATCTCAAAGCAGAAGCCAGCTCCCGAACCCATCGTCGACATAATGAAGGCCATCATTCAAAGCTATCCCCCATTGGGTCAATACACCGAGGTCCCAAACGGACGTCTCACGGTGACAGCAGTTCTTGAGATACCTGCCTCACGTGCATGTGAGCTTTGGGAGGTAGCTCTCTGGCACTCCAGTGACGGGGCTGAGTGGGCCGAGACTATTCTTTCCCGTGTCCCCGACGGAAATACCCCGACGACCTTGCAGACGGTCCCAGATCATATTCAGCGGTTTTTCTACTCTGCCTCAGTTGCGTTCAACAAGTCGTTCCAATTCACCCTTAAGTTTCGACATAGCGACAGTGAACCATGGAGGTGGACTCGTGACGAGCTTGGAGTCGGTGATGCAATGGTGGTTCTGAATGAGAAGCCTGCCCTTGAGAGTATTTCCGAACGCTTCGACGACCTTGTCCCGGGTCTGAGTCCCGCTTGGGAGGTGAAGTCCTTAATGAGCCAGGCACCTGGAACTCGGCTATGGTCTCTGAAGGCGGCCGTAGAGGGTGTTGAGGGGGACGAGTCGAAGCTCGCCGATATACCAGTGGGTATGCCGTGGGGAGGCTTCCTAAGGTAAGCCACTGCCGTCATACGTACATGCTAGTTGACACTGAACGGACACCTACTACTCATATGTTTCCATCTGCGTTATGTCTTATTCATACTAATAATTACAGATGGTTTGCCCTCATTCGTATCTGGACACCTTGGCTGGCTCCTCGGCATGGAAGGGATTCATTCCGGCTGGATAAAGACGGCGTGCTCTGTGCCTTCTTAAGCACTAGGGGCAAGCATTTGGTCTTCCTGGCTGTCAGTGGCGTCAACAACGTTCTCTCTGTGTTCCGCAACAATGAGTCCGGGCAGCTTACTGTCCATGTACGTGACGAATCGCTTGACCAGTGCCCACCCCACACACTTACAGCATACAGGCTCGTAATGATGGCACAAACTCGGAACCAGCCATCATTCTAGCCGCGATAGGCGACAACTTTGAGAGTGCAAACGCTGCGGTCATGTACCAAGCTCGAAACTATATTCTCCAAGTGAAGAAGGAAAGCAACGAGCTATTGGCGGAGATGAAGGCTCTTAAGGAAGGCGTGAAACCAGAATGGATGGAGAACTGGTATGATGGTCTGGGTTACTGTAAGTCGCATGGTTTTCCGTACCTTCTCTCGGCCACCGCAGGCCTACCTTGGCTTATGCGAATAACCAGGCACTTGGAATGCTCTCGGACAGCGCCTTACCGACGAAAAGGTGTTTGATGCTGTTGACAAACTTGCAGAGAACAACATCAAGGTCACGAGCCTCATTATTGACGACAACTGGCAAAGCATCGACTACAAAGGACATGGCCAGTTCCAGCATGGCTGGGTCGAGTTCGAGGCTGAACCAAAGGCATTCCCCAAGGGTTTGAAAGCCACAGTATCGCACATCCGGCAGAACCATCCTCACATTCAACACATTGCCGTATGGCATGCTCTATTAGGTTTGCTTTCAGACTCCAACTCAAAGAACAGGCACAACTGACAGTACCAGGCTACTGGGCGGGTATCTCGCCTGACGGTAAGATTGCACAACAGTACAAAACCATAGATGTTGTCCGAGAAGACGCCGAGAGACGGAACCTGCCCCTCGGAGGCAAGATGACAGTCGTGGCCAAGGAGGACGTGGACAAGTTCTACAACGACTTTTATAAGTTCTTGCTCGACTGCGGTATAGACGGCGTTAAGACCGACGCCCAGTTCATGACCGATACATGGGTCTCGGCGAGCGCCCGTCGCGAACTGATTGATGCCTACCTCGACGCGTGGACGATAGCCTCGCTGCGGCACTTCAGCATCAAGACTATATCATGCATGTCGCAGACGCCGCATATCATGTTCTACAACCAGATGCCGCGCAACCGGCCCGCCATTCTCTGCCGCAACTCGGATGACTTCTTCCCCGAGATCCCCGCCTCGCACCCCTGGCACGTCTGGACCAACGCGCACAACAGCTTGTTCACGCAGCACCTCAACATCCTGCCCGATTGGGACATGTTCCAGACCGTGCATGACTACTCAGGCTTCCACGCCGCGGCGCGCTGCGTCAGCGGAGGACCGATCTACATCACCGACGTTCCCGGGCAGCACAACCTGGACCTGATTAATCAGATGACGGGCCCAACGATCCGCGGCAAGACTGTCATCTTCCGGCCCAGCGTGGTGGGGAAGACCATAGATCCTTACACGGGATACGACGATGATGGGCTGCTCAAGGTCGGAAGCTACCACGGCGCCGCCGTCACGGGTACCCCGATCCTCGGCGTGTTCAATATCTCGGCCCGACCTCTGACGGAGATCATCCCCCTCACCTCCTTCCCCGGAGTTTTGCGCTCTATGCGCTACGTCGTCCGAGCCCATTCTACTGGAAAAGTCAGCCCGCCCGTCTCTCCTGGCTCCCCTGCATCCGCTCTGACAGTGTCCCTGGATGTCCGCGGATACGACATTCTTACCGCCTACCCGCTCTCCAGCTTTGACAGCGAGGTGAAGGGCAAGGTCTGGACCGCTAACCTGGGCCTGGTGGGCAAGATGACAGGCGCGGCTGCCATACTCAACAGCGATTTCATGCTGCGACATGATGGAAAGGTCGAGCTCAAGACTCGCCTAAAGGCGCTCGGCGTCCTGGGTATGAACAACTCTCGTCTCTTGACCAAAGGCATTGCGCTAACACGGTCTCCAATAACAGGTGTCTACATTTCCAAGCTGCCGGAGCTGACGATCGAGGACGACTTCCTCGTCACCATCCAGAACCAAGTGATCCCCGTCCACACTGTGTCCATCAGCAAGGGCAACGACTCTGTCGTCGAGATTGACGTTGAGAAGGCTTGGCAGGAAATGGGTCTGCACCCTGGTTGGAGCAACGAGGTTGAGATGACGGTCATCTTTGCGATTGATCACGAAGAGGCGGCGTAAACATCAACAATCGACGCGTGGAGCTGACGGACGGTTGGAACCCAGATTCATAGGACTTGTCACGAGGACGAAGCTGCCAACGAGTCTCGCTGATTACAATCTTTTCATGGTACTCGAATTCATAACACAAAGTATCCTCGTTAGCTGGGGTTAATGAAAACCTCCTACTACTTCTTGTGCGGCTCCATGTTCAATCTCTTTGCCTCCAAAGACACGAGCTCGGGGATGTCCTCCTGCAGACTCTTCTCCTTGGCATCCCACCCAAAGTACTTGCGCGCTCGCTCCGCCTTGCTCTTCGAGTTCAGCCCCCAGCTATTGTTGGAGACCCCGTCGCACTGCAGCGCCTCCTTCATGGTCACCTCCTTGGTCAGCGGCGCGGGCAGATACCCCTGTCTGTGGGCCTCCTCGGCGATCTGCTTAGCGATCTCGCTCCAGACGTGCGTGCCGCTCTCGACGAAGTAGTACGCCCGAGGCCCAAAGATCTCCGGGTCGGCGTTCTTGGACCCGTCCTGGGTGGCCTCGACGAGTGTCACGAAGAACCGCGCGAGGTCGTGCACGTGGACGTTGTCCCACTCCGTCTTGCCCGGTGAGATGATGGGCGCGAAGCCCTTCTCGAGGGTGGCCTGCGCGAGCGCCGGCACCTGGATCGAGCGCCGGTTTATCGGGCCGCGGCCGGAGCCGTAGATGGTAGGCGGGGCGACGACGGCGATACGCACGGCAGGGGAGTTCGCGGCGAGCACAATCTTGTCGACGTTGCGGTGAAGGGCCTCGTCTGGGAAGTTGAGGATACGGTCAATGTCGCGGATATCGTGGTATTCCTGTTCCGGGAGGGGGGCCTCGCCGTAGCGCTTGTGCTTGTCGTCGTACTGGACATATGGGGTGTTAGGCGGTGCTTTCTTTTTGGAATAGGGCAAAGGACTGACCCATTGCAGCATGCCGGTACCTGATACGTGAATCCAGTAGCCGGGTTTGTCAGGCGAGTGGCCCGCGGCCAGGCCTTTCGCGATGGCTTTCGCCGAGGGCTCATCGTCCGCGGAATCGGCGGTGTCTAGGCGATTTCGGCGGGTTAGCTGTCAAATGCTCTTGCGAGGCCCCAGGTATCTAACGCAATCCTGCTTTCCGCGAGCGGCACAGAAACGCCCAAGGTTGCAAACGTACGGACAACAACATCGGCAGCCGCGGCTTCCTTTTCGATTACGTCCGCGTCGTCCAGGGACCCGATCACCAGACGGACCTTGGGGTACGTCTGCCTCACGGGATCGGCACGCTCCTCGTTACGCACGAGGAGGGAGTACTCGTACTCTGGATGCTTCTCGTAAAGGGCGTAGAAGGCATCGCCGCCGATGTAACCTGTTTGGCAAGCAAGGTAAGCTTTGGCTTGGAGAGAGACGGATACGAGGTTGCCCTTGCATACCGGTGACACCCGTACTGAAGTTCCCGTCAGTTATGAACTCTTGTCTTCAGGTTGGAAACAGCACTCACTGGAAGATTTTAAGGGACATCTTGAGAATCGCGTGGGGGGTCTCGCTCTGCTGGAGTTTTGATAAGTAGCTTACAACGCTCTATATCTATACATTCAGCGAACGCGATATCAAAGTGCCGCCTGTTTTTATACACAAGAATTTCCCTTCTTACTGAACATCGAGATTCAAATGGCTCCTCGAAGCTTATTAATTCAAAAGGCGGTCATGAAGGAAGGGTGGGGTTATTACCACATAGAAGTGACATCACGCCAATATAGTGTACCTAGGTTACCCCTCGAACTCCCTCGAAAACCCTCGAAGCCCCTCCACATTCATATAACCCCTTTGTTCGACGCTTTAGTTTATTGTGAAGACTTGTCCAAGGTTGCACATACCGGGTGACAGGTGTCCTATGCAGACCCGGGTTTACGATTCGCAGTTGCCCTTGCCCAATCGGCTCTCCTCCGTAAATTCCAGTATAACGAGATAGGTCACTACTCACGGAGTTAGCAGGCGGTAAGAAATTCCAACACACGCACTGATTAACATGAAATACTGGGTGGGGTTTGTAGTGTATAAAAGACACAAGAGGAAGGGGGCCCCTTGGTCGTCATTGATGCCGCGGCGCAAACCAACGCCGCCTACCATGAGCAGAGAATGCCTTCACAGCATGGTTTCCCAACGCTTGAATACCCTCGAAGACGTCGTCGTTTAACACCTCAATTCATTCGTACGACCGCAATAGTAGTACATCAAGTACTCAGGCAGCACCAGGTACCAAAGGCACAAGACACTTACACAGCATATACAGTGAACCGGCTGCCGCAATGTCTCAGGCACATGTCCATGGAGCATTTGAGCCCAGAATTGCATTTGATACCAGTCACATTTGGAAGCAGACACGCAATCGTGTCGGTAAACCGGAATCGACCTTTCTTCTCATTTTTAAGAAAAAAACTTCAGGGCGCCCTAAGTTGTTAAGAACTAGCGTAGCGCACATCGACTCAATTCTGGAAAGTTCCTTTTCATCTCGTCATCTGGATTTGTTCCCTTTGTCAATCAGTATGCCATCCAACCTTTAGTTTTGATATTCCTTAACGCCGATGCGGTGTCATCTTTCGAGCGTTTCCTTGTGGAAAGGGGCCGAAATGAAGTTAAATATCAAGCAGCCCACCCCCTGGAAACTTGAGGCCGAGTCGTTTCACGGTATGCATCTATATGCTGTCGCATGCCCAGGTCGTTCCGAGTTGTTGAACAGAGACGGGAGCCCTGTTTACCAACAGTGGATGCGGTTGTTCGGGTTTGTGTATAGGGCCGACGGGGCCGCCGTCCGAACAGAAAGCGGTTTATGCGTCTTCGAGGAGGATGACGGTTTTGGTATCTCCGAGCTTCTCGCGGCCATTCAAGCCAGGGATCTCGAGGATGAAAAGGTAGCCGATAATGTCACCACCGAGCTTCTTGACGAGGTCTGCCGCCGCCTTCGCGGAGCCGCCTGGTTGATGTCAGTGGGACGAGGAGCACTGGAGGGCTGCGTGATGCTCAAGCTTACCGGTGGCAATGATGTCGTCAACAATCAGAACCTTCTGGCCAGGCTTGATCGCGTCCTCCTGCATCTGGAAGAAGTCGGAGCCGTACTCCTTTTGGTACTCGGCGGTGACGCACGGGCCGGGCAGCTTGCCCTGCTTGCGAACCGGGGCAAAGCCGGTACCGAGACGGAGGGCCATGCCGGGACCGAAGAGGAAACCGCGGGCGTCAAGTCCGACGATCACGTCGGGCAGGGTCTGGAAACCCTCCTTGACCTGCAACTCCAGGACTTCGCCGAGAGTCTGATGGACGGTGGGGTCGAGGAACAGAGGCATGATGTCGACAAAGTCGATGCCCTTGATGGGGAAGTCGGCAAAGTGACGCAGAGCGCCCTTGAGCCTCACCTTCCCACTGGTGAGTTCGGAGGAGGGGGCGGAGGAGGAGGCGGGCTGTCGTCCCTGGGCATCTTGAGGGTTGATGGGATGGGCGGCCAGAGGGTTGATTGGTGCCTGAGAGGCGTCGGTTGAAACGGGGGTTTGTTCGGTGGACATTGTGAAGAGGGAAGAGGGGGGAGGAGGAGGGTTAAGAAGGTCTACTGGGAGTGTTGGGAAAAGTGATATTACGAGTTGTATCTAAGTTGGCAGAAGAAATTTTTGGGGTCGAATCCCAGAGAGTCGATAGAGGCAGTGAGAAGAGGGGTGTGGGACACGACGACACTGGCTAGCGAGCTAAGGTTGGTTGGTGGTAGACAAGGTGCTCAAGGTACGTGCGGACTGCATTGTATACTGCTACAACTACGGAGTTACTAGGTACCAGTTCCTTGCACAGTACTCCGGCTGAGGGGGGACGCTCAGGGAGGGAGGTGTGTGTGTCCCGGTCCGATTGAGGTGTGTAAGGAACGACCGTGGGAGTCAGAGTGGCAGGCTAGCACAGCTCGGCTTGCCGGACTGGAGGGTGGGACAAGGCAAAAAGCACGAAAGTAGGCTGGCATATGGCACGCAGAAGGGATGCGGTCCAGGATCATAAGGTAGGTTGCAGAGCTGAGTGAGAATGAACACGCGCCATCGATTAGGGAGTGGAGAGTTGTGATACGGGTAGGGTGTCACTACTTGTGGTGCGAAGTGGGCAGGTCGATTCCATGTATGGTCCGCCGCGAAAATGACAGCGACGAGGGGCAATGGCTGACCCGGTCTCAGCAAGACCTGCTAGGAATAGGTCGGAGGGAAAAGCGCTTCGGGGGCTTCTCTCAGATAGGATGCTGCTCTTCCATTATCTTTGCTTTCCTTTCCCTTGCGTCTCCCGAACACTCTCGTGGCCGCCTTGATTGCCGCTCAACTTGATTTGGCCTGTCGTTTTGTGTCAGGAGACAGAAATTAGGCAAGCTCTCCAACATCAGGTTGTTCCTGTTTCTCACTTTCCTTTTCATACGCACACTCTTCCTCCTTCTCTTCTGACATCGGGCCTGTCTCTCGCGTCCGGCGTCTTGCATGTTGCGCGATATCGTATCTGCCTGTAACGGCAAATGGTTAGCCAGCAACGGCGCAGGTGGCATGTCTCCCGGTCGGTCTGGGTCTGAGCCAACCTGCCCCTCCAATGCGACAATAGCGACCCCTCCATATCGGGAGACAGGGCACCTTGGCCGGATAGACCAGGCAGCAAAGAGGCACTACCCCACCATGCCACCATCTCCGAGAGAGCCATCGGGATACAAGCTGTCTGTCCTCTGTCTCACCCTCCTCAGACAGCACGGCACCGCGCGAGCAAGCCGGAGAATGTTGAACAGAACGATAAGCACGCTTTGTTACTCACTCGTCACCGCTCCATGAGCTCCGAATTAGTCCGTCTCTTCCTGCTTTCTCTACAGAGGCTAATGGGATACGGGGTACATTGAGAGTTCGGCCAAGGCATGATGATGCAGTCTCTCGGCGTCGGCGGTGCAGCTCCGTCAAGCGCCGCGGGGGTGACGGCTTCGGCTACAGGCAGACAAGAACCTTGATCGTGAACGTGCTTTGCTCCCAAGCACAAAGCGCCCTCCCTACTTAGGCCTAGAGGCAGGCTGGGCTCGAACCGGGGGCCTTGCCGTTTTCCCTGCTCGACATTGATGAATGGGATTGCGGCGATGGCTGCTGCGGTGCTGTGCAGCACACGTCCTGCCTGCATGTACATGTAGTGGTACAATAGTGTCATCCATGACACTAATTCCATCCCCGTACGGATAAGACAGGGAAACGGCATGGCAGACTGCGCCTGGCCGAGTAGAGTTGTCGACAGGCGTAGTTGTAAACGGCTTGCGCTATGGCACAACAGCTATGTAAGGGTGGCCTGTTGCGGGCAACGCGGGTGGTGCGGATGTTGATCTCAGTCTCATGTCCGCGACATCTTGCGGGGGGACCCGACAACTTGATGAGACGGGGGAAACAAGCCGATTTTGTCTTACACTATACCAAGCACTCCAAGTTGTCCGTGGCCCTTGTGAAAAGTTCGAGGTTGTTAACGACGGTACCTCCAGGTACCTAGGTAGATAGGTAGTGAAGCGTATCTCAGTTTCCTAGGTAGCGAAGCAACAATCCAAAGCCTGAGCTGATCACCGTTGATATTCCCCGTCATGGCTATCTGATCCTCACCTCTTCCACGGGGGAAGAAGGTCCAATGCAACAGAGACGTCCAATTTCCCTCCCGCACCTCGCATCTCTAGAATGTCACCTCCTCCTATTCGGCTTCCAGATGCATTCGGCCCATGCACATAGACAGCGAAGCGGACCCAACGTTTTTGACTGTGATTTCTTCGGTCGCTAGCATTCAACGATGCTGCCAAGTACGGATACAGCGAGCACTTCAACGTCTTTCTCCTCTACGGATACGGCTTCGTACGTTTGTTCCCCTTCTCATGGTGGCATGACACCTCCGTGCCGGGCACCGTGTCCAGACCCGGCAAAAGGTCAAACAGGGCAAAACCGGAACCATCAAACCCACACCAATGCCCCTTCTCCAGTCAAACGTGTAAGCTCTCCAGCTAAATAGGTACGGATACTCGGGGTTATGCGTGTGTTCGTGGGTATCGATGCTACACACCTGCGAGCGCTTACATCTGTTAGTCAACGTATTCTACTCTGTACCTGGTACCCACCTTCCAGTCCACAAGTTGTTGCACTTACGTAGGCCTCGGCCGTCAGATCAGCCATCAACCACGGAAGGCGTCCCAAAGTCACTGTTCCATTCCGTCAAATCGGAATGCCACCCTGTGCATCCCGTCAAAACGTCTCGTGTTTTCACCGTTGCTCTCTCTCCTTCCCATGTGCCCAGCAGGTAGACTTTAGAGCTACAGACGAACCGCCGGTCCGTCATCCTCCCATCACTTCGCACTGAGTCACAGCCAGGGACCTTATCGAATTGGAACTCGAGCTCCCGTTATGGATGGGCTGCTCACCACATTCTAGACCACGCTGACACATCGATACCCCCCCCCATGGACCGATAGTCAACGCAAGTGCGCGTTTGCAACACTAGGTACAAAGGCGGCATGTTCTCGGCGACTCCATAGTTTGCATTCCGTCCAAATGATTCAGGACCATCTTACCCGATTATGTCCAACCGTTGTCCTGGAACCGACCGGGACTATTTTTGGCTTGCCACCAACAGTTCACCCTGGAGCCAGGGTCCTCGACTCCTCGCGGCCACGTTAGCCGTTAGCCTTTCCAGATGCATCATTCCCGAACAAGCTTGAGGTTAGCTTGCGAAGAGAGAGTGCCTGGCCGATCAGGTCTGGATCTCAAAAGCCCTTCTCTGTTGCAACCATTATAGGTATCTGCACCCTTTTGAATTGGGTCTGTTGTCGTCTCCACCGCACCACCACTGCTTGGTCAAGCCGTTCCCACAGCCACCCGGTTCCCCTATACTGTGCCATGTGGTAAACTAAAGCGGCAAGTGAAAGCCCTGCATCCGCCGTGTTCCAATCAACATGCGCACCTAGATTATGTTCCAGGCTTCTTGCTAGAACCTGGAAGGCTTTCCTCCAGTTTACCGCTGAGCCCCGTTGAAGCCAAGGACGAGACGCGGTCCTCTCCCCACATGCGGTCGGTTTCAATGCGTGATTCCATCGGGCGGCTCGGACAAGGACTCCTGCCGCAGTACCTCGTTGTCCCGGACGTGCCAATCAGCTTTTCTTTCTTTGGGGTTGGCCCTCCAAGCTCGCCTGATCGCATAAACAATTGCCATCCTCCCAATGAAACATTGAGCTCTGTTCCGTAACCCGGGAGTGATTGCGGTCGCTAGCAATGGGGGAGGGGCCGAGCCAAGCCGAGCCTATCCGTAGTCTCTTGGGATATCTCCTTCCGCCATGCAAGTGTCTAGGATCAGCAGCGACCCTAAGTTTCGGTACTTTGGTAGCGTTCGCAACGATTCGGTACAGGTGGAAACGGAGCGTCAATAACCCCGTCCAGGAGCAGGTCTCTGGCCGGGTGCTCTAGGCATCCGAAGGCCTCGATGATTTCTGCTTGCAGAGATGCCGTTGCCTCCGGTGCCGCTAGCATGTAATCGACGCAATGAGTCAGTTTTAATGACCGACATTGAGCAGCAGTCCTACACCGCTACTGCTTGGGCGCGGCGGCGTCATTGGCTCGCAGGTTGAAGAAGGCCAATCTCTTAGGAATATGCAGCTGTGGGTAACTATATGTTGCTCAACTTTGGGGAAGATGCAGCTAGACGAGTACCGGGTCCATGTCCTATTTCTGCCAGTTGGCAACGAGCGGTCCGGCCTCTAGGTGTTGAGTTTGACTGCTTTCGGCTGCTACTTTCCTGCCTGCTTATCAAATAGTTCGGTGAACGCCGAAGCAAACATGGTTTGCATGTCACCAAAGGCTGCGGCCAGAACAGGACGGCCCGCGGTTGTCGATTGATGCCGATCCGCAAGTCCACCGGGTCGCTCAGCGACTCATATGCCGGTGCCCAATTCGAGGACACCATAGCTTGACCGAGCCGTCCCTGACCAGCCTTTCTGCGTCAATGGAGGTGTCATGGCTGGTGTTCCGGTACACGGTGGATGGGGGGTAGGACAACATGATGCGGGCGGCCGGACCGGTCTAGACAGACCATAGCTGGTATTATGGTGACATACCAATGTGTGACTCAAGTAGCCATGTCGTCATGCTTGGTTTCCTTCGTCTGGGAGGTAGTCCCGCTGTGAACATAGTACGCAGCGGTTAGCGTATTGGTGATGTACGATGTACATTTACCAATGGTCTCATCACCAGAGCGCGTCGCGTCTCAAGCGTGACAGGACAACTAAATTGCGTCCAACCCAGTCATCATTAATTCTATGTAATTATCATCTACCTCTATAGCAAAGAGGTAGGTTTCTTCGTACATCATGCCAGAAAAAGAAAAATTCGAAAAGGGCAGGTCTTTGAACGCGTTTGGTATCTAATCTAACAGCATGGGGAACGTGAGCCAAAAACAAAAAAGGGGGGTATCTTTCCTTGTTTTTCTTGCCTTCTGCGGCAGGGCGCACACAAGACATTGAGTGCGCGCGCGCAAAAAAAAACCAAAACCAAAACAAAAGCATAGCAAGCCGAAGAGAGGGACAAGAAGGAAAGGCGCCATCCAACTGAGGAGCCTTGCGAGAACTCTCGTATCGATGATCTCGAAGACGGGAACGTGTCTAGTATGTCGTGTGGCACCGAGGAAAGGGTGGTGTGCTCTGTCATAAGTAAGACAAAATGCTGATCTTGAGATAACGCCGGGGGTAAACAGGTTGACGGAATTGGTGACGAGATAGGGCAATGTCGGCTTGATGTGCCGAGGGGAAATAGGCGTGTCGGATCAGGCGGGCGATGGTTCGTTTGGTTGTTTTGATCGTTTCGTTAGTGGAATTGCAGTCGGATGATGGAGAAGAACATGTTTTGCAGAACATGGAACATAACGGCCACGCTGGTAGGCAGCAGCTCGGGCCAGACAACGAGGTCGAGCTTGCCCTCCATGCCGACATCGACGCCAAATATCCACCGGATGAGCGCGCGAACACAGACGGACGCGACGAGCTCACAGGCCCAGGTGACGGAGGAGGCCCAGAACGTGAGATTGAAGTCGTAGTCGTCGCTCTTTTCCTTCGTATCGAAGGCGAAGTAGGGGTAGACGTCCTTGTTGGGTCCGAAGTGCAGTACGAGGACGCCCCCGAGAAATGCGGCCATGGAGACGTTCTCGGCCAGGAAGCGGATGAATACGTTCCGAGTGCAGACCTTTTGGTACGAAGCGTACGACTGGTCAGTAAAGTTGAGGGCAACTGTGATGCGATGGTAGAGGCGGGACATTGTAAGCGGAGTAAGGATGATGAGGGTGCTGCTCGAGAGGATCTGGAGGTAGATGAATTGCTCCGGGGAGCGGAGGCGGGCATAGAGGGCGCGGACGTAAGTTTGGTAGGTGAGCATGAAGTACCTGGATCGCCATGTTAGAAGCAATTCCGCGGGTTTGGGTAAAGAAAGATAGATTGATAGCTTACAGCTTGAAGACCCAGCTCAGCGGGTAGCTGCCAACCCTTTCACCCTCGCGGATACCTAGCAGCCAGCCAGTGAGGGCATCGAGCAGATGAACAGTGATTATCCAGCTGTAGACGTATACAATGGTCTCTAGATTGTTGTGAGGGAGCGTCCGCAGATATATCTCAGCGTAGGCTTCTCCTATCACGTACGCCAAAAGTCCAACAAAGAGGGCCAGGCAGAACCAGATGAACCGGACAAAGCTGGCGGGAAGCCATCTGCGACGCATTCTGACGCCGCCAATGTGCCGAGACTGATCGGCAGCGATCTGGAGGGTATTGTCCGGGTCGAAGGAATCGCTGCTGAGATTTGGCCGCCGGCGGTTATCGCGCCGAGGAATGCTCCCTTCCGCCTCGCCTGTCCACCAAGATGATGTGAAGATGCGCTGCGTTTCGGAGAGCGACTGACGCAGCTTGAGGTGGCGCTGAGATGTGAGGAGGATGCAGAAGGCGGTTGTGACGGGCATGGCCATGACTATAAAGGTCCATGAGATCCACGCGGTGTTGTGCATGGTGAGGAAGCGCGTTTCCGGGCTTAGGTAAATGGGGATCGGGATCGCTATGGAGACCAGTGCGATGAGTGACATGGTGACAGGGAACCCAAGGGACTGTGGCCACCTACGTGTGTGTAAGTCGTTTGTATTTTGCGGCATGTGTAGGAGGTGAGAGGGACGTACCAGTTTAGGCTGTATAGGTTGAAGACCTTGGTGATCCATATCAGAGCCGTGACGTTGTAGAACCCGTAGTAGACAAAGAGAAAGAACCAAAAGTTGATCTGCACTCTTGCTTCGCCGTGGCCGGGTATCTTAAGCCCGGACCCTGGTCCGGTATCACCTCGGTCATCGTCGTCGTCGCCGGGGAACGAGTACTTGGGGAACGGAACGGCACACCACGCAATGGCCTGCGTTCCTCTCAACATTAGCTGTGGGCTTATCCCATCTTCTTTTGCCAAGTCTTCAGCTGTCAACGTACCAGAGCAGCGGGCATCAGCACCAGCACCCCAAATCGACTCCACCAAACATCGACGACCCCTTTGACAGCACTCTGCTTCGGCTCTACCCAAACATCGGAGATCTTGCGCCACGTTCTTTCCCAGGTACCCAGATCTTCCCAGTCGCTCTGTGTCCCATTGCCGTCATGATTTTCAGGACCCGACGCGGAAAGCAGCGCTCCATAACCCACATGGACACTTCCACGGTTGTTGGCCGTGAGGAGGCCTAGGGTGCTGGAGCGGCGGCGGCGGCCAGGGATGTCGGATTGCTGAGGAACGGCGCGGAATCGGCCAAGAAGAGGGGATGCATCGCTAGTGAGGCGGGTTCGGGACTCGTTGCCTTGTGTGAATTGAAAGAAGCTCGGCATTGCTCCGAAAAAGTAAAAAAGAGAGTTGAGTTTCCGGCAAGGTTCGTCTATCTTCGCAACATTTGGATGGCGTTGTTTTGATCCTTTTGCTGACCAGGAAGTCTCTCGTAGGCTTTCGTGTGCTGAGCCGCTCGACGCGTTTAAGTCCTCGATGAGCAAATCGCAATGCGCCGGGCCGGACTCGTATCTTATCTTGAGCTGTTTCGTTGCTCACACGGGGGACGACGCGGGTCTGGGTTTGGATTGTTTGGGTGTCGAAGCTCGTGATGAGATGAAGTAATCCCGGACGGTCATCCAGTGTAAATTGGGATTTCAGTGGCGTACAACGCTAAGGCCGCCGTGCGCCTAGGACAGTCCCTGAGTTTTCGGCAGACACGGCGGATCTAACCCCCTGGCGAAGCGGGCGCTAGCGCGCTTTGGGCGGATATGGGGTGTGTTGGCAGTGGGGGCGTCGGCCACGTTGTGCCCCGACGTGCCCCGATCCGGGATGCCGCATGAGTTGAAAGAGATTAGTTGGCATGTCTATATAACTAATTCGGTATATAAAAAGTCGTTGTCGTAAGCTATTTTACATTCGGAGACTACCTTGTCATGACTACGCCCGCATATTTGGCCGACCCCTTAGAACTCCCCTGTATGATAATGATTTCGCTCACCTACGGTATGCCTAGATTCATGCATTCTGGATGCTGCATAAAAGCTCGTCGTTCTAGTTTCAAACTCCCAGAATAGTGTACAACGATGTATTGTGAAACATATTCATTCATCCTGGTCCATAGTTTCCTCGAAACCCTCGGAATCACCAGTGTAGTCAGTATCATCAGTAGAATGGTCTTCATGCTGGGGCACGTCGACAAACTCATTGCCAACTTCCACGTCAGCTTCGACATCAGCCTCGGCCTCCGTCCCAGTATTACCTTCAACGTCCTTGGCGTCGTCAGAAAATGCAACTACCTTTGCAGTGGGTGATTTCTTGGGTGGCTCTAGAACGTCGCCGCTCCATGGCTTGCATTCTTTGACGAGCTCCCCGCACCTCAGACATGTCCATCCCTCGCCCTCTTCCCTATCGAGACGGGTTACAAGACATACAAAGCAGTACACGCACCCGCAAGGTATGGTCTCGTATGGATTGGTGATATCAGTCTGGGCTGAACCGATGACACCGCTCGATGCTGCCGCAGCCATTATCTCCGTTTCGGTGCTCGCAAGTGCGTTCTGGTCTTGGTAGCAGATGGCACAGGTGCGCTCGGGCAAGAAACCAAACTCGCCATCTGCCGTCTTATCTTCGTCTCCCTTGGTAGTGATAATCTCTTTCGTCTTGCGCCATGTACGGGAGATCCATCTCCGCCACCGGTTGATGCCAACGAGCGGCAATATGAAGAGCAAGAATTCTGTAAATGCGTGCCACACAAGTTGCCGGTTGAGATACTCGAAGGACACTTCTCGGCTCACCTGGCTGGTAGGTGGAGCTAGGCGCATCCGCAAGGCTCGGTCCAACAGGGTGCGATAACGCCCTTGCAGAAGAAAGACAAGGAAAGAAACAAAGGCTGCGCTGGCATGCAGCGTTGTTGCTCGAGACGTGATCCTCGACAGCCTTTGAAGACGAGGGTTGGGTTCGTCGCTGTACCCGTCGTCATGGTCAAGGAGCCAGTTCTCCCACTTCTCCCAGCCGTATTTCCCAAAAACGGTAATCAACCCGTACAAGGACTTCTGCCACTTGGACGGCGCGACCAGGGCCGAGGCGCTTTTGCGCGCATCCGTATACTTGAGGTTCTGTAGAGCTGCACCGTAGGTCGCATCGTTGTCCCACAAAGTCAACTTGAAAAGGATGGCGCGGAGCGCCAGAAGGATTTCAGCGGACCAGTCGTCTTTCAGGTGGCCGCCAGCAAAGTATTTGAGGGCATCGCCGACCTGGCCGCGGAGGAGTTCCAACAACTCGTCATCCAGCAACTCCGCATCGACCTGTCCAACCCTGAAGGCGGGGCGGGTGCCTTCCGGCGACGATATCGAGTCCCAAGCCAAGCCAAGACGACTGAGGGGGAACGGTAAACGATCGATGCGGGCGCGAGCTTGTGATGCGTCGCGTTGCGCGGCGATGCGGGCTGCATTGTTGGATTCGCGGGCCTGTCGACGGGCTGCGAGGCGCTGCTGCGCTTGCGCAAAGTTGGTCGATGTCATCTGGGTGGCATTGGGTGGTGAAATAAGGTGATGAGGTGCAATTTGACACCTCTCTCGGTCGTTGACAAGGTGTGGTTTGGTAGGTGCAGAGAACGTGGGCGATGGAAAGAGCCGAGGTCCGCTAGTCCCTGCTCCTACCTACATAGGAACCTAGGTCCAATACCACAGACGGCTGGGGATTGGAGGATTGGCGGTGGTGGTCCTACCTACCTAGGTACCTACCGGCGGGTCATCCGACGTACCGGTGCGCCTGGACCACCTCGTCTTCTGGACGGATTAGTAAATACGAACACAACCAACCACCCCGGCCTCATTACCAAAGCAACTCTACTTTGAGCACATCAAATGTGATCTTACAAACCACCTTACATCTGCCATGCCCCTGTCTTTGCAGATTCTCTGCAGGAAACAAGCTTACATCAGATGGCGTGTTGCCAGCATGGATGAGCCCTCGTGCAACCTCAGGGCTGAAGGTTGAACGGCTTAAGATGAACCACCCCTGCTGGGTGAGGCCGCAATTGCCGCTACTGCTTCTATCCGTATACCCATGCCATCATTCTAGGCTTCCATAAAGAAGACCAGACGTGTCCGACCACTTGTTCGTCGAATACGCCACTAGGCTCGGGACTGTAGAGGAGCCTTGCTCGGTTCGTCGAACCCTTCACGATCTCCAGGTGCGCTGAGGCAATGCATCGAGGCGGTCTTTCACACGATTGGACAAGATGCGGCCAAGCAGCTGCAGAAACAAGTCAAGCTTATGTCCACTCGCGGCAAAACGTCTCACACCCCCCCACAGGTCTCAATAGTTTCTGTAAGATACCTAGGGCCATGGTTGCTTGTCAGACCTACTTCTAGTTGTCTCTTGTGGCATGCCGTAGGTTGATGCTCTCTCCACCAGCATCGATGCCCAGATATGGTCGATGTTAGTCTGACCGACGGAGTTGAGCGAAGGCAGCAGCATATGACGCAGTAGTTCTGGCCTCCCGTGTCATATTCGCAGAATAGTACAGTAATGTTACTCAGCAACAAGACAGCAGTGGTCACTAGGAGGATGATCATCTATGCATGTTTTCCGAATATGCTCCGCCAGACCCCGAAGCCCAGTATTTCGCCTCGGCTAACCATGGGTGAGACGTCCAGATACCTTCTTAGTCTCTTTCACCAATCATTTCGCTCGTACCGTATAGGATACTCAACCCCTGACTGGTTGGCATCAGCTTCTGTCACATAGTGGCATGAAACTGCAGAAAATGGCGTTAGGCAGTAGCTTGCCGCTCCCACAAGCACATTACGAAGACCTACCACCGACACCGGAGCACAACAACTTTAACCTGGCCCTGACGTGGAGAGCGGAAGGTCCAGAAAAGTCGGCATGCATTAGACATGTTACCTAGGAACCGGTCCACTTGCATACTAGCAACCCAAACCATCCTTCGCCCAATGGGCTGGGAAAGAGGGGTTGGCCTGAAGGGCCTCGACGTGACCCCAGTCCCCACCCGCGCCTTTATGATGATGCTTACCAATATGTTTCTATTTTTCGACTGTCTAATAGAAGACCTCTTTTTGTGCCAAAATGAGCTTGTCGACTTGAAGAGAAAGTGACGAGGAGTCGCGGGTTCTAGAAGCATGGCGGGGCTTAGACGAGCCGGATTTTGCCACTTCTTTCCCCCTTGGTCCGCCATACGTATGCGTCACTGTCCAGTTTACCTATTTGGGTCAGTGAGAATGGGAACGTAGTACTGAGGTGTCCGGGTGTGTGACGGGGCTGAAGCTTGTTGAATACTAATCATTGCCCTCCAGCCCAAGTGTAAAGTTTACATAAACACCACATACCGAGCCCAGGGAGAAGCCATGCGACAGATAGCTTGGGTTTTCGACCGCAATCAACATCCTCAAATCAAGACTGGCGCAGCTCATCATGGTTTCCGAGTCGACATCCAGTTCAGGAGAAGCCAGTGATCTAGGAGACGCGAAACCACGCGCCGGAGCTACTAAGTCGAAAGCTACCATACGGGCGTCCCTCGCCTGTGTCCCTTGTCGGTCGAAACACGTCAAGTGCGACTCTGCCTTGCCAGCATGCCTCAGATGCCGTCTAGAAGAAAAGACCTGCTATTACGCTAAATCTCGGCGAGGAATCCGAGATCCCAGGAAGCGCAGTCTTATCAACGACCCCATTGGTCTTCCCCCGACTGCTACAGAATCGCCAGTGTCCTTTCCTTCCCCCGAGGTAGCAAGCCTCGAGATCCCCATCAATGTGGTCGGTACCCTGCCTGGAGGGTGGTCTCTGATGAGGAGCCCGCGTCTCTCGGATTCTATAACGGCTTCGCCGACCTCACTCCTCTTCGACCTCTACTTTACAAACTTCCACGACACACATCCGTGGCTCCTTCCCAAGAACCAACTATTGCATCAGATCCGGACCAAGCCCGAGCCTTTCCACTTCTTAGCAAGCTGTGTCGCTTATGTGGGATCTCTCTTCTCGGAGGCTATTTCCTCAGAGGAGTTGCGAGAGAAGGCGTTCAGCTTAGCCAGTGGCAGTTTGCCGATGACTTGCTGGACAGTCCAGGGGCTTCTTGTTCTCAGCGTTGCGGCCCTTGGGGAGAGTCGAATGGACTTGAGCGGCGGATGGATGGACACCGCAACCCAGATGGCTCTCGAGCTTGGAATGCAAGAAAAGGCATTTGCAGATTCCGAGCCCGATCCATTCGTGGCGGAGAGTTTCAGGAGAACCTACTGGGCTCTTTACTGGCACGGCAACATGCGCGCGATGCGCGAAGACTCGCCGACGTTTACATTGTTCGGTGTTCTTGCAACCACAGAACTTCCCTGTGAAGAGTGGGAATATCAATCTGGCGTACGTTGAACCTATAGTCACCGTGGAAGAATCTCGTGCCGAATAATGTGTTGACTTGACACCAGGAGATTACACGGCCGTTATCATTGAAAGAGTACGATGCCAGAGATCCGATGAGCCACAAAAGCTACTCGTCGTGGACTTATCTGATCGATCTTTGTCGTCTGTGTGGAGAGTTAATACTGCCAATGCCAGCATTGCCGCCTGGCCTCCTGTCTGCCACGATCGACAGAGCCGATTCTGGAATCGTGAGCTGGCTGATCACTTTACCCAAGTGGAAGCAGGAGTTGGTGGATCCGGGGGGGACAGTGGACATGATACTTTTCCACGCGATGGCTTATGCGCACGAGTATGTTCACAATAGATGAGCGTTTGCCCCAAGGATCCTTTTCGCTAACAGAACTACAGCTTGAGGATCAAAATGCAGCTACCGTTAGGAGCATCAGGTTTCAGCACCAGAGATCTCCTCACACTTGGCCCACTCTTCAAGGCTAGCAACTCCTCGACAGCAAATACACAGCGGTCATACACGTCTACCAATCCGTGGCTTGAATGTTCGACAGCTCTTCAGGCAGGCCTTTCCACCATCGGCCTCTTCAACTTCTCGCTTCCACCAGCGCGGTATAGTCCAGCTTGCATCATCGGTCTACAACGGGCGGCACTCCCATTGCTCGACGCAAGGATGTACGGAGGAGCTGAGTCACCGGCTTTACGAGAGAAGCTTAATCTCCTGATAGGTGTATTGAAGATAGCCGGCGAGATGTGGCCTGTCGCTCGAAACATTGGTAACGAGGTCATCGAGGTGTTGAGAGATGTGAACAGCAGACCTCACCGCAATACCACCTTCGGGCCTAATCCGACCATTGATGCTTTTATTACAGACATGGCATCATCCGGAAGCGTTCAAGGCCCAATGATGTTCTCCTTCTCTGATTCTAGGACGTCGGAAGAAATGTTTCACTGGAATAGCGGTATTACGGGATGAGAGACGACAGTGTCGTGTTGAAATGGTTGGGAAGTCATCAATCCTCATAAAAAGTTTCCCCCTCATGAGACGGGAGATGTTGGTTTCAAGAAGCATCGAAGTTCAGCAACAGGAGTTAATAATTGCTACGTTATAATTGCTATATACCATAGACAGAAGTGGACAGCGTGGGAACGCTGCAGTATGGGATTAAAGACAGTGCCCCATTAATCACTGAGCCATTACCAAGTACATACAAGCATGAACACTTCAGAATAAGGTATATGGGATAGGTACTAGGAGCCCGAAACTTTCCAACCGCTGGCAGCCTGATGCAGTGCCAATGTTTCTTCAACGCCCCACTACCCCGCGATGGCTGCCCTGAGGTACCTAGGTAGGTCAGATATGAACAGTGGCCAGTGCCCCGCCGGAGCGATAATTAAGGCCTGGCTTTGTCTAAAATCCCGACGACTTCTTTGATCCCGCCTATCTCATACGAGATTCTTGGCCCCGAGCCCGCCCTCGACTGTACAACCCTCCCCCCGAGCGAAACTTTGGATCAAACGACTTTGGTGTAGACGCCTTGGTCGCCTCCTAAGAAGACCACAAGATGAGCTTCGCTATTGAGGTACCTGGCGACGCCAGCCCCCTCAACTTGCAGGAGCTCTGCCGCGTCCTCGAGTCCGCGACTACCTCGACCGACTATGCGGGTAGACAGGCTGCAGGGCAGCAACTTTCTTCATGGGAGACTGAAAAGGGCTATTTCTCCTCGCTCCAGGTATTTTGCTTGCACTTGGACATGCAATTGGCTCAGGCGGGGTGCTGATGTTCTGTCTCTAGACCATCTTCCTCGACAAGTCCCTCCCCCGCGAAATACGGTTTCTCGCTGTGATCCAGCTCAAGAACGGGATCGACAAGTACTGGCGGCTACTTCCTCATGTGAAAGGTGGGCTGGATCCAGAGGAGAAGAATCTTGTCCGGCAGCGCTTGTTCCAGGGCACGCTTGAAGAGGAAGAGGCGGGTCTTTCGTTGCACAACTCCCTAGTCACCGCCAAAGTCATTAGGATTGACTATCCGCAACACTGGCCGGATGCCCTACCCCAAATCATTGGCCTCGTTAGGTCATCCAAAAATGGCAATCAGCAGCACCTTTATGGTGCTCTGCAGATTCTCCTTCGCGTTGTCAAGGAACTTGGCACTGCTCGCCTCCGACGGTCACAAACAGCCCTCCAATCCGTCACCCCCGAGATGGTCTACTTATTGGGAGAAATCTATACCGAAAAGTCGGCAGTGTGGGTTGACTTTCTCACAAACGGCCGCAACGACGAGGATACCGCCGATGTAGCTATGTTAAACAGTCTCATTGCCCTCAAGATAATCCGACGGTTAGTGGTGGTAGGCTATGAGGCTCCTCACAACGACAAGACAGTTGAACAGTTCTGGACTGTCTCTCAGAATCACTTCGGGCAATTTCTCGGCTTTGTCAGCCATGACTCTCCTGTCCCCGCGCCCTACCAAGATACAGTGGGAAAGCATCTTCTGCAGTTCACGAAGCTTCACATCGACATGTCCGAGGCGCACCCCGCAAGCTTCGCTGTTCTACCAAATTCTTTGCCCCTGGTACATGCATACTGGGATTTGGTAGCAAAGTTTGCTGAGGTGTTCGAGAAGTCGGGTGGTATCCGGCAGTCCTCTGGTGATTCAGGCCCGTCAGAGTCCAAGTCAAAGGTTGAGGGACCTCTGCTGGAGAGACTGGCACTACGGGGCTTGCTCTTAATGAGAGCGTGCTTGAGAATTGCATTCTATCCTAAACAGACTTTCAAGTACCGGAGTGCAGAGGCCAAGAAGGACGAGAACGAAGCTGTTGCGCTCGTCAAGCAAGAACTCCTTAAAGACGAGTTTGTAGTACAGATGGCCAACACGATCATCACCCATCTTTTCGTTTTCCGGAAGGCTGATTTGGACGCTTGGGAGGAAGATCCCGAGGAATGGGAGCAGCAAGAGCAGAGCGAGGGCAACGCCTACGAATGGGAAGTCCGCCCCTGTGCCGAAAAGCTTTTCCTGGATCTACTTGTCAACTTCAAGCAACTTATGATACCCCCTCTGCTTTCTTACTTCCAGATCGCGACAAACGCACAGTCAGATATCGCTACCAAGGAGGCGGTATATACGGCTATGGGATTGGCTGCTCCCAATGTATCGAACGCATTCGACTTTGACAGTCTTTTGGTCTCGACTGTTCTCCAAGACGCACAACAGCAAGGGCCCCTATACAAAGTCCTTCGCAGACGCATCGCGATCATGGTCAGCCAATGGGTCACTGTCAAGATCGCTGACAACAGTAGACCACTCATCTACGAAATGTTCCGACATTTCCTCAATCCTGCCGACCCGACCAACGATATTGTCGTTAGAATTACTGCCGCTCGTCAGCTACGGTGGATTGTGGACGAGCTTGCTTTCAGCGCCGAGGCCTTCCTGCCATATGCGGCCGATGTGCTCAATGAGCTTCTCCAGCTCATCCAGAATGTTGACGTTGATGAGACGAAGCTTGCCGTTCTGGAGTCGATGCGAATCTTGGTCACAAGATTAGAGAACTACGTCTCTCAGTTTGCAGACTTCATCATGTCAAACCTCCCTGGTATCTGGGAAAATTCCGGGACGGAGGAGTACATGATTAAGCAAGCAATTATTGCCATCTTTGCTGCCTTGGTAATGTCCATGGGCAGCGCCTCCCAGAGATATCAACATTTGATGGTTCCGTTGCTGTCGGAAGCCGCCAAGCCCGGCTCTGACCTACACACATATCTCATCGACGAAGCTTTGGAGTTATGGAACTCTGTTCTCATGCAAAGCAACCCACCCTTGTCTACTGAGATCATGACTATCGCGGAGCTGTCTCTTCCCCTTCTGGAATACCAGACGGAGACCGCAGCCCAAGCACTATCTGTGGTTGAGTCTTATATCCTCCTTGGAACTCAGACAGTCTTGGAAGATAGGTTGCGACGTCCTTTTCTGCAGGCACTTTCGGGCGTCCTGGATTCCAGAAGCCGAGAGCAGGTTAGACTCGGCACGGTATGCATAGAGTACCTGATCCGAGCCGCCTCTGAGCTTGGCGGCACGCAGGTGATTTTCCAGGACCTCTTGGAGATCGGGTTTCTTGGGAAGATCATGGAGGCTCTCCACGATGCTTGGGAGGCCAACCAAACGACCGGACCGAACAGAAAAGTCAGCAAGCTTAACACCATCACAGAACGCGATTATTTTGCGATCCTCTCTCGGCTGGTTATCGCTGACCCAGGTCTCTTCGTTACAATGCTCACCTCCTTCGGCCCTATAGAAGGGGTCTGGGGCTGGCTTAGCAGCGAATGGTTCGCCCACCTTGACGGCCTAGATCATCTTCCTAGGCAGAAGCTGTCTCTTCTTGCTCTGACACGTCTTTTGGAGCTTCCACAACCGATGCAGAACCTGGCTCTTGCGAAGCTGCAAGACTATTTTACTCTCTGGACAGGCACCATTGCCGAGCTCCAGGACGGCATGACAGACGGTTCCGACTCGCTTATTTGGCAAGACCTTGAGCCTACCGACTATGATACCCCCAAGAGTATCAAGGAGACGGAGTTCGGCCAAAAGGACCCAATTCACACGGTCAATGCCATGCGGTTCGTGAAGGAAAGGCTGCAAGAGGTTGTCCAGCGTTCTGGTGGCGAGCAGCAATTTGAGCAGGAGTGGGCCATCAACGTGGACAAGGATGTGCTGCAGAAGTTCTGGTCGCTGACGCAAATCACTGGGGTTTAAGATGCAATCTTGCTGATGATTGGGCTGGTTGCGATTCGACCTGTGGTCGTCGGGGGCGGGATGATTACGATTTCATGATAAAGCCGCGGGGTAGAGCGCATGGCCCTTTTCCGGGCAACGGTGAAAGTGAATAGAAATGAGAATTTGAGGAAACAATATTCCATGCTATCCCGGTAAGGCTGGCAGTCGAGCCGTGAAGAGGGGCTCGCCCTCCAACAGCATTGCCCTAGGCGCTTGATCTGGTCCAGTTTGATTTTTCATAGCTTGCTTTGGCCATCCTGAGGGATCTTGACCACCACCTTACCCCAAGTGCCTCGGCTTCCCAAGGCTATCAGAGCGTCAGGAATGCGCTCAAGCCCAACGAACTCCTCGTCGGTGAACTCGGTCCCGCGCAACTTGCCCTCGGCGACGAGCTTCATAATGCCCTTCCATACCTCGACGACCGTCTCCTTCTCCTTGACGGCATACTGGCCCCAAAATATGCCCACAAGGCTGATGTTCTTGAGAAGGACCTTGTTCATGGCGACCTTTTCAATCTTGCCGGCGGCGAAGCCAATGATGAGAATGCGGCCGTTCCACGCCGTACACTTTGTGCTCGCATCCACCATTCCCACGGGGTCGTAGACGATGTCCACACCCCTGCCCTTGGGCGTCAACGCCTTGACTTTGGCGGGCCAGTCGGCCTCGCGGTAGTCGATGACGTGGTCCGCACCAAACGCCTTTGCGATCTCGAGCTTGCGGGGCGTCGAGGCCGTCGCGATGACGGTGGCGCCGAACGCCTTGGCGACCTGCACAGCGGCGAGGCCGACGCCTCCAGCCGCGGCGTGGACAAGAACGATGTCCCCCGGCTTGATGCCCGCGCGAACGACGAGTGCGCCGTAGGACGTGGGCGCCGTGACGAAGAGGCCGGCGGCCGCCTGGTAGGACCAGCCCTCGGGGATGGGAAGCAGCTCCCGCTCACGGGCGAGGCACTTCGTGGCGAAGGCGCCCTGGGTGGCGCCGAAGACGCGGGCGCCGACGGGGTATTTGGGGTTGGAGGAGGGCGCTTTGAGGACTGTACCCGCGAACTCGGCGCCAGAGATCCAGGGAAACGCTGAGCAGGGGTGTTAGTGAGACGGTCAAGCGACTTTGTGGAGTATTTGAGAGATACCAGGGACTTACGAGGCTGGGTCTGGTATTTCCCTTGGATTTGAAGAATGTCAAAGAAGTTTGCGGCCGAGGCGTGGACTTGGATGAGGTACTCGTCATCCTTCACGGGGACGGGGTCCGGGAGGTCTGTCACGAGGAGCTCCTTGGGAGACTGTTTGGGGTTCAGCTTGAAGCCACCGGAACGAAATATTGGAATATGGATGAGGCTCACCTTGACATATTCCTTGATCTGGATGCCGCGCATTGTAGGTAGCAATGTTGTTGGCTTGAAATATACAAGTGTCCAGGTGAAACAGCCCAAACCCCCAGATTATTAAAGCGAACAAACGGTATTGAATGTGAAAGGTGACAACGTTCTGGATGAGCCAGTAGATATGATTATTTTATACAAAGGTGTGAACAGTGAGTTTGTAGCTTCCAAAATATGAGGGTTTATGCTACAGATGTCGTCGGACTCGACCTTCTCTATGCGTCTGCTACCCCGGACCGGGGTTCCTGAAGGCGCGAAAGAGGGGAGGAGCCGAGGCACATTGGCGGCCCCTCGTTGGCTAATCCTTGAGACTGAGACCTTCTCGATGTGTGAACTCCGGGGGATGTGGAGGGCCCAGTCGGTGAAGGACATTGGCCCGAGCGCTCAAGTCATCAGAGACCCTTCCTTCTCCGAGCCGAGGGTTTGCGGCTGCTGTCATCGTTCCCACTAGCTGTGCTATGGCATGACATGGAGGGCGATGGGCAATAAGTGATCGACAACTGGTTGATGTATTTTCGCTATCGATACTGCCACTTTCCAGTTGCTGAACTACGTCATTGGGCCATATCTCGAAGATAACTTTGCGTGCATGCAAATGGCATCTTGTTCAAAAACATATTGGTCGAATGCCTAGTGGTTCTTGAGTCGCGAAAGTTCAATCGAACTCGGTTTTTTTTTCTCCTTCTGCAAGGTCGCTTGCGTATGGTTTACGGCGCCAAGTTGCATCAGAAACCCGAACGCGAAATCGAAGGTCATGGATGGTGGTAGAAGAGATGACACCTAAGGCTTACCTGTATGTTGGAACAGGGGTGCTCGTTGCCTGTTTGGGAGGGACTCTAGATTCCACTATGAATTGCGCATACGTGCCTGTGTTGGATCTCTTGATACTGGGGGTGGGATGTTTGGATGATAACCATTTATAGAATGATTTTACAGCAACCCTAAGACTGCAGGTTCCTAGGGACAACATATCGGTTAAGCAGCATTGCACCTACATAGTAGAGTTTGGTCTGTGTACCGTTGCGCAACCTTCCAGGAGCAGAGCGATCCTAGTACTGTACCTCCAACCCCACCAGCGTTAGCGCACTGCGGCAGAGAGTACCTAGCTTTCACTCGCAGAGGCGACTGATACGGCGGGCAAATCACCTCCATCATTGGAGCCCACCTTGACAAACGCACCACCGACCGACTGACATCCAATCCTACGACTCCAACCGCAGCTACCGACTAGCCACATACTTTACATACCTAGGTATCTGCCTGATTGACCTCGTCCTCACCCCGGGTTGATCTCGCATTCCGTCGACCCGTTCCAGAATCCCAATATCTTCCGTTCCTCACCAACCACATCTCTACCTCTTCCTCTTTCTCCTCTGCATTCGTAAGCCGTTTTTAGGCCCTTGACGTTACCGCATTCATCGTCGCACTACGCCATCCAGCACAATTACTTCAAACCAAGGACCGCCTCCATCGACTGCATACACGTACCAAACGAGGTCATGGCCGACAACACAGAGGGTGCTGGTGATGCCCAGGTCACCTTTAAGGTGAAGACGGGACAGGATAGCAACCACACCATCACCATGGCTGAGTCTGCCACCGTGTTGGACCTCAAGACTAAATTGGCTGGCGAAGACTTTGAGAACGTTCCCGTCGAGCGCCAGCGTCTTATCTACTCTGGCCGCGTCATGAAGAACGACGACACCCTCGGCACCTACAAGATCAAGCCCAACAACACCATCCATATGGTCAAGAGCGCCGCCAGCAACCCGGCGCCTCAACCCTCCGCTGCTGCCTCGACACCCGCTGCCCCCTCTGTGCCCTCCAACATGGCTGCTGGCACCGCAAATAACATTCTTACCGGCCTGACCGGGGCCAGATACGCCGGCCACATCAACCTGCCCAGTCGCGAGACCTTTGGTGCAGACGGAGGCGTAAGTTGCTCGCGAAACCACGGCGATTGCCGTATACTGTATGGCACAAGCTAACATGACCTGCTGCAGATGGGCGCCCCGCCGTCCGACGACCAGCTTGCTCAGATGCTTTCCGACCCCTCCATGCTCCAGACCATGAACGCGGCTCTCGATAACCCCGACTTCATCAACTACATGATCCAGAGCAACCCCCACTTGCGCAATGTGCCCAACGCCCGAGAGATCATCCAGTCACCTTTTATGCGCCAGATGATGACCAACCCGGACATGCTCCGCAACGTTATGAGAATGCAGCGTAATATGGCTGGAGGAGGTGGCAACGCTGCGTTCCCAGCGCCTGGCGCAACCGACACCACGCCTGCTGAAGCTGCGGCCGCTGGCGCCGGCGCCAATGCTAATAACGCTTCCCCGTTTGGTTTCCCTGGGGGTCTTCCGGGTATGCCGGGGTTCGGTGGCATGGAAGGATTGGGCGATCTTGGTGCGCTGTTTGGCCCGGGCAGCCCATTTGCGCCTCAGCAACCCGGGGCCACTCCTGGTGCGGGCGCGGCGACCGGCAGTGACACGCAGGCTCCGGCAGGAGCGGGGGCCACTGGAACTACGGGAGCGACGACGGGCGGGCAGGGCGCAAATGCTACATCGAGCCCGCCTCCGGCCAACCCCTTCGCTGCCCTGTTCGCGCCCCCTCCTTACGCGGCTCAGGGACAGGCCCAGGGCCAGGGTCAAGGCCAGGCCCCAGCCAACCCCTTTGCTTCTCCTTTCGGCCAGATCAACCCGGAGATGATGCAACAAATGATGAACATGTGGGGTCTCGGTGCAGCCGGCGGCGGCGCTGCCGGTGGAGGCTCTCCTGCTCCTCCGGATAACCGCCCTCCCGAAGAACGCTATGCTGAGCAATTGCGCCAGCTCAACGATATGGGCTTTTTCGACTTCGATAGGAACGTGGCTGCTCTGCGCCGTAGTGGTGGTAGCGTGCAAGGCGCGATTGAGCATCTTCTTAGCGGCTGAGTACGGGTTCAATACATGACGATGCAGGCGGAGACAGACGGTTCATCTTGTGAGGACGCACGATTAATGGATTATGGACTGGTCGCGGAAAGAAGCACATACCATAGTTGGTTGACCTGAACTTGGTTCTGGCAGTTCCCAAGGGGATAGGAAAATTGACCAGCATGACGTTTATGACACCAGCTCGTGCAAACTGCTTTAGGGCATTTTATCAACAAGCTGCCTCGCGCCTCCATTGTTACTACTTACAGGCTATCCTGCTCGCGATGTTTTGTATTGAGATGAACTATGAGAATATTACTCGAAGTTCTGTTCCTTATAGAAACCTGACGTGGTTGCCGCAGCTTGTTGGGATTCCATGCTACCTAAGGTACGGCGCGATATGGGTTGGATGGGGCGATTAGACCGCTCCGGAAAACGTGCACCACATAACGTCTCCAAACTCACCACCTCAACTTACCACTGACTCCTACATCCCCTTGCCGATCGTTTGGTTCCTGCCAACACTTTTACCGCAACTACCTGCCCAAATACGATGTAGCCGTCATGATCCAAGGCATCTTCTATGCTAGGTTCTTCCCCAAAGAGGGTAAGTAACGCAGACCTTCTCGCTGCACCCACATCGAGGGCATCTCATCTCATCTTATCTCACTAACCGGCACTCGCAGGCCCACACATCGTGGCCCAGTCGCCGCCAGGCTGCATCACAGCCGCTCCCGGCGCGGTGACGACGAAGCCGCCGCTGATCGACTGGGACGTAATGCAGGAGTACATCGTACCGCGCAAGGCCTTCTTCAACCGGTACATGACGGTGCAGGACCCGGAGGGCAAGTACGCCGTGCTGGGCTTCCCCGTGCTGATCCCGCACCAAAAGTACCAGCGCAACGAGTTCATCTTCAACTTTGGGCTCGTGCTGGACGCCGACGCGGACCTAGCGCAGTACGAGCCCGTCGTGAGGCGGCTGGCCGTCACCTTTAAGGAGATGGAGAAGCAAAACGAGTATCTCAGCCAGGAGGACGGTGGTGGGAACAGCGGAGGGGACAGGAGGCCGATTGAGAGCTTGCTGGAAATTGTGAAGGAGGATCTGAACAACTACGGCGAATGCATGATCCCCGTCGGTAAGTCCATGTTGCCGTCCTCTCCTTTTTCTTCCTATTTTGCCTTGGGTCATCTTCCCTGAACAGAAACGACAGACGAGGCGAACAGGATCAACATGAAGCTCTTCCCGCACCACGCCTGCCCGCCCCTGGTCCGGGGCTGGCACGTCCCCGTCGCCAAGATGAAGTTCGCTGAGATCGTCGACCAGACGTGGGACCTGACGATGCAAAAGGTCGTCGCGCACGTTGACGGCGTCAACGACGTGCGTCGCATCGCCTGGCTCGCCGACGTCTCGCTCGACCTCGCCACCCTTGCCTTGCGCCACCTGCTATACTACGACACCATCCTGCTGCTGGACATGTTCTTCTTTGGCTCCTGCTACGCGCCCCGTCCTGGCATCCACGACTTCGTCGCCAACCGCGATGGCATCGTCGACGAGTGCGCGGCCTACGTGTGCATCCACGCTCGCCAGCGGGTCAGCAACTTCATGCTTATCAAGCTGATGACGAGCTTCTGCGTGGGCAAAAGCGTCATGGAGTGGCTGCGGGCGCACCAGGAGGCCGGGTTTGACGTGTTGCGCTACGTCGACGTGAGGAGGCTCGTGCAGTTCGGCGTCATCAAAGGGTGCCTGTACCGCGTCCACAAGTACGTCGTCTCGAAGCAGTACCTGGCGGCACTGGTGACGGGCCAGGCGAGGCCCAGGGTCGGCGGCGATCCGCTGCAGCAGTACACGGACGGGTGCCACTCGTTTGACCAGATCATCACGGAGAGGAACCTTACGGACGGTGAGATTATGGAGAAGCTTAAGAGCCTGCCGGTGCCAAGCGGGGACTTGACGGTGTTTTATCGCTGAGGAAGTCCGGGAGGGGGGTAATCACGAGTGACAGGGTTGTTGGAGGCAGGACAATGATGAGGAAAGTGCTCTTTTTTACATTGTTTTAGGGGGGTAGTATACATATCGTGGTACAGACGTTTGTACATGGTATCGTGTGATACGTCAACTCTTCGCCGATAAACGTTCCACCGCTTCACCTACTGCAACTTGTGACCCTCTCCAAAAGCCTGCTGCCTCTCGCTCTTCTTTGGAAACTTGATATCCGGGTTGTTGGCGACGGTGACCTCCTCCTCGTCGGCGGCCAGCTTCTCCTTGAGCATCTGCTCGAGCTCGCGGCGCGACAACTTGCGGCCCTCAGCGGCGGCCATCTCCTTGAGCTGCTGCATCAGCACGCGCGTCTTTCCCTTGTAGGGCTCGCCGGGGTATGCCTTGCCGCTCTCCTGCCACTCCTCGTCGCTGACGACCTCGATGATGCGGACGTTGTGCTTGCCCTTGCGGATGATGAGCAGGCGCCCGTCGATAAGGAACTTGGGCACGTCCTGGGGGTACCAGAGCTTGACGGGCGTCCAGTCAAGGTTTCCCGGGACAAGGCCGCGCATATCCTTGCCTGGCGCCGCGGCGACGTAGGCGCCCTGGGCGCGGGCGATGCGGTGGCCCTCGCTGACGGACGACGCCAGGCCTGCGGCGTAGAGGATGCGCGCAATGCCCTGGTTGTAAATGAGGTTCTCGGGGAGCTGCATGTCCATCTTTGGGGCGTTGTTAAGGGTCGTGGGATGGCCTTCGATGGCTTTGTATGGGGCCAGGAAATCCTGTCCTTCCTCGGATGCGCCGGTAGCGCCCGCGATTTGCGCGGCGTTTCCGCCCTTGCTGAACATGAACTGGTGCTGCTGCTGCTCCCGGATGGCAACGTCGGCACCGTGGACCAGGGAGAGAACTTCGAAGGCGAGAGTATGCTGGGCAACTCTTTTGGGCGGGTCCTGGGCGTGCTCGATCATCAACTTCTCGATGCTGGTAGTGGGAAGGAAAGTGAATAGTTTGAGAAGCTTCTCGACCTCGTTGTCGGGCCGCCTGGCGAAGTATCCGTACAGGTCAAAGGCGCTGGTCATGAAGGGATCGAGCCAGACAGCGTTACCGGCACTCTTGCCGAACTTGGTGCCAGCGTTGTCCGTTAGAAGGGGCACAGTGAAGCCGATAGGGTCATCCTTCCAAGTATCAGGCATTCTCATGTTGGGGTTCTCCTCTGAGGATCGGATCGTCTTGACGGCCTCGATGCCCGTTACGATGTTGCCGAACTGGTCAGAGCCTCCGATCTGCATCTGAACGCCTAGCTTGGAGTACAGGTGCCAGAAGTCCCACCCCTGCATCAATGGGTAAATGAACTCGGCGAGAGACATGCCATCGCCCTTCTCCATCTTGTTCTTAACGCTATTTGTATGGTCAGCGACGTAGCCAAGAGATTTAGGGCGTCCAAGCAAAACTCACGTATCGCGGCTGAGCATGGGCCCTATCCGCATGTATCGACCCAACCGCTTCATAACATCATATAGCGGTAGACCCTGCCACCACATGTTGTTGTTGACGAGATGCTTCTTGCCCGCCCACTCTGGCTCCTTGCCATACTTGCGCCCGAGCGCCTCGACGTTACTCCAAATCTTCTTCAGCTGGTAATGGATCTTTGTGATGTTCATCGACACCTCGCTGTTCGCCATGACCTCACGGGTCTTTAGACGGTCCGTCGGATCGCCTATCCTGCCCGTTGCGCCGCCGACCAACGATACGGCTGTGTAGCCGTGGAGATGCATCCAGAAAAGGGGCATGAAAGGTAGGAGATGGCCGACGTGGAGGGACGCTGCCGTGGGATCGACTCCAACATACGCGCCTATTCGTTTTGTTCGCAGGAGTTCTTTGATCTGTGGTGTGCGTCTGGAGTGGTTGGGTCAGCAACTCTCCGTCAGGGAGCGGCGGTGACGGCGCTGCGAAGGCTTACCCTGCGACGTCCTTGACGTAACCTCGTTCCTCGAAGATGTCCCAGATATTTTGAAGTTCTCCTTGCTCAATAGCCTCGGCACGCTTCGCCCACTCCTCCTCCCCCATCCGGCGCTTCTCCACGACTTTTTGCGAGATCCATCTCGGCCGGTTCGGCTGCAATTGAATCACTGGGATCTCGGCGCATCGTCTGCAGATGTTCCGCCGCAGCTCAGGCAGACGGGACGCCAATGTCGACGACATGGCGGATTGTCCGTATGCCTTTTATGAAGAATCTTTGACCGTATTAAAACATCGAAAAAGAATGACGAGAAATACCAAAGGTTCAATAGCTGGCTACTCAGATATTCAGATCAACTCTGCACTCTGTACTGAATGACTGACACAACGCCAAAGCTGTCGCGTACAACTGGACCCTCTCGAACTCCAAAAATTTCCCTTATCGCGATTACGATAAGATTTAGGACGCATCTACGTTGTGCCGACAGCCGGGTCCTGTTCGGTCTAAGAATCACGTGGAGATGTCGGAACATAGCCAGCCAATCACATCACTTTGAATGTCAGACGGCCGTGTCTGCGATCCAAATACCTTACGGGTTAGTCGTATACCCTCGGCTAAGTGGACATCATAGATTCCGGCATTTGGGATCTATTTCTCCAGTCTAAATCACCAAAGACCGACTCTCAACCACCCCTCCCTCTTGACATTCCCCCAATTGAATTTGCCTCGTGAGCCCCAACGATCACCATGGCTTCGATTGTGCGACCCTCCCTTCTCCGGCAGACCGCCACGGCGGCTCGCATGACCCAGGCAGCCCCGATCCGCTCCGCCTTCGTCAAGAACTCGACAAGAGCTACGGCCTTTCACACCACAACCAAGAGGCAACTGCTGCCCGTCGGACCCCGTACGTGTCTGTTGCCGTCATGTAATTTCTGAATCAGAATTGCTAACTGGGTGTTTGCAGAGGTCATTGACGGTGGAGGTACGAAAAACACCACGAGTCAAAGTGCGAATGGAACCTAACCCGTGATATCTAGTTAACAAGCCCGCCCCCGTCCCTCCCCCAAGCCCCGCTCACGGCTCTTACCACTGGACCTTCGACCGCCTTCTCGCTGCTGGTTTGGTCCCCATCACCATCGCCCCATTTGCTGCCGGCTCCCTCAACCCGACGACCGACGCTCTCCTCTGCGCCATGATCCTCATCCACTCTCACACCGGCTTCCAGAACATCATCATCGACTACGTCCCTACCAAGCACTACCCCAAGTCGCGTAAGGCTACCATGTGGGGCCTGAACCTGGCCACCGCACTCGTTGGCCTCGGCCTGTATGAGTTCGAGACCAGCGACGTTGGCGTCACTGAGGCCGTCGCACGTCTCTGGAGGGCGTAAGGGATTTCCTCGTCGTTAGGGGGGAGCTGCCGCTCGGAAAGTACCCCGGTAAAATGGCCCAAAACCGTAGCCCACCATTTATGTCGAGCGGTTGAAAGCGCGCAGCGGGACGCGTGCTGTGCTGGGTATCAGAGTTAATAAAGACGCTGGTGTCAGCGTATTGTATGTGTGATTCAGGGGCGCTACGGTTTAGAATTGGAATGGCTAGTGTACAATCACCAGACTAGGCAAAATTGGATTCTTTGTCAATGAACTCGGCTTGGCACGTTATCGTGGTCTTCCTAGACGTTATCTGGTCTGAAGATAGTTGGTCCGATCTCAGGAGACACTTTTAAATCCAGCGAGGTATTGGCTTGAAAAAGGTATTGTTCAATCTCATGAGGCATTTTCAGTCGGATGCTTTCGACCGCCCAACGAGATAATGGTTTCTGGAAATGAGGGGGCGCGACATTCAGGATGTACTCCATCATCTGCCGCCACTTTTCTTACCCTTATCCAGTGAGCAGTTTCAGAACAGAGCAAAATCCACAAGTACAGCTGAGTTTCATCCAAGTAGATATCTATTAAGAAAATCCGGGTTCCTTGAACATCAGGAGGCAAATACACTACGAGGCTTGTACCATGATATGAAATAGATAATATCAATCAAACTTGAGGAAGCGACAAACAGCTTAGGCTTCCATTGCTGCAGCCAACTGTCGAGGCCGTTCCTAACAGTCTTAGCTCGACAAGGAGAGGCTGGTGATCTCAGAGCCGCCCATACAGTCCATCTCGGGTGTCGGCGGTGGCAGGTTCTCGACTTTAATGCATAGGAATGCTGACTTATACATATTAACTCTGTCGATACAGGCTCCGTCGATACGGGCGCCGACTCTCTTGGGAGAGAAGCCATGGGCCTCGAAGACCTTGATGTACCACGGGTTCAGCGCAGACGAGCGGAGAAGCACACGGCCACCCTTCTTGAGGGCGCGGTTGAGCTTCGTAATCTGTGCAGCGGCGGCCGGGGCGCCTGGGTCGAACCAGTCCATGCTATCCATGACGACAGCAACGGTCAGTGTACCGGGCATGATACGATTGATGACCTCGTCAATCTCATCTGTGTGTATGCGCAGGCCATCAAAGGCGTTGGGGCGGGAGAGCTTGGCGTGGGCCTTCTCCGAGAGGTAGTCGGGATGGCAGCGCTTGGTGAAGTCGCCAGTCATGCAAACATGGTAGTATGGATTGTTGACGGCGATATGCGTCTGCTCTGCGACAGGGTCGAGAGTGTCTACCATGTAACGCCAGATAGCATGCGAGCGGACCTTCCGATCCATCGGTCTCGGCCCCTTGACAGCCTCGCTCTCGGCGTGATCGTTCTCGATCATGGCGAGCTGGTTCTTGGGAACACCGAGAGCGGCCCAGAGGAAGCTTTCCTGACTGACGATGAGGTTGCAAACGAGCTTCGAGAGCAGGGCGGGACGAATCTTATTAAGCCAGACCTCGCGCTGCTCATTGAGGGTCTTTGTGGAAAGGAACTCCTTGACGGCAGCGCGGCAACCAAAGATGCGCGAGATCCAGCGGAAGACGCGGATGGCGTGACGTGAACCGCCCGTATCGTAGAGCCCATAGCCCTTGGAGTTGGCGAAGACATGAACGTTCTGGAGCCAGTACTGGAACGCACGGCTGGACAGATGGGGGGAGAGCTTTGTGAGGAGCAGCGAACGGAATTCAGAATGTTTACCCTTGCCGAACAGCTTCCAGAAGTCCTCGTAGGGGAGGGCGGTGTAGGATGCAACTTTGAGCTCGAGGAGGTGGTTCTGCGTAGGGTTCAGGTCAACCGCGTGGATTCTGGCTGGGCTTTGCATGGCATAAGATAGGATGTTGTCACCGGCGCTGGTGATGGCCAGCACTACGTCGTCCGAGCCGAGCCTGAGGAGGCGCTCATCCACCTGCGAGTCTTCCCACGTGAAGGCATAGATGTACTCATCGTTGAACTGGGTGTGCTTCTGGAGCTGGTCGTCGTAGTAGATGCGCCAGTGGTGTTTCTGGTAGAAGAACGAAGGCAGTGGCAGGTTCGCAGACAGATTCTGGATCGCTGCCATGAAGGCCTTGGAACGGATCTCGGGCGCCGATCTTTCGACTGCACGGGTAAGGGCATCGCCCTGGTTGGCAGGGAATAGGTAAGGAGACTCTGTGGCAAGAGCATCGATCTTCTCAATGATCTCGTGGGGCAGACTTGTAGAGGAGAAAGGCTTCTTGTGACAACCGACCCACACATAGTATGGAATACAACCAAGAGTGTAGTTGCGGGCGTTGATGTTGAGAACCGTACCAAACTTATACTCAAGGTAGTCGCGACGACTGGCCTCGAGACCCACTCGGTCTATGTCGAACCATGCGCGCCAAAAGGTTCTCAGAAACCAGTTGACATGGCGTCCGACAAGCCCACCTGTGAAGTTGCGGAACGAGAAGTCGGTCTTGGATTGGACGTAGAAGTCAACCACACCCATCACGCCGTCAGGAGACAAGAGTGAAGTGAGCGAGTCGACGACAGAGTAGTAGTCAGGCTGGTAGGGCTCTGGTTAGCGAGAGTTAGTTGAAGTGGCATCTAGTACTTACGATCATGGACAAGCTATACGACATGGTGACGAGATCGGCACCGCCATGCTCGACGCGCTTCTGGGAGAGGTAGCTCAGGACAGGCGAGCGCGGAGGAATGCGGTTGGTCGGAAGATCATTTTCATAATCCTCGAGGCTAAACTTCCTCGCGTCCTCGCATACAACCTTGACGTTATTCCAGCCAAGGCGTTCAAACCGCTGTCGGGCAACTTCGCAGAGAGACGGGGAGAAGTCAACAAGGTATACACTGGAGAAGAACTCGGGAACATTGACGAAGCTGGACATGGCCTCGATGTTCCAACCCGTTCCTCCACCAACCTTCGCCATATTAACTGCCGTTCTAAGGTATAAGGATCAGAAGGCCAACTCACATCAACCCAGATCCGCTTGGCCTTGCCGCCCTTGCTGGGGCGGTCATTGGCCTTCAGTTGTGCTGCGACAAGCGCGAGCATGTCCTCTCTACCTTGCAAGAGAACCTTCCTGGTTGCATCATAAGCGCCGGCTTGCTTCTCGTAGAAGCTCTCAAGGGCATCCTGCTGGTTGCCCTTCTTGTCGCCACTGTGCGGCTTGATGAAACAGGTATAAAAGAATAGCAAGCAAGACTTCAGGAGGCTCGGGGCCTCGTTGCCGTTCCTTTCCGCTTCTTTTGTAGAAAGAATACTGGCAAAGAGCAGGCCGCTAAGTGCCAATGCACTCAGTCCAGCAAAGGAAGTTTTGAGGTCAAGGCCGAGGGGTAAAATGTTACCACCAAGAGAAGCCATGGTATTCTCTCATTGCTCTATGAGTTGAGAATGTGCGTTGAAGCGGTTCCGTGGAATCTTTCTTTCACTTTTTTCTTTCTTTTTTCCGGGTCGAAGTGAACACAAATGGCCGATTTGAGGACACGGAAGGGGGAGACCAGAGGGAACCCAGGCGCAACTCGAGCAATTATAGACGTTCCAACCACAACGACTGCGTTGTCTTCCCGGGGTCACTCAACCCAACATCTTGTAACGTATACATGACGCATATGGTGGGGACCCGCATAGCAACAATGTATCAAATACGTGGAATGATTGAGTAGACAATAGGGCATGGTAGGCATGCTGTCATCGTGTGGTAGCCCGCAGTGGTTGAGGAGAGACTCGGAGTTTGAGGAGACGACGACCCCCGGGCGAACGAGGACCCTGAAGAGATGACCCCCACTATTACTCTATTTAGCGTGGAAGCGTGGGTGAGGTAAATACAGGTTGCCCATGCCAGATCCCAGTGGGCCAACTCGTGTCGGCCAATGGCCAGAGCACATGGGCTAACCATCTGGTTGTCAACCGCCTGCGCTGGTTGATGGTAGGGTTTGAACCAGCGTGCCTTGCACCAATACTCTGTAAGTCTAAAGGCACGGGAAATCGCAAGGCACACCGGCTTCCTTCCATCTTCCGAGTCCATTGAGTACTGAGCCTTGCTTGCGAGGATCGCGGGTCTCATCTTGCTCTGATCTATCCAAGCTTCCCCACGTTGAAGCTTCAGCTTGTGTATCAGAGGATACACCATGTTAAAGTTGTCTCTCTGTAAGTAGCGTCAACTGCACAAAGGGTGGAATATCCCACCAGTGGTAGCTCGCCCGTTTGAGCTAGGACAGGCCATTGTTTGTTGCCATGCATAGCACGCAGCGTCGCATATCGGTAACTGCAGAGTGCGAGCTGCCACGGGTCGGGCCAACCAGACATGATGCCAATGGGAGACAGGACTCGAGGCACATGGCACCCATTGGCAACACCACGATCACATGAAAGGGTTTCCCGTCTTGTTGGTAAGAGCAATTCCCGATGAATCCCTTTGCGGATGATCACCTTGAGGCCAGTTCCGGGGCTCCCCTCCTAATCCCCTCTTATGGCCTATCCTCGTTGAGACCCTGTCTATTGGTACTGTAGCCCGAGACGAGTAGACACAAAAGCCGAGTTACGTCGAGGGGACACTCGTGCCAAACAACGGACGTTACTGGGGCTCACGGTTCACTGGCCAAGCCTGGCTCCGTCAGAAATGCCAGCATGCCGTAGACCCGTGGAAAAAGTACCAGGCCAGGTCATTGTCCGAAGCCACTGCAAGCGTGGTGCTAACGTTGATGGTTCTGATCTGGGGTATAGGTAGACTCGGATGCTAAAGCTAAGTGTGCATGAGACGATTGAGAAGTCTTCTCCTGCTTAGCTGATTTCGATGAAGACTGAATGATAGAAAAATCAAGTGGTCTGATTGAAGATTTCTTTCTCATCGAAACAATACTGTTGTTCATTTTAACGAGTGACTGGCTCCCAGACCCCAATTCACTGGGATAAGTAGCTACCGAAGGACAATGGGCCACATGTGATGACAAACCGCGACCCTTGGAGGCTCGTTCGCCTCTGCTCGCTGCTCTCTGGGGTATACAGATCCACTGATTGGGCGCGGTCCCTGAAGTACCTCCAGCTCTGTGGCAGCCTGCCTTACTGACCCCAAGTACCTACTTGTAGGTGTAGGTACCTACTTTCCACATGTACTCCGTACGTCCCCCAGACTTCCACTGGCGACCTCGGGGCACGTAGGTACAAAGGCGGCTCGACCCATACTTCCGCGATCAGTGACCAATCCAGTAAGCTGACTAGGCGTGTACCGTAGGACGGCGCGATCTTTGACTGCCAGTCGACGCTCAACATCAGATGTGCAACCTCCAACCTGGCATAACTCGATCCATCGTAATCCTCAACAACGTCGACACGCATGTTCCATTCACATCAGCACATCGGCCGCAACTGAAAACGCCTACCACAGACAGCTCGTGATGCCGCCCGCCGCGAGCCAGAAGGGCACTGGCAAGAAGGCCGGGCCCGGTGCTATGCGACAACGGAGTCGCAACACGACTCCCAGCTCCGTCGTCCCGTCCGCCAGCTTACCGCCCATCGAGGCCGTCGATACCGAATATCTCGAGCTACGCGTCGAGCAGTTCCGAAACCTCAACTATGATGACCTAGTCGACCAGGGCGCGTCCAATGCCGTCATACCCGATTCCAAAAGCCTTGACGGCATGATCGCACGCCTCCAGCGTCTACAGGAAACCATCGACAGACGCAGCAATTTCTGTGATAGGGGCATGCGGATACTCGCCAGTACCCGCAAGCAATACGTCAACGACGTCGAAGAAAGTACCGACGCCGCTGGAAAGGCCGAGGGGGATAGCAAGAAGACCAGCAAGACAAACAAGAAGAAGAGAAAGGCGGCTGATACCCTAGCACCCCCCCAGGAAGGGGGAATCGGTATGTCACCCACTACCTTTTGCTTGGCCCGGCGCGGCTCAGTTCTCTTTTCAATTTTCCCTGCCTGGCTTGTTCGTGGGGCATTGGAAGCTGACGGGGAGCTCGCCTCGTCACCGCGAGCGATTCATCGTCTTCACCTTGTTGCGAGTACTGACCTTGCCCGCTACCGCAGAACGGTCATCCCCGCTTAGGGAATCCACTAAACCACGAAAGCTTTCGCGTGACTCGGCCAGTTCTTCCCTGTCACCCGTCGCACCTGCAACGCCATCTGCAATGGAAGTCGACGAGAAGACCAAAAAAGAAGACAATGAAGAGGAGGAAGAGGAAAGTTCAGAAGACGAGGGCGCGCCGCCCAAAAAGGCGCAACCCGCTGCGCACACTTTCGGCGACGACCCATCCACCTTCCCCGACCCGACCGTTTACGAAATTCGCCCAACGCACCCAGGCATGCCCGATGAGGAGTTGAAGGAGATTTACTCCGTCGCCGTCTTCCCAAGGACCGACCTGGCCGATCTCATCGCTGGCGACCCTCCCGACAAGGACTTTAGTAGTGCCAAGCCCACGAACCAGATCAGCTTTTCAACCTTCTCAACGTACATGGAACCGTACTTTCGCCCGTTTACCGAAGAAGACCTGGGGTTTCTCCGAGAGCGCGGCGATCGCGTCACACCTTTCCACATGCCCAAGAGGGGCAAGAAGCACTACACCGAGATTTGGGCAGAGGAGGATGGGGCCATGGCTCTCGACAAACCCCAGAACGCCCGCGAACAATTGGCACCTAACCAACCTCGTGGCGCGATTGACAACATGGATGACGAGGTTGCTGAGACAGACAAGTTATCAGTCGGGCCGTTGTTATCACGCTTGATGCAAGCCATGCGACCGGAGAACCGGCCCCAGGCGGACGAGGACAAGGGCCCCAACGGCGTCCCCAACGGAGACACTGCCATGAACGGTGGCAGTGTGAATGGGGAGTTTGGAGATGCGCAGCAGAGTTTCAGCGACGATAAGGCGCCGCCAGTTCCTCCTGCATCCTTCATGCCTGAGTCAAACTCGGAGGCTTGGAAGAAGGCGTCGCATCCCAAGCTGGAGTACACACAGGTCGATGAGCGAATCAAGCAGGAATTGAGACACATCGGTTTCCTTCCTCAGGAGGGCAATTTCGAGAGCGAGTACGACGGCGCATTCGACGACGAAGTGGCGGCCAGGCTGCGCCTGCTGCAGGGTCGTTTGCGTGAACAGATGCTCATCAACGGCGCGCGCAAGGCTCGACTTACAGAACTGGTCAAGGAACGCATGGCGCATCAAGAGTACCAGACGATTCTCGAGGACCTTGACACACAAGTGCAGGCTGCATACCTCAAGCGGACGCGCACGATGGGCAAGAGCAAGAAGAACAAGCGTCCTGGCGGAGCTGGAGGCGGCAGTCATGCCGTCGGCGGCGCGGCTGGCATGGCGAGGCCGGGTATTGGCGACATGACCAAGACCCTGATGGAGCGCCGCAAGCGCTGGATCGACACGATAGGATCTGTATTCGATGACGAAAGCCTGGGCAAGGTTCCCCGCAGTTCGGATACCGACTCTTCAATCTTCAAGGCAAACGTCATGTCTGACCTGATGAAGAGGGAAAAGTCGCAGTGGGACGAGGAAGTCGAGGAGGAGTGATTCGCAGGTGGTGATGGGAAACCGAGGGATTGCGACAATACATTATGACTTGCACTGGCGCCAATTGAGGCTTTGATTTTGCTTTCAGGGGTTTGGGAGGCGAGCTTTCGGGCGGTAGTCGGTTCAGGGTCCGGCTCGGCAGACGGCGTTGGGGGCTTGATAAAGACTTGATTATCAGTAGACTGAACAGTAACTTGGCAGATGGTTATTGTAGCGATGAAGAACTGAGGCACCAATTCTTATTGGAAACACACTTCTCCGAGGCCGCAAGCCAAACCTTTCGAGCATCGCCTACTATGCAGTGCCTTCTCGTGCCTCACTTTTATTTGCAAAGGCATTTATTTGGCAACTGTGAGGTCCCGAAGTCCATCAACTGTTGCTGATGTGTCCCCGACGGCGAACAAAGACGAAGGATATTTGAAGCCGTCGGCAGGGAACTTTAGAGGGTACCGTGTCTGATCTTCTTATGCTATGGGCTGTTGTAATTCAACATATGTTTTGTATGTGCGCGTGTGTTCACGCGTCAATGAATATGCCGTCGGGCTTGGTTTCTGCAGGTGACTAAGGCTGTCTGTAAAGCGTCTTCAAACCATGGTAATGCACCCTGGTCTAGAGTAAGTTCGGCGCAGCTTTTCCGTAACCGGGACCACTTTTCGTACTAAATTCTTAGAACTAGAGCATACGAAGCCATGAATCTTGTCGAGCAGAAGGCGGTTGTGAAAGTTGGTGGTTCCGTTGACTCGGTAGCATGTCCGCATCTACTTCGTTACGTATCGGCTTTATACGTGCAGCTATCACTTCATAAAATAAATTAGCCGAAGTTATTCCCAGCACGTCATCTGAACCTGCTGTGTATCCTGGACCGGAGTGTTCAAGTGCCATGGTATTGAATATGTGGGATTGGTGTACGTCTGGCGTCAGGCAGGCTGGTGTTTAAAGGATACGGGAACAGGGTGGTGCCGATCCAGGTACCTGGAAATACAACATCTCGAAAACCGTGATGGCTAAGCCACGCCTAGACTGTCGACTTTGGTATCACATATGTCTTCAAGAGGTGAATAATTGACCTATGCATCAACGCTTACCGCATGCACATCCTGAACAGCCCTACCTGCTCGAGAAAGGTTACGGAACGGGGGTTTCCTACAAATCTAACCATTGATCCAGCGGCTTTGAAGCTCTGCACGATGCACCGAGTTTACAAAACAGATCCGGAGCTTCGCAGCTGAAGCCTCACTGTGAACGGCGAGCAGACGCCATATGACGGGTGCTCATCGTGTTGGGTTTCAACTGACAAATACAGTTTCCCCTCTTGATACAGAGAGAATTGGCTTCCTGGATTATTTCCCCAGACAGTGGATTTACTCCCAGCACTTCAAATAGTCACAATGTCATCCATGGTGAGGTCAGGTCGGGGAACTAGAGTTACCCACGACAATTGAGCATCACTGCGTCGGCTTGTGCTATTAAGCGTGGTTGACTTTGCTGATTGACGATGCGGACCAGGTTGGTGGAAGCATAGCACTCATATAACGATCGGTTCCCGGAGTGTGGGGGCCGGGTGCTACTGTATCATGCATCCGAGATGCTGGGGAAAAGCACTGAGAAGCAGTGGGCTTAATTAGTGGGAACGGCACGGAGTTGACCGGTCTCTCTAGCTTATCTCCTAAAATCTGGATGTAATGCCTATTAGACAGACGGGAGGATTGCATTGGTGGTTTGGCAGCCGCACACTCAAGGACCTTCCCTGTGCGGGGTAGTGGAAGGCGCCTTATCATCATCCCACCTTTTTTTTTTGTGTGGCCGCCGGTCCAGGCCCGAGGGTGGCGCGGGCGCGGGCGCGGGCGCGCGCTCAACGGCCGCTCGCTATCAGGACTCACTCAGTGTTTCTGTTCCCGTCCTGGTGCCGGTAAGGACCTCTAGTCTCTAATTTCTCTTCTTACCCAACATACGTGCGACGCTCACCGAGAAGATTCCGGTTCGAGACTGTACACATTTTGCCCGCCAGGATGCATCTCGTACCAAAAGAGGTCTGTACCAAAGTCAACCACTCTTACACATCCCTGTCGTCTTGGCAGTCTGGTTGAACCGCAACGGCAGTGTTAACACAGGACATCGTGATTACAGCTAGATAAGCTCGTCATCTCTCAATTGGGCTCCATAGCGCAACGGCGACTCGCCCGGGGTGTCAAGCTGAACCACTCCGAAGCAACGGTACGAATTCCTCCGTTTATGGCTTCGGCGCCGCTGTTCAGGACCGCGTGCACTAACACTCACACCCAAAGGCATTGATCGCAAGCAACTTGCAAGAGCTCATCCGCGATGGCAACCACACCGTCGCCGACCTCATGAGCCTGGGGGCCACCATGCTGGGCCGCCGGCATGTACTCCCCTCCGTGTGTAGTACCCTCCACGAGATCCAGGTTGAGGGCACATTCCCCTCGGGGACCTACCTCGTGACGGTCCACAACCCCATCGCGACTGACGACGGGGATCTCGCCCGTGCCCTGTACGGCAGCTTCCTTCCCGTCCCCAGCAACGATCTCTTCCCCATGCCCGAGATCGCCGCCTACGAGCCCAAGCGGGCCCCTGGCGCCGTCATCACCGCCGTCCACAAAGTGAAGCTCAACGCGGCGCGGAAGCGCATCCGCCTCAGGGTCAAGAGCAAGGGTGACCGCCCCGTCCAGGTCGGCTCGCACTACCACTTCATCGAGACAAACCCGCAGCTCGAGTTCGACCGGGAAAAGTCGTACGGCTACCGCCTCGACATTCCTGCCGGCACGTCGGTGCGCTTCGAGCCTGGCGACGTCAAGACGGTGACCCTCGTCGAGATCGGAGGCAACAAGGTCATCCGCGGCGGCAACCGGCTCGCCTCAGGGGGCGTCGAGCTGTGGCGCGCGACGGAGATTGTCGAGAAGCTTCAGCTGGCCGGCTTCGCGCACGCACCGGAGCCCGAGGCCATTATGGACTTCGCCGAGGCATACCACATGGAGCGCGCGGCGTATGCTACCATGTTCGGCCCCACCATCGATGACCTTGTCCGGCTGGGGAGTACCGACCTGTGGATCAAGGTTGAAAAGGACTTCACCGTGTACGGCGATGAGTGCAAGTTCGGCGGCGGAAAGACGTTGAGAGAGGGCATGGGTCAGGCGACGGGCCGGCCGGATGCAGAGTCGTTGGACATGGTTGTCACCAACGCGCTTGTCGTCGACTGGACGGGAATATACAAGGCCGACATTGGTGTTAAGAATGGTATGATTGTGGGCATTGGAAAGGCGGGCAATCCCGACGTCATGGACGGCGTGACGCCCAACATGATTGTCGGCAGCTGTACGGACGTCGTGGCCGGCGAGGGCAAGATCGTCACGGCAGGCGGTGTCGACACCCACATACACTTCATCTGTCCTCAACAGGCGAACGAGGCCGTCGCGTCGGGCATCACCACGATGCTGGGCGGTGGTACTGGTCCCAGGTGAGATCCTTCCTCGTCCTCTCAGTGAGCATGTTCACACACTGGCCGTCAACTGACACGCTCCAACCCCGTAGCGCCGGCACGTCCGCAACGACCTGCACCCCCGGCAAGAACTACATGCGCGAGATGCTTCAGGCCTGCGACTCGCTGCCTCTGAACATTGGTATCACCGGCAAGGGCAACGACTCAGCTCCCGAGGCACTGCGCGAGCAGGTTCTCGCCGGCGCCTGCGGACTCAAGCTCCACGAGGACTGGGGTACCACACCCGCGGCCATCGACTCGTGCCTCACCGTGTGCGACGAGCTCGACGTGCAGTGCCTCATCCACACCGACACGCTCAACGAGTCCGGTTTCGTCGAGTCCACCATCAACGCTTTCGCCGGCCGCACCATCCACACCTACCACACCGAAGGTGCCGGGGGCGGCCACGCGCCCGACATCATCTCCGTCGTCGAGCACCCCAACGTGCTCCCCTCGTCCACGAACCCCACGCGCCCCTACACACGCAACACTCTGGATGAGCACCTCGACATGCTCATGGTATGTCATCACCTGTCCAAGAACATCCCCGAGGACGTGGCGTTCGCCGAGTCGCGCATCCGCGCCGAGACCATTGCCGCCGAGGATGTGCTCCACGACCTGGGCGCCATCAGCATGATGTCGTCCGACTCGCAGGCCATGGGCCGTTGCGGCGAGGTCATCCTCCGCACGTGGAACACGGCGCACAAGAACAAGGTGCAGCGCGGGTTCCTGGCCGAGGACGAGGGGACGGGCGCCGACAACTTCCGCGTCAAGCGGTACGTGTCCAAGTACACCATCAACCCCGCCGTCGCGCAGGGCTTCTCGCATCTCGTGGGGAGCATCGAGGTCGGGAAGCTCGCGGACCTGGTCGTTTGGGACCCGGCGTGGTTCGGTACCAAGCCAAACTTGGTCATTAAGAGCGGCCTCATCGCGTCGGCACAGATGGTTAGTTCCTCTTTCACCCCTTTCTTCTTCCCTACCTCTCCACAAGTCTCGTCGACTGCAACGCTAACAAAACCGCGCCCAGGGTGACCCCAACGCGTCGATCCCCACGGTGCAGCCCGTCATCGCGCGGCCCATGTTCGCGCCCCTCGTCCCCGCGTCGTCGGTGCTGTTCGTCTCGGAGGGCTCCATCAGCTCCGGCGCCATCGCGTCCTACGGCCTCCGGAAACGCGTCGAGGGCGTCAAGGGGTGCCGCACCGTCGGCAAGAAGGACATGCGCTTCAACGACAGCATGCCCAAGATGCGCGTCGATCCGGAGAGCTACGTTGTCGAGGCCGACGGCGTCGTGTGTGAGGCAGCGCCGGCCGAGACGTTGCCCTTGACGCAAGCGTTTTACGTGTATTAAGCGGGTATAATGAGAGTGTGTGAGAGAGACGGATTCTCTGGAAATGGCTGGAGCGTCTGGTAAGGAGAAGGAGGAGGAGGAGGAGAGAGAAGGTCTCGCTCGAATCGATGCGGAAAGAAGTAGACCTGGAGTAGGAGTTTGTGTGTTTGATGCGGGGAG